CTCTTCTCTTCTCTTCTCTTCCAAGCCTGACATTCACCTTCTCTACCATCTACCATCTTCCATCTTCACATCACAACTTTTCAAAGCATCACTAGATGCACTCACCATATCTATAGACATCGCGTACCCATACCCATATCCATATCCATATCCAATGCACATCCAATCCCTACCAAACTAAAACCCAGTGCACCCACAGAACCCCCTCTTCAAGACCAAACTCCAGCCCGAGATCATGCCCACGCTATTAGCGCAAGGAATCGTACAACCGAATAAGATTCGGATTATTGAGGGAGAAACATTGTTGGAAAGAGCTCAGAAAGCACTTGATGCGTTGAGGAGGAAGGAGGCTAGTGGGGAGAGATTGGTTTGGAGGATTGCTGGGGGTGAGTGAGGGAGGGAGGGAGGGAGGGAGGGTGTTTGGTAGATGGATAGATGGATAGATGAGTGAGGGTGTTTGTTAGGGGTGTAGAAATATTATTCGAGTAGAAGGGTGGATGATATTGGAGGGGGTTTAGGGGGGGATTGGGGGAAAGGGGTGCTGTGGATATTTAAGGGTTGATATCTCATGGTAGATATGTAGCAAAGGGATTGGGGCACTGTGTACAAGAATAAGGACAAGATAGGTTCCTTGCCTACCCCAGCCTTTCAAAATACTTCGGGCCTGGTGACTTTACCACAAATACAATCCACATTCCATCAAAAGCAATTTCAAAAAGTTCAAACAATAAAAATCTTCAATTAATTCGATATATCATATGTTGAGGGACAACCGAATAAAGAAGATAACGTTCCCCTCCCATCTATAAAAGGCCGTTGAAGGCAGTGATATCACAAGTTCTTATACCCTTTGAAAAGTTGGCCGTAACTTTTTACCCCCACCCATTCCATTTGGATCGTTGAGATCCCTTTTGAACGCCAAACTTGTTGAAGTTTGCCCTAAACACCAGCGCTAAATGCAATGTTAAATGCCATAAAACCAAAGTGACCCATCCTCATGCATGTTGAATCGTAAAATTATGTTGAAGTATAATAAATGTTGAAAGTATTAATGACCATTGGCCTCTCCGTTTGTGAGTGGAAGAGTCTGGGGATCGACGAATCGCACACCATGGACATCACCACTCTCGGAGGTTTCGAAAGGTTCGTTGAGATTCTTTACAGAGAGCCCATCAAAAAGTGGGAATAGCCCATGTGACTTGTGGAAGTCGTTATGAACTAAAATGAATATTAGCTTCGATCGCCATCTCATAGTTAGAAAGAAAGGAACAACTTACCAATATTAACAAGATACCATGAATCCATGATGGAGTCAATAAGCCCTCGACTTGGACTAAGTGCAGAATGGCAATGAGCCCAATCTGTTCCCAGACGGAATGCCTCATCTTTCCAGGCCAAGAAACTTATGGTCTCGACAATAGTAGGCTGCACGATCTCCTTACCCGGGAACACTCCCCAGGTGACAGCGTTTGGTCCATCACTCTGTGCGTTCGTCTGCACGTCTCCAGTTTTCTTGACAGCATAGTATGTCAGGTCAGGATCGTGTTGAATGCGACGCACTAACTCTGGCATCATATCTGGAGCGACCAAGAGCTCCAAATAAGCTTTTTGGTAGACGTAACCATTGGTGGGTCCCCATCCATACACAGGATCAGATGACTTAACACCGTCAACAGCAGGCTGAGAGTTAATGGTAAGAAATCCGCGTCGGTTGAGCTCAATCAAATCAGACTTGATTATATCTGCTTCGCTCGATATTGGAGCTTCACTCCATGGAAGACTCCCTATGCCGCTCTCAAGATAACTGACGAAGAGTTCCGCGATATCCTTGATAGACTTGGGCTGACCCCATAGTTTGATGTTCTGTTCATTGGTGCCCTTCAGCCCAATTCCATAAGCATCTAACTCACCAAAAGCAGGAGATCTCGAATCTCCCCATCTACCGTTGGGAAATTCATCCCAGTCCTGGGTTCTAGCCACGTAGGACTTGTTTCGGTTCTTCCAGAAAATTGGGCGAACATCTTCCTCCCTACGACCAAGGCCAAGAGATTGTCTCCATGGAAGTGCGTGCTTCAAAGGACGTTGCGTTGATGGGGTCAAACTAAGTTCGTCGAGTACCATGCGAGTTGCCTGGGCCAGATTCATGGTGTAAAAATGTAGATGATGTACTCCAGCGTCAATAATTTGACGACACATCTCGGCGACCAGATCTTTCCCAATATTTCGCACAGCAGCATCATCATTCTTGACCTCTTGGAGAGCTGCACTCCACTTGGGTGGTATCTTACACCCCATGTGGTTGCATCTTCGAACAAAGCTTGCGTATGTATTGATGGGCATTATTCCTGGTATGACAGGGATGCTGACACCTCTTGCTTTGACTTTTCCCAACCAATCGACGAAGTTGTCGACATCGTAGAACATTTGTGTAATAATGAAAGTAGCACCCGCATCAACCTTTTCTTTCAAATGGTCTAACAGCAGATCTTCATCGTCTTGATCATCGCAACCCTCTGGATATCCAGCAACTCCTATATCGAAATGATTACCGTACGTCTGACGAATGTAGTGAACAAGATCTTTCGCATATTGAAATCCTCCTTCGGTTGCCTCCCATTTTTCCTTTTCTCGCGGGGGATCTCCTCGAAGAGCAAGAATGTTTGTGCATCCGGCTTTGTAGGCATTTTTAAGAGCTTCATCGACCATTTCTTTACCCATATCGGTACAAGTCAAATGCATGCAAGTCTCTAATCCATATTGCGATTGAGCCACCCCCACCATCTCACAGGTCAATTGAGCGAGACGACCACCTGCACCCCAAGTGATATCAATGAAGCTAGGTCCCAATCCATGCATGCGATCCATTCGATCGTAAAGATTTTGTACACCTTGAGCCGTCTTTGGCGGGAAGAATTCGAAGGAGAAAGAGGGGTTGCCCGACCTCTCGGCCTCCGAGAGCATATCTTTGATATGCATCTTGAAGGTTTAGAATTTGCAAGCAGTATTGCTGTCGAATTGATATGATCTGAAAGCAGATTGTGTTAGCAAGAGTTCATTGAAGCTTCTGAGGTATCTGGGCGGTGAAGGCTGCAACGAGCCTAGAAGGCTGTCAGATCTGATGTCAAACCCGCAACACCTTCACCAATAGCAGAATAAAGACCCTGAGTAACCCCTATATAGATTGGCAGATTGATGAAAGGGGTCGGTAGTGAAGCATGGTACCTTTTTGTTGCCTTCCGTGAAAGTATACCCTTTTCCAGCAGGCTAGACCGGATCCCTCGAGATTAAAATAAAGAATGAAGAGAGGACTAGAAAGATACTAGCCAAAATATCTTTTACGAGCCCAACGATCTGCTACTTCTCGCAGCATGTACTTCGATTATTGTGTATTAATTGTGCAACGGAGGCTTGCTGGAAACTGTTGAATGTTGATGTACAGATGTACGAGGCTAGGAGGCGAGGAAGGCGGGATATGCAGAAAGGCTAGAAAATTATGTATCCGTTGATCACGACTAATTTTATCCACAATTGAACAATAGAACAATGAATTAATTGGGAAGATATATTGAGATTTGCAAGCAGATTGATAAGAAAAGGTATATATCTTATCATTACTCATTACCTAAGTATTCCAACTGTTTCTCGGGCAATTGGCTTGAACTCATTGTTTGAAGTATGTATTAACAAAACCTTCGGGTGCTGCCGAGAAGTTGCCCCTCCATCTACGTACGGTACGGGATATCCGTCCCAATCGACCATAAATACTCCGGCTGTCTGGAGACGAACTTCTCCATAGTACATGTGGGTTAGGTGATATCAAAATCCACCATTCTCCTCCAATATCAAACATTCAGTCTTGTTATTATACTGTATAGAGAAATATATCTTGCTTATCTTTACAAGCAAACCGCCATAAAGGATTTACTTGAATCATCTCAACATTACCGCCCATAAACATGGAAGTATCAATTAACGCCAGAACTCCATATTGCCCCCCTCCCTGGATATCATCACTACATGCCATTCCAAATCATAGATGAACAACAATGTCAACCAAACGAAAACACTATTGTTGCCCTGCACCATCCTCATCAGTCCGTAAGCCATTGAATTGAGTGCCTTGATTGGCAGTGCTCAATCTTGCACATAACCCCAATAATACCACCGTTTCCGTAGCAGCATAGTGGTTGAGAGCATCTAGCAAGATTTGCAAATGCTTGCTGAAATTAAACTCGTATTTTTTGATTATCTCATACATCTTTTCAAGCCGTGCTTCATCGAAACTTCCTTCGGAAAGCGGGTTCGCATTGTTAGATTCGCCGTTTCTAGCACCTCGGTCACGCTGGTAGCGAGCCCATTGTTGTGCATTCATGGTACTAGGTCTTTCCGTTCCCAATAAATCGGTATCAATCTTCTCCAGTTCTCTTGAGAGCCATGAAGTGAATGTTGCGAACATAGTGCAAGTCGACATTAGTTTAGAGTGAATCTATCAAAAGTGGTTAGTAGAGCTTAACCCAGCGGTAATTCTGTAGAAACATACCCTCAAAAGTCGGCTGTTCGTAAGCATGCACTCTTTCATACAAGTATCAAGAAAGTCAACGTGATCTTGCATGAGTTCGTCAACCGTCCTCACGGCTGGTGTTTTCCCAATTTTATCGTCTTCCTTCGCATTCAACCTAGCCATCAATCCCTGCCAATTTGGTTCGATGACTTCAGACGTACAAAAGTAAAGAAGTTGCTGTACAAATACCAACATTCGTGCTCGTAATGTAAATACTCGCCGCTTCCACAATTCAAGGTTCCGATTAGAACTTTTGTGAGACCAAGTAGCGGCTCGATTATGTGTTTGCCAACAGGAGACAAGTTGCTGCTCGAGATAGCGCAAAGATAGCAGATATCGAAAGAGTGCTTGATATCTCCAGACTGTTTTCCGACTGATGACAAGAGACACCGGGAAGGGGACGGAATAATCGAGTTGAAGGGAAGTAAAGCCCACAGCAGCCTTATCATTCTCTGTGACTGGTTGAGCAGGGGTTTGTAGGGACTCTCCCTGTTCAATACCGGATATATTGACTACTCTGGTCAACATATTTGTCAAGCTGATATCGTTCATCTCAACTTTGATGTCTTCCTTGAAGGGATCTTGGGCCGCGACACTTCCAGGTTGTCGAAGAACAAGGTCCAGTAAAGACTGAAGCTTGCTTGTATTGACAGCCTTGACAGGTTTTCGCAACTCGGAATTGCCGAGCTCGAGGAAATAGGAAAAGAAGTCCGAGCGGTCCAAGAAGAAATAGTGCTTCAAAGACCTCAATCGAGCAGGTAAAGCATGGGCAGTCAGCAACAACTTAAGTAAAGACTCATTGGCATGCGCGTAGGCACTATTGACGTTTTCCAGGAATCGATTGTCATCAAATGATCGGGGAACATCTTTCACCTCTTTGCTCACATCGACACCCCCGCATTCACGTACCACGTTCAAATACTTGCCCGCTAGGAGTACTTTACCTTTCACGCCTTCCAATTGGGGAGGTACATCAGTATCCCTGATCGTGTATCGTCTCTCCCAGTACTCGTCGGTATAATCCTCCTCCAGCCTCTCCCTCTTGATACTTTTCTGTTCTCTCACTAGAAACTCCGCATGGGGGTCTTTAATGCTTCCGTGATGCAACCACTCGTTCAGCATCACCATATAAGGACGACTGGCATCTCGTAACAGCGAGGTTAGAAGAGACCGAGCAGCTGGATCACCGGACATTGTCTCCAATCGTTTCGTGATGAGGCCCAGTACGCTTCCACCTTTGCAGATCTTCTTGCCTGGAATATTTCCAAGCCCAAGGTCTCCACCCTCGCGGAGACTTTCTAGAATGTTCTCGAAATCATCCATTCCATCCCCATCCTCCTCGTCTTCCTCGAGCAGAGAATTTCTCTTCAATATTTCATGAGCAAGTGAGGACAGCTGGAACATCATATGACTCGTAGGAAGTGTGTGGAGGTTGAGAACGTGTAAAGTAAAAGAGGGATTGGTCAGAAACTGGGTTTCGAGCTGAGCAATCAAAATGAGGTAATCTTGTAGGAGTTTCCTCATGGCAGCGCACAATGCATGGTTGACAGCCCCAAACTCTTCTCGGCTCTGCACTTCAACAAAAGCCTCAGTTGCCCCATAATTCGTAGCCATCTTAAGCATAGTCGTGGTGAGGTCCTGCAAACTAGGATCCAAGCCAGGTAAAATCTTAAAGCTGGGGCCCGCGAGACGATCCTTTTCAACGAGAGGATCATAATTCTTCCCAAACCTGATATATTGTCCCTCGTATCCCATGAAAACAAAGAGAAGGTCCTCCAATATAGCTGCTTCTTGTACTTCCATAGACAATTCGTGGAGGGACTGGGGCTGCAAGGCTTGGGGAGCTTGAGAAGCAAGTGGTGGAATGGAAATCCTGGATGCTAATGGCGCGGTTGTATGGGCCACTAAGGATACTTGGGGATCCCATGGTAATACTAGAATTGTAATGCTTAGAATAGCTGTGAATCTTCGCCTCAGAAAGCATCTTACCATGTTGAGTTTCGACTTTCGACGTTTTTGACGGAAGCTCTTCCCCGCGGGATCTAGACGTATCATTGGTCCTAGGACGATCCGTAGGGGCGCGACGCTCAGGGCTTCTTGTTCTAGCCGTCACTGTTTCTCGAGTTGCGACATGAACCCTTTCGGTCCTCCTCTCTTCTACCCCTCTATTGTTCCGTTGCGAGCTTGATTGTGTTCTTCGGGGATTAGAATCTATAGCTACTGGTGGGGGTGAAGGTCGTCGCCGTACATCTGGTCTATCAGCTCTTGTGCCTGCCAGTGCAGAAGGTGGGCGGGATCTGGAGCTGCCACTACCGGTATCATTGACAGTCCTCCGCTCAGATTGTGAAGAAACTCTAGCATGCGAAGACATAATTATCACATCTGGATCTAAAAATTATGAGCACTAATAATCCGAAAAGGTCTTAAATTGAGAGAAGTAACTAATCGTATGCGACAGTAAACCGTATATCTCCCATTTGCCGTTACTATAAATTCAATTTCTCTAAGTCCTTATTGTATATGTTCACGCGATTTGATATGGGGAAGTTTATTCCCTAAAAAAGGACGTGTAGGCGCTAGACTCTATTTGCTCTAGTAAGCCTGAGGCAAACCTCAGGAACGGGCCCTTCTGATAGCTTCGCATGCCTGTGCTTGCCTAAAATAGCTCCTAAAACTGATAGCTACCAACCTCTGGTGGAATAAGCTGTTTGTTCATATATCATCAACGTTCAGTTCTCTAATTTGAATTCTACCAACTCACTTTATCGAGAACCTATCTGTTCACCAACCAACAAAAATCTTCTCTTACTTTTGCCAGTGGCTGCTTCTCAGGATGTTTATTGCAAGATCTGAATATGGTGAGTTAGCTAAAGCATTTCTGCGGCGCCTATGTCCTCGTTGTATCGACTAACAAGTTCGCAGATCGGGGTATTAAGTATGTCGAATTCCCGACCACAATAGATCCCTCACAATTCGTTTCAATATTAACATAGCACCAGCACCTTTTCCCCGGAAGGTCGTTTGTTCCAAGTCGAGTACTCTCTAGAGGCCATCAAGCTAGGGTCAACAGCAATTGGAGTTGCAACCGGTGGTGGAGTAGTTCTCGGTGTCGAAAAGCGCGTAACGTCAACCTTACTCGAAACATCATCCGTTGAGAAGATTGTTGAAATCGATCGTCATATTGGATGTGCCATGTCAGGACTTCAGGCAGATGCACGATCCATGGTTGAACACGCTCGAGTCGAATCTCAAAACCACAGTTTCCACTACAACGAGCCTCTGAGAGTCGAGAGCTGCACTCAAGCTATCTGCGATTTGGCTTTGAGATTCGGAGAGGGTGCGGATGGTGAGGAGAGTACCATGAGTAGACCATTTGGTGTTGCTCTCTTGATTGCTGGATATGATGAGGATGGACCACAATTATACCACGCTGAGCCAAGTGGAACATTTTATAGATATGATGCAAAGGCTATTGGTTCAGGTTCGGAGGGAGCCCAGGCCGAACTACAGAACGAGTTCCACAAGGTAGGAGGAACACATAAACATCTACACATGATTCATTACTAACCCAAACTTTAGTCACTCACAATCGAAGAGGCAGAAACTTTGGTATTGAAGACATTGAAACAGGTTATGGAAGAAAAATTAGATTCCAAGAATGTACAACTGGCTAGTGTCACCAAGGAGAGGGGCTTCAGAATCTACACTGATGAGGAGATGGCAGCTGTTGTGGAGCGCTTACCTGCGAATTAAGATATCAAATGGCGAGAAAAGTCTTGAATCAATCACATGGACTAGTCAATCATAGACATCTCAATTGACATGAATGAACGATATTAATGCATGATCTTGTCTTTATCAGTTCTGCTGTTGTCTGACTATACATTCTCGTATTTATTTCAGCTCTTTCTACCAAAATCCAAGAATGATCGAAATGCAATACATATAGGATCTCGAAAATATCTCAACCTACAAGTGTAATGGAACCATCGTTATATCAAGAAGCCTTGGGGGCCTTGAGCTCGCCACAACGAAGAGAGTTGATGTAATCAATCTTAATGTCTCCCACAAGGTTGACTGAATACTTAGTCCCTGAATCATCTTCCAAAGCTCCTACGAATGATTCCCTTTACGAGCTTGCTTGCATTCTACATTTGTACATCCAGTTAGTTGCGTGCTTACAAAGGTTGATATTCTGGTATCCAAGTCTAAGCTGGATATTATATTTGGTGCTTTCGATCCGTTTAAAACATATTAAGTTCTACGAGGAATATATATTGATTGATTAAACTTTCAATTTTCAAGATCGATGAAATTGTCGATGTTAGTCTATAATGCAACATAAATGCAAATGGCTAGCTAATGGGACAGTACCTATTCCTCTGCTTCAACCTTCTTCTCTCCAGTGTCAGCAACAAGTACGCTCCTCTATTCAAGCATAACAACACAGAGAGCGGTAAGACAAGACGAGGTTGGTGCAATTTGGAACACTTTTGCAATGCTTCATTATATTCTATAAGATCAGTCTTTCGTAAATTTGCAGGAACCGAGCGGGGGAATAATGCGGTGCTATCCGAAGTGACAACACAAGATTTGTATTTTTTACCCAGACAATTCGGAAATTCTCTGTACAAGTTGATTGTTTATTATGTTCTGTCCGATGGAAACGAATACTGCTGCCTAAGAGTTGAGCGAAGAACATAAGCGCTATTCCTATGGAAAAACACTTTGTTGAAGAATCGTTCTGGGTAGCATGATTCGATGATTGAGGATACATGGCCATGCCGAAGCCGTACAGGGTCTGACAATCGATATATCTTCCTTTGTCTGTGTCGACTTCAGTATCATGAGCAGCCCATTCTCAACACACATAATGCAAGATCCCACGATTGTGGTCGGAGTGTGGTGCCCAATTTTTTTGAGTTGTGGTCCCTCGAAGAGTTGACGCGAGAACTAATGCTAGCTAGCATCAATGGAAGCAGCCGGATGTCGGAATCTATCGCATAGACTCCATCCATGGCTTGAAACCAACCTCCCAAAACCAAATTGGGAAGCCGTATTAAACGCACAAGATTGGCTTTTGAGATAATGACGCACTACTGGTAGTCTGCCTACTTGCTATATATATATCTACTGCGAAGGTCCGGCAAAGACAGTTGCCAAGAAGCCAGCGATTATGCTCCGCCTTTTGGAAATACGCGGGGGTATTGTAGTTGTGTCCAGAAGTAGTATCTAGACGGCAACAAACCACTCCGGGTATTAGAACATATTGCCAACAACATCGAATTGCGAAAGTCTTTCTATCAAAGGAAGCTTGGTTATTACCTCTGTCGGGAACCTTGAGGTAGAGTGCATATCAACTAGTATGCACTTCCATACGAGTCAGCATCTGAAAGAGAACTGGATTCATCTGTAACCTGTGGTATTGCTTGGTTGAAGTGGGCTATCAAATAATATGATCCCAACCTTCGAGGGTACATTGTAGAAGACTCGTTCGGAGGAGGTGGATAATCGGGGCCTGAAAGTATACCCTGAAAACAATTATACGTAACTAGAAACACGGTTTTGAGTACCGTGACTAGCAAAGAAATAATACGAGTGGAAGGTTGCTCCTGGTAAGTATCGTTGATTTTGCTCGGGGTATGATCATATTTGACCATGACATCTCCAAAGCTCTTACTGATCTGACCTGTACCCATCTCCGATTAGCTTTCAACAGTCGACTCTCCCATCGCGTACATTGTTCTCTGATTAAGAGCGGCGAGATTTTTCTGGTTTTCAAATTGCGAGTAGAATAGGGAGGTGACTTATTTCGACTTTCGACTTTCGAATTATGTGATCAAAATGATATCTGAAGACGTTGGAAGAAAGCTTCTCATAACCTTCGTCTTGATATCCCAGTTTTACTTACCAAATCGCAGAAATAAAGATTGCTTCTGGGTCTGAGGAATTCCCAAGGTTGGGGTACAGTTAACATTACCCGAAGCACCCAATATCGACATCATGACTTTGAAGATGCATGACTTGAGAAGGTTTAGAAGATGTTTTAGGGGCCGAGGAAAGACCATAAGGTAGTTGATGATGGATGATTGAGTTTTGGAGGCAGCTTATTAATTAGGTGATCAGTCAATAGCGCTGAACTAGATATCGATGCTTAAAATTGAGGTATCTTTAAATTCTCGAGAACTATGTGCGGATAGTTATATGCTCATATTTCGTTTATTACATATTCCTTGCTTCCCTTTTAACAGAATTGGAAGTTCGAAGGTATTTGCATTGATGACTGACAATGAAATACACACCTACTTGTCAAGCTACGGTCATGGTATTCCAGTATAAAGTTAACTAAACTCCCATAATCAACAACTATGTTATGATCCCGAACAACCAAATTAGTGAGCAATAGCTCATTGCAATATAAAATGACATACCAGCGAATTTAAATTCAATATTGAAAGCACTCGGTGATGTATTGAGGTTGAGTCTGCCATGACTAAAACTTGTCAGCGGGCATTACAAAGTCCCGATTGGCCAATATTCGGTATCAAGATGAGTCAGCAACCCCCCTCTCCACGCTTCTTTCATTTGTACGTACAGTACAACCTCGAGCTTCTGGAAATATCGCAAATTTCTATCATGTTCTAAGACTAAGACTAGGCCCCTCTCTCCTCAAAGCCCAAACACTTTTTCCACACCCTTACCTACATACTCAAAAGCCCCGCAACGCCCACCGCACCTGCAAACGTGATCCAGCCCACCCCCACAATACCCACCGCACTAATAAGATATGAATTGAGATGCGTATTAATATCCAGGTACAGACAAGATTCGTCTCACTTGGTTGATCGGAACTCTTATCTATTACTATATACGACCTCGTGGAAAGTGCTCCACAAAGAACATTGTCCTCATCGCAGTGGCACTAGGCTGCTTTACATTGTTAAGCGGCCGTCCTGCGTGTCAAGGATCTAGATACACGCGCTTTTAATACTATCTCGGTTATCGTCTAATGAGGCTCTTTCCTTCCTGGGTGCCTATTACTTGGCCATCGATATCAAATTCTCAACATTGTGCATCTATCTGACTCCAAAGATATCACTAAACGGACTGTATAGAAACTATGTCAAAGGTACCACTTATCCCACCCGATGAGAGAATATCAGATATGTCCTCTGCGACGTCAACCCTCACCTCATCCCAAAAACCACGACGTGTACTTGCTTGTATGCTTTGTCAACAGAGAAAAGTCAAGTGTGATCGCAAACACCCTTGTTCTCATTGCGTCAAGTCACGAGTACAATGTGTACCGGCAACACAACTTCCTCGCCAGCGAAGACGCAGGTTTTCAGAGCGAGAGCTGCTAGATCGTCTTCGCAAGTACGAAAATCTCTTGCGCCAAAATAATATCAAGTTTGAGCCTCTTCACAAAGACTCGCCTGTAGGGAAAGAGTCTCCTCGGGTGGAAGTTCAAGATGATTCCAATGATGAACAGCCAAAGATTGCGAGGGCAAATGCGTCATCTTCTTCATCAACTTTCAGTTCCAAAAGAGTATATGGGGCTACGTATGCATCCTCTAAAGACCTATACAATCCTTACTAATTGTGTCAGGAATGTCTGGCACGCTATGAGTCAAGAAGTACAATATCAATTATATCTCATGTGATTCAAGATCTTATCACTGACAGATGAGATAGTTTCGGGAACCCGATAATTATAGCAATTCTTCTGATGATGATGTGCGCGAAGCGGATATGAAGAAAGCGTGGGATCAAATATCCGAAAATGATAACCTTTTATTTGGCTCACGTATCACAACCGTCGATATCTCTACCCTTCACCCAGAACCAGTCCAAATATTCAGACTTTGGCAGATATACTTGGACAATGTGAACTCACTGCTAAAAGTCACGCACACTCCTAGTCTCCAGGGACTCATCATAGAAGCGGCTAGTAAAGTTATGAATATCAAGGCCAATTTGGAGGCGTTAATGTTTGGCATCTATTGCATGTCTATTTCGAGTCTGACCCCGGAAGATTGTCAGCTTATTTTTAGTTCGTCGAAAGCAGATCTCCTGACGAGGTATCAGTTCGGTTGCCAGCAAGGTCTGTTGAACAGTGGATTCCTACGGAACAGGAACGATCGAGACAGCTTGACTGCATTATTCTTCTACCTAGTAAGTCTATAGGACATTATGTATCCACCTGCTGACGATTTAAGCTCTCCATTAGACCCAACTCGGTCCCTCAATCTCTGTCTTCCATGCTCGCCGTTGCCATTCGTACTGCTCAACGTATGGGTTGTCACAGTGAACTGGCCTTATCTAAACTTCCACCTCTAGAGGCTGAAATGCGCCGAAGACTTTGGTGGTCACTTGTACTTTACGACACTCGTGTCGGCGAGCTCTCTGACTCCAAACACGCGAACTTAGCTCCTACGTGGGACTGCAAAATTCCACTTAACGTGAGTGATTCGGATTTTCATACGGAGATGAAGGATCCCCCACAAATTCAAGGAAAACCAACCGAATCAATTTTTGCCGTTGTACGCAGTGAATTGGGAGACTTGATTCGAAATACCAAATTCCACTTTGATTTCAATAATCCTGCATTAAAGCCAGCTGCCAAGGATATTCATCATGATCCTACAACAGAAGGCAGTGAGCTCGCCAAATTAGAAAAAATCATCGAGGAAAAGTATCTCCAGTTCTGTGATCCGGAAAACCCACTCCACTTCATGACGATCTGGACGACGCGAATGAGTCTTGCCAAATGGCACCTGGTAGAACACTGGCACTATTCTGGGAAAAACTACTCATCCAAAGTAGGTATCGTACGCGATACCACCATCTCCCACGCCCTCACCATGCTCGAATGCGACACCAAACTCATGACATCTCCCCTCTCCAAAGGTTTCATCTGGCTGTCCTACATGTATTTTCCCTTCCCGGCCTACTTTCAAATCGTGCAGAATCTCAAACGACGACCGCTCAGCCCACAAGCAGAACAGGCTTGGGAGGCCATGACTGCCAATTCTGAGGCGCGCTTTAATACACTGCTGTATGATGAGATCCCCGGACCGTTCTTCAATATCTTCGCAAAGATTATCGTGCAGGCGTGGGAGGTGCGGGAATTGGCTTTTGCACAGATGGGACAGGTGGTGCTGGAACCGGGGTTGGTGGTCAGTATTCGGCGGAGAATGGCGGAGTCGGTGCGGAGTGCGGGGGAGGGTGAACGGGCAGGTGAACGGGCAGGTGTTGGTGGAGAGGATAGAGATGGTGATGAATTTTCTATGGTGGCGCCAGTGGGGTTTTATGGTATGGGAGATGAATATGGATACGCAGGACTGGGAATGGAATCGGGATCGGGATCAGGGACTTACAACGATATGTCCGGACTGGGATTGATGGACGGTGAAATCAATCAGCTGGACTGGTCTGCCATGGACTGGAACGCATTGAACATGCAGACTGGTGGAACTGGGCCGCTTCCATATTAGGAGCAACGAGCATGCCAAAGAAAAAGGACGGGTGAAATTACTGTATAAACGTGTAAACTAAATAGATTTATAGACGAGGACTGGCAGTTCCCCCCTCATAATATGTATGTATATATTCTAAGATACCCCACACAATCAATGTAATAAAGAGTAAAGAGGATTTAAACTACCATTTTAAGTTCCATGTAACAGTTACATACATACATACATACATACCCCAGAAACCACAGCTTCACTGTAATCAGTAATCACCAATCCATCTACTCGTATTACACCATGGTGGTGTATAGAACAGAACAAGGAACTGGATGGAGCATTATAAATTTTAATCATAAGAAATCCCTCTTCTGTCCTAAACTCTCCTATATTTCCAATTTTCCATACACCCGACCGACCTGGCAAAGAGCTTCATGATTCACCCACCATCATCCGCAATGAATGGAGACCCCGCCTCTCATTTTTTTTCCGCATACCTAACTAGTAGGTACCGGTAGATAATAGGTATGAGACTATGAGTACTGTACCCATTATTGTATTGCCTAATAGAGGAATTTGTCCTTGTGATCCCTATGATCTTAGCAAATATAAACAAACACACTCCGTATTGGGACGGGAGTAGGGGAGGGGAAGGGGAGGGATTCCTATGAATTATTATTATTATTGGCGTGAACGGCGTGGACACGCACGCTATAAATTACCAACTACAGTAGAGCCCATGTAAAGCCAAGTAAGTAGGTAGGTAGGTAGGTAGGTATGTAATATGTAATTAACCAACCAATTGTTACTCAAGAGTCAAAAGAGATGCAATGTAATACTACTAGGTAGGTAAGTTAACAACAATGGTTTGGGTGGGTGGCGAAATGCACATGAATGAACTTATGGATAGGGATTTGTGGATGTGGAGGTGGAGGTGGAGGTGGCTTGTATGGAAATTGAATGGATTATCAGAACATGGATGCATAATAAATAAAATAATTAAAATATGTGGGGGAAGTGGGTGCTTATCGGTATCGGTATCGAATCGGTGGTTGGCCGTTATTTTATTTATTTTTTTGTTGAGAAGCGGGGGGAGAAGAAGAAGAACGAACATTGAAGAAAATTGGAAAAGCCGGATTACCGGTATTCGTATTTTTGAATGAATTGTTTATTATATTCGTGGGTTTTGATTGGTTGGAACGAAACTTGGAACTTGGAATTGATCCGAATTGTTCGAGTAACTTGGATTGGAGTTGGTGACTGGGTTATAGATAATGGATTGTTTATGATGTTTTATAAATTTGAATTGGAAGACTAGAGACTAGATATGGTTAGGTCAGGTCGAGATGGAGAGGAGGTTTGTTATCAATATAAATTTCCTAATTGAGCATTATTGAAGCTGGTATCTTTAGGAGAGATAGGTAGGTATAGTATCCTATTTTTGGTATAATGCAAATGCAGGTCCGAAAGGCTGTGAGATGTTGGGTTGTCAGGGGGTCTAATGTATGCCAATAAGACATTTTAAGGGGTCCAAAATAAAAAAGTTTTATATATAATCTATCTTGAACTAATTGCCCTAAAGAAACAATTCTTCGTTATTATATAGTTTGGAGATTTGAGTATATTTAACTATCCATAACATCTTTAGGGAAAATAACAATGGCTTCCTATCATTTTACTCGAGTATCCAGTGACAGTCAGTTGTTATTATTGTTGTTGGAATGGAAGGAAGGAGCAATCGGTTAATCCACCAATAAAATCAATGACGCAATCAAATCGATTTTCTGTTGGGACGTTGAGGATTTTTGATATCATTCACAGCCTGATCTAATTGTTAACAATGATAACCACATTTATCACATTTACTATATGGCTTATTCCATATAGGAAATGACCGAGGAGAATAGAATCATACTCAGTTCATTATCATGGTAAATAGGAGCATAACCTTTTTTTTTTTTTTACATCTAATCCTATAACTTTTCATCAAATTCGAGATTCTTTCCTATTTTAGACAAACAAAATTGTTGTTAAATTCCTTGATCCACACTGGAATCCTGGATACCGTATCAAAGATTCCAAGAGAGACTTCTTCTTCTTCTTCCTCTTCTTGACCAAGAACTTTGAAGCTTTCATCCATCCTAGTTTGCCTTCAATGTGTGGCGAATTCAAGGCTTGACTTCCTACAAGTTTCCCTCCAAAAAAAAAGAAAACCAGAAATCGGAAAATCGGACAATCGAAAAAAAAAACGAAAAAAAGGACTTCATTCCTTCATTCCACTTATGTTTGATAACCCAACCGAGCCACCGATTCATCCAGTTCCCCTTGAACAGTTGAACTTCCTTACCCATCAATTCTTCCCTACAACTCAACCCATGTTCGGAAAGTACAATTAGTGCATTTACATAAACGCACCAATCTACTTATAAGTTCATTACTCCTCGACACTTACCTCCTTTCCTTCTTCTTCCCTTACGTTTTCTTTTCAACCATCGACATTCTTTCAAAGATGGCTTCAATTACGTCGCAACCTTCGAGTATGGCGAAGACAACTGAGCCAAATCGTAATAAGAAGTACGATCCAAAGAAACCTCACATCACCGAGGAGCCAGTTACCAGGGCAAATTGGTACAAACATGTTAACTGGCTTAACATCACTCTCATCGTGGGAGTTCCTATTTATGGCATGATCATGGCCTACTGGACTCCTTTACAATGGAAGACTGCCGTCTGGGCCGTTCTCTATTACTTTATGACTGGTTTAGGTATCACAGCTGGTAAGTTTCAATCAATTCCTTCCTGCAATTGATTACATCTAACGGTTTCTTTTTCATTAGGTTACCACAGACTTTGGGCACATTCCTCATACTCTGCCACCACCCCATTGAAGGTTTTCCTCGCAGCTGTTGGAGGTGGTGCCGTTCAAGGCTCCATCAGATGGTGGTCCAGAGATCACAGAGCTCATCATCGATATACCGACACCGACAAGGACCCATACTCCGTTCGAAAAGGTCTCCTATACTCTCACTTTGGATGGATGATCATGAAACAAAACCCAAAGCGTATTGGTCGTACCGATATCTCCGATTTGAACGATGATCCAATCGTCGTCTGGCAACATCGCAACTACATCAAAACTGTTATCTTTATGGGTATGGTCTTCCCATGTCTCGTCACTGGTCTTGGTTGGGGTGATTGGTTCGGTGGCTTCATCTACGCCGGTATTCTCAGAATCTTCGTCGTTCAACAAGCTACTTTCTGTGTCAACTCCTTGGCTCATTGGCTTGGTGATCAACCATTCGATGATCGTAACTCTCCTCGTGATCACGTCATCACTGCTCTCGTTACTCTCGGAGAAGGTTATCACAACTTTCATCACGAGTTCCCCTCCGACTACCGTAATGCTATCGAATGGCATCAATATGACCCAACCAAATGGTCCATCTGGATGTGGAAGCAACTCGGTCTCGCGTTCGATCTCAAGCAATTCAAGTCCAACGAAATTGAGAAGGGTCGTCTACAACAATTCCAAAAGAAGCTTGACCAGAAGAGACAGACTCTTGACTGGGGTATTCCTCTTGAACAATTGCCCATCATCGACTGGGACACTTATCAAACCGAAGCCAAGAATGGACGTGCTCTCGTTGCCGTCGCTGGTGTTATTCACGATGTCACCGATTTCGTAAAGGAGCATCCAGGTGGAAAAGCTCTCATCACATCCGGTATTGGTAAAGATGCCACCTCTATATTCAATGGTGGTGTCTACAATCACTCCAACGCCGCCCACAATCTTCTCTCAACTATGCGTGTCGGCGTCTTACGTGGTGGATGTGAAGTTGAGATCTGGAAGCGCGCTCAACGTGAGAACAAAGATATTTCTTTTGTCAGCGATACAGCAGGTAAAAAGATCATTCGAGCTGGTAGCCAGGTTACCCGTATTGCGGAACCTGTTCCATCAGCCGATGCTGCTTAAGCAGTTTCATTTAATGAGTGGATGATTAGACTGCCTAAACTGGCAAATTAAAAATTGCATCTTTGTTTTTACAAGCGGGGGTTGTGTGTCGTTATAGACTGGGGCGTTGGGAAATTGGTCAATGACGATTTTAATATCAAAAGTCAATGGATGGAGGGATGGGTCAGTCATTGCAATTCGCACTTTTATAAAGAGTGTTGATTATGTATCTTGAAGAAAGAAAGAAAGAAAGAAAGAGCGTAAAAAGCGCTCAATTTTGCAAGGAGAGATGACTCTAATTACATATTTGAGTCGAATAGAAATACAAATACATTCCCTTCAATTTGAGATTTATGATATATTTGTTATTTGACGGTGTGACAGTGTGATTTCTGCAAATATATGAGCATTGGAAGTCCAATATGATTTTCCATGTACTTTAATGCTGAGCCCGACGAATTTACTCGTAGGTACAATGCAACATCCCAACCTATGACGCTTCGATCTTGGATTGTATCATAGGTGGTTGGTGGTTAGTGATTAGTAGTTAGTTGTTGGGATGAGATGAGATCATAGATCTATATATAGCACGAGTAGAGTAGATAGATAGGCAGGCTGGGTCACTCAACAATTTTTGTGGATGGGATGGCATGGGATGGCATGGGATGGGATGGGACGTGATATACGTCATACTTTGAACGGGGAAGGAAGGGAAAGAGATGGAAAGGGATGGGATGGAATGGATGAGAGGAAAGGAGGGGAATGGGATGGGTAGGAGAGGAGGGGATGAGGAGGAAGGGGAAGGGATGAGGAAGGGATGAGGAGGAAAGGAGGGAGGGGATAGAATAGAAGGAAAGGAGGGGATGGGAAGGGAATAGAATAGAAGGAAGGGAGGGAAAGGAAAGGAGGGGATGAGGAGGGGAAATATATATATATGAGTTTGAATTAGGAGTTTGAGTTAGGAGTTAGATATAAGTTAGTTAGATATAAGTTACATACTTTACTTTGGATATCTAGAAAATATACTCTACAAGTAATCAATCTCAATTTAATCTAATCTAATCTAAGAATTTAAGCTTTTACTCGAGTAAATCATTTACCTTTTTTATTTTTGTTATTTCTCTTTGTATTGCTAGTGTATTGGTACGAGTATTGTATTGTATTGTATTGTATGGTTTATGGTTTATGGTTTATGTTTTTATTGGTTTTAGATTTTTTTAATTGGTTATGTAATATGTAGTATATATGATGGATGGGTATACTCGAGTAGTTTGTAGAATTCTCTTTTATGTTATGTTATAATGATATTATAATACCATGTAATACTTGTACTCGAGTAAGATTACAACGGGTGGGGAGAAGCAAGCGGGTTAGCGGGTGAATGGGAAGGAGGTGAGTGGGTGAGTGGGAAAGGGGAAGGAGTAAGGAGTAAGGAGGGGTAAGGAAGGTCTGTTTGAGACTGTGAACTGTGAGTGAGTGTGTGAGTGTATAAGGAAGTACTGTAAGTGCTGTATTTGTGCCGAGGTTCATTGTTGATGGATAGACGGATGGGACCCCTAAATTGGCATGATTTGATTTGTTGTAATATCCAATCCTCATTCTGTTTAGGTAGTCTAATAGGGTAGGTAGATGATATATTTGGGTTTGGGTTTGTGTTTCTCATCATCTGTATCAGAAGTTGTTCAATCCATCTTAATTCCATCATCTATCTATACTCGAGTACATATCCAAAGTTAGCTATACCAAACAAGCAAGCAAGCAAGCAAGCAAACATGTCCTCTCCCAATAACTTCAACGCCAAAAATGACATCGGACTCAAGCGTCTAAGTATCTTGATGAAAGGATGGAAGGATATGAATAGTAAAGGGGGATATATTGTTTGTTTCTATTTCCTTTTCTCTTCTTCTTCTTCTTCTCTTCTTCTCTTTCCCTGGTCCTCTTGAATTCATCATCTCATCTCACATCACATCAAAAGATATATAATAAAATAAAATAACAAAATAAAATCCAAATCCAAATCCAAATAAAAGCTAACCCTTCCTTACCTAGGGCTGGGGTCACGATCTCCTACCTTCTCTTTCCCTTTCTCCTATCAGGGAACATCATACGCATAATGTGACGATGTTTGTTTTTCGGCCGACGGTGCATCATTGGTGAGTTTTATTTTGGTTGGGTTGTTTTTTTTGTGGTTGTGTTCTGTTGAGTAGAGTTGATTGAGACTTGATTTGGGGGTTGTTTTGGGGTTATTTTGTTTTGTTTTGTGTGTTGTATTGCTTGGTTTCCTGTATTTTTTTTTTTTTGCTGTGCTTTGGGAGTTTTATATATGTTCGTTTTCTACTCGAGTATATACATGTCTTTATCTTTATTTTCTATCCCTCAAGTTCCCTTATCATTCTCATTTCTCATTTCCCATTTTCTATATTCCTTTGCCTTTACATATTCATTCTACACCCTTTTCCCTTCCAATACTTCCCCCTCTCACTCCCCCTTGTCTATCCCCTTATTCCCTACCCCCTACCCCCTCATCCCCTCATCCCCCCCCAAAAAACACAACAACAACACACAAACTAACCACCCTCCCCTCACCCAGTAACGGAATGGGCACCGTTCACGGCGGTTGCATCTCGACCGTATTCGATGCATGTACCAGTGTGGCATTGGTGGGTAGGTATAGTGGGGAGAAATGGGGGGGTGGAGGTGTTAGTAGGGGGTTGGGAGTTACGTTTTTAAAGGGGATTGTTGTTAAGAAAGGGAAGGAGGAGGGAGAGGGAAAGGGGAAGGGAAAAGGGGAGGGAGGAGGAGAGGGAAAGGGGGAAGGAGAGGAAGAGGGAGAAAATGATGTTTTGGTGGAGTGTGAGGTTGTGGGGGGAGTGGGGAGGAGAAATGTGGTTTTGAGGGGTGAGTTTTTCTTTTCTTCTTCTTTTTTGGTCTGGTCATTTCCTCTTTTCTCTTTTTCCTTGCTTTTTGTCTTGGCCTCGCTTTGTGTGATATATTCTCCAATCCTCCAATAACTCAGAAGCGAACATCCAACAAACCCCAGTACCAAGGTTCTCCTATCTGGGGAGAACGTCAGGAGAAAAGGGTATGTATGTGATGATGAAACCAATTCTAACACCAATTCTCACACCCCAGGAACAATGAAACGACGAAATGGAGAGGTACTGGCTATTTGTGAACATAGTAAGGTTAATATTGAGGGTGTGGATTTGCCAGTTGTGGGAAAGGGGGAGAAGAATGAGGGGAAGAATGAGGGAAAGGAGTCGAAGTTGTGATGGGGATTTTAGGGTATGAGGGTATGAGGGGGGGAGGGGTAGGCTTTTGTGGAGGTGAGAGTGTGTTGGTTGCTTAGGGAATGTTTGATGATGGAGAAGGGGAGGGAGGAGGGAGGAGGAAAGAAGTTAAAAACGATACTCTAGTAGAGAAGAAAGAGAGGAAGGAAGATGATAAATTGTACTCGTATATAACCAACTCGATAAACAAATCGTGCAAATATCGCGTCATATCCTTTGTGCAAAAATCAAATTCCTAAATCATTTACTCAGTACATTTCAACCATCTTCATCAACTACTTATATATCCCTCCCCAGCGCCCCTTGTTATACTACAATAGATAGACACACTAAAAAACATACCATTAGATACCTACCTAGTACGTAAACTCTACTCCGCACATCGTACTCGAGTAGTCAATACAGTAAGTAGTATGAACCAGTCCAATCAGGAAACCAACAGTTTAAAAGCTGTACTTCCATCAACTAGCATTTTAAACATCATAAACCAAACCGATTAAACTCAAGATTCTTCAACAAGCAGTTTGCATGTTATAAACTAAACCGATTACTCGTAGCAGTTTGGATTTCCGGAATTACAATTACTCGAGTAGACAGACAGACTGTTAGTTTAATTAGTATGCTCCTACTAGCTAGTTAAGTTTAATTGGGTAACTACTTACTCTAATGAATATACTAACTCGACTCGAGTATAACACAGTATAATATAATACAATGCCGGTGCTGCAGTCACGTCCTCATTATATTACAGCCCTACGAGTATACTTACTCTCACTAACCTCACACATACCTTATTCATACCTCACATACCCACCCATCTATCTTCTTTCTTTTCTACACCAATAAACTTTCTCTTCGATACGCGTATGAGTATACATATCCTAACCCCAACCCCAAATCTATCATCTAACCGCGTATTTCGTATTTCGTATTTCGTATTCATACCTCGTACGTATCTCGGTCTCCTGCGTATTCTATACGCCAGCCAGGCACAACCAGTACCCGCATAACCAACCTCCATTCCCCCCCTATACAGACAATACCTCTCATCATCCTCTCATCCTCTCATCCTCTCCTCTAAACCCCCAAATCTCCCAAATCTCCCAAACAACCAAGTATACAAATATACAAATATACAAACAACTGCAAGGAATTTTTCAGAACTCTTTCCCAACCCGAGTTCCAACCCAAGCCCAAAGTACCAAGTACCTACCTACCAACTAATAAGATACCGAGCCGCTCAGGAATCCGCATACATACACACACAGCCTTAATAAGTTGATATTCTTCATGCTGTACCGAGTACTCGTATATATCTCACGCAGATACGTTGATATGTAGATAGATATCCATACACATACACAGATAGATACCTCTCCCTATATGCATAAGATACGTAGATACGTAGATATCCATATACCATATCCATATCCGATCAAATCCAATACAATACAAATACAATCCAATCCAATCCAACTCGAGACCTAGTAGATCGACCATAATGATACCATGCCATAATGATAACATATTCCATTCCTATCCTTTCCTTTGATTTGAAATGCATGTCATCATCCCCATTCTCTCAATCACTTATTCCCCCCCCCCCTGTTTCCCTGTCCAAACTCTCACTCCCACTCCCACCTCCACTCCATATCCAGATTCAAATTCCACACATTGATCCTCACCAAACCCCCTCCTATCCCATCCCATCCCATCCCTTTTCCAATCAAATCAAATCAAATCATCCATTCATCCATCCATCCACATCCATCCACACACTCACACACACACTCACACACACACTCAACCAAGAACTTCGTAAATCTTGATATTTATTATATTACTACATTGACATATACATACATACAAAGCATTCCTTCCCCATCATCATCGTCATCTCTATCTACCACGTTCCTCCATTTTTACCACGTTCCTCCATCTCCACCATCTCCTTCAATGTCCGTCCACATGCCATCCCGATCTCCAACCCTCCGCATGAGAACATGTCCAAACAACATGATATCATAACATATCATATCATCTCCCACCTCCCCTTCCCCTTCCCCTTCTCCTTTCCCTTCCCCCCTCACAAAATCTCCCACTTGAAATATAAAAAGAAGTGCATAATTAACAATCGACTAAAAAGCATACACCCACACACACATCTTAAAAAATTCCCTAGACCTGCCTGCCTGCCTGCCAGATATGTATGTGATGATGCGTGGGGAAAAAAGAGCAAAATACAAAAAAAATCTTTGTATGTAATGCCAGCCAGCCAACCCACCAAACCCAACTCCTTGCTACCAATCCTTGTTTTATATGTCCATTACTCCTGTACTCTTGAATGCACAATGTAATTACCAACACAATGCGCGCACCGGGTTTTAATTGTTCAACTCTGGAAACAATTTGACATAATTATGTTCACCCACTTCCAGAACCGTAATTTCGTCTCCGACTCTTAAAGCGCTTTCTTTTGTGGTTGGTACCAATTGCATACCCAGACAACCGAGATTCTTGCCGGCTCCTTTGTCAATGGCTCTGAAGCTTCGAATGGTTTTATCGGGTTCGGATGTATGTCTCTCTCCTGTCTCTTGATCCACATTGGGCATTTTGCATCGGACTGTTCGGCATGATACATCGTATTCGTAGAAACCAATCTTAATTCGTCTCCAATCGTCTTCATGATAAGCTGGTGGTCCGGTAACTGAAATGTATTAGTATGGGGCATGAATGATTTGCGAAGTTCGAGGAATAACATACTGATCAAATTGGCACGGAAGCGACCTGCAGATAATCGAGGCGCCCCCTTAACCTTTGGCATTCTACTCTCAACATCTCGGATACTAGCAAGATTGATAAGGTGGAGAGGATACTGGGTCGAATTAGCAAAAAGTTCATACAGCAGTTTTGTCAAAGATTGGGTAAACTTACAGCATCTTGAAATCCAGTCACTGGTTGATACCCAAGTTGCGCCTTTGTAGGCGCGTTTCTGAATACTTCTCTAGGATTCCCACTGTCAACTCTGAACAAACCCAACTTATTACTGATACCGAGATAATATCTGAGTTCCTCTGGAATCTCAATTTCCACATTCAAAGCATTAACAGTTTCTTTCCAGATCGTCATTTTCTCAACAGTGTAACCTGCTTTCTCAATTTGTACTGGTGATGGATCGAATGGCACACGGAATTGTTTCTCGGGCACTGTTCCCATGACTTTGGCTCCCCAACTTGCGACCGTTCCTCTCCAGCCAGGTTGTTGATATGGGAAGCTCATGACTACAACTCCTCCACTCTCGACATCATTAATGTGAGGAGCATATGTATCGACACTTTGATCTGGAATCCACATCTCAGTTCTAACTTTTGCCAACAATGGAAATTGTCGTTGAGTGATGAACTCCCATTTGTGTGCGGCCTTCTTCTTATCTGGATCATTCTCGGCGACGGGAAAGGGACTTCGGAGTTGAGCAAAGGTAAATTGACGATCATATTCCATTCCACTTGCAATGATGGTTCCTCTACCCAATTCAACCCCTTTACAGCTCTTGACTGGGTAAATCCACATGCTCTTCAATCGCCACCATTCTGCCGATGTTTCTTCGGTACTGGGAGGACGTCCTTCGGCGAATTTGGGATCGAATTCATTTGTAAGATTACTGTCGATTTTCAAGCCAAGCTTTCTGCAACCCTTAGGTTCTTCGGCACGTTGTCGCGATTGTTCGAGCTCGTAGAATGTTAAAAGGAGGATAGGAGGTATACATATGGTCAAGACCGTAAGGACATATGTGGTCGTAGAGATAACTGGCATTTGCTTGAGCAATTGTTCCATGTAGATTTCGAATTGTTCCATGGCTAGCTCGAGGTATGGGCGGATGAGAGAAGACATGGTGAGGAAGTCGATTTGCGAAATGAAAGCACAATAATAAGGCGCTATCTAAATTCTGGTAAATGTTAATATTCTGATACTGATTGCCTTGTGACGTGAGAATTTTGTATTACCAGAGACTGTACATGGAAGATGCAGATTAAAGAGTGTAAGAGAAGAAATGAAATTTAAGAGTAAATCTGCAGAAGTCGAAGCACCAGAAGAAGCAGCAGCTCTTAATGCGAAGATATCGACTTTTGTAATAAGTTGATGATTTGAATTGAATTGAATTTGCGGAAGAGGAGAGGAGAGGAGAGGTGTCGTTCGTTTGAAACTTTGAGGTAGCTCTCGTACGGATGGTTTTGCTAGACACTAGTGTCAAAAGTAGACTGACTTAGTACCGGTACAAGATTTAAGGAGATCAATTCAATTTTTAAGAATTAAACATCAGATCTCTCTTAAAGTTTGTTTCGTTGATAGTAGTTGCCAATAAAAAGAATTTAAAAAAGAGCGTGAATTCTAGATAATTAAATCTTGAGCTAAATTAAGATTATTCGTAAATGGTTGGTGGGGAGAGAGAGAGAGAGAGAGAGAGAGAGAGAGATGAAAGATGTTCCTGAGCACAACAATATACTCGTAATATATTTTAAGGAGGAATTTAAGGATTCGGGAAGGTGTTGGTAGGAGTTTTACGAGTACAATAAAAGAGTAAAAGAAGTTCGAGGGAGACTTGTTGATCTGTTGATATTGTTATTGCATTGCGCGACCAAAAGATCCAAACGTTTCTTTGGCCAAGATTAGATTTCATAAATTGCACAGCCCATAAAGATCATCCAAAAGTGGAAATCAGGACGCGCTTTTCAATTGCCTTCTTGGATATCTCATTCTCTTGGCTTTATGTATTTAACTTTTTCTCCTACCTTTTAGGAATCACCAACAATTCATGGTAATTCGAGTATCATAGTAGCTACGAGTAAGAACTGAATGATATGCTATACTGTATATAGATAGAAACTGATGTTATACCAACCAATTGCCCTCATTCAATTTCTATTTAGCATCTTCACTTGCTCATTTACCATATGAAATGAGGTTAACAAGCACCGTATTCCTCTCCTATCTACTTCTCCCATCGATATCTACCTACCTACCACATGCATTTCCAGGGTCTCGGCTAACCAAGATTTTTCCAGATCTCTGCAGGAATTAACTTCAAACTAGCGACCTTCTTAGCTTCTAGATGAATATAACCCCTGTGACGTTTTCAGCAAAGTAGGCATCTAAATACACTTTTTTACGATTTATCTAATTTCCTTCGCGAATCACTTATCGAAAGATTTTGATACAATGGGTACCATTCTACTATGGTATGGTTTGAGCATGGTATATTGCTATGCGGAAGACCACTTCAGGGAGAAAACATGAGTTGGGAAGGATGTCCTTTATGCTAATCTGGGGTTTCCGCCATATAAATGATGATATAGGGGGTTTCCGATGTATATTCAAAATTGGGGAATGGTTAGAAGCGTTGATGGGGTGAAACATTCTGGCCTTATGAAGATAGATGTACCAGTACAAAGATACTGAGTCGTATATCAGTATCAAAACTCAAGATGGGGATCAGTCATACCTATGGACCCCTATTCCAAGGTTCCATTCCATCTTCTTTCCATCTCTATCGCAATAATGGAACATTGGAACCCCCCGACAGATAGCCTTCCCAATCCGCATCATGAGAATCGCAAAAGCCCCTTTCCATCAACGCAGATAGGGGTACTTGTACCTGAATACAGCACATTAAAATACATAACCCGACACTAGCCTAATCCACAAAAACCAACTGTTGTACTCGGTACATAAAAACCAGTCCAATCCCCATCAAGATTCCAATGTACATGCAACCAGCCTATCTATGCATTACATTTATGCACATCCATCGTGAAGAACCACCTGCCCACCTGCATCGAACCCGCAAGCAACTTACAACTTACCAGCAGTCAAAAAAAAAATCCGCCCCCGAAATATCACAGACGGTAAACGGTAACAACCTTCGACTCCCCGAGTAAGAAAAACGCATGGAAATTTCAAATAGGATCCATTGTCTAATTTCCGAGCTGAGCTTGACTTTATTTGAGTTTATGTTCATGTCCCAACCACCCGTCACGGTACAACCCATACAGTACCACCGAACGAATCATCCAATCCAATCCAATCCCCATCCCATCCAAATCCAATGTAATCCACCCCAATAAACATAAACACAAAATAACATGTGAAAACTCCCCAACCGTATGGTAGGAACTCGCTCCCTCGGAAACACATGTGATTCCTCTCCCCCTCCCCTCCCCCGGCCAAAAAGAGAGGAGAGCAAGAACCGATATTGGCAGAGGCGTTTGTGGCGCCAGGAGCCACGTACTCCTATTATATCTCACGATGTCCACTGTCCAAGTCCACACCAACACCCCCAACACCAACACCAACACCTTAGGCCAATTTCCAATTTCCAATTTCCAATTTCCCAGTGAGTGGAGACAGACTCGAGAGAGAAGGTCTTGGCACTTGCTACCATTTGGTTGGTACCACCTGAGGTCGATACAGCTCAACGAAGCTCCAGGGTTCGAACTTCGAATTGCAAACGTTGCACCCACCAATCAAATAAAAACATGCTCAATCTCTACCTACAGAAAAGAATTAGATTGTCGTAATCTTACTGCAAAGTTGCAAATCAAATGCATGTATGAAAGACAACTCAACTTTATGGGGAATGTTGTGGCAAGGCAAGATAGAGGCCAAATCATCTAAATCAGGAGTGTCTAAAGTCGAAAATGAAGATATATATTCGTAAACATATATCTATGATGCATCATTATTCCGATAAAATATCTACATGAAACTTAAGTATCTATAGATTCATATTTATTCATATAATCGTTATTTCAGGTATCCCTCTTTCTTTCCCGTCGTCCCTTATCATCCAAAGGAAGTAACCTATTCCAAAGCTTGGTTAAACCCCAAATACGCCTCACATGAACGCCTTCATCAATTCATCCATATATCCATCCAACCAACAATCAAACAAACAAATAAACAAACACCTGCCTATCTAATCCCTCATTCCGTCCCGAACACAAATCGAATCAATTGAAATCCGCCGCCGTTAAACTTTGTACAACCGACGTGCCCTCACTAAATCTAGTTCGGAAAATACGGTTCGCGTTTTGGAACATGCCGTCTTTCAAACTGACAACGATGAATTGACTGCCATGGAAACGGGTTTTGATCAGTCGACCAATATTTTGTGTGTGTGACAGATCGAGCGCGGCATCCACTTCATCGAGAATATAGATGGGGGCTGGGTTGAATTGTAATAGGGCCATAATGAGTGAAAGTGCAATGAGCGATCTGGTGATCCGTTTGTTAGTAAATGCACATTTGCTAAAGGGTCAAGAGGAAGTCCATACCTTTGCCCACCACTCAATTCTGTCAAGCTCTGTTTCCACACTTTACCCAAGGATACCTTAACCTCTAAACCATCGGCTATAGTCTTCCCCTCAGGAGGTTCCAACTTTGCAAAACTGCCTGGTAATAATTCAGCGAATATCTGACCGAAATTCTTGTTGACTTTTTGCCAGGTTTCTTGTAAAGCTTTCTTCTTGTATTCGTCAAGACTGCCGATGGTTTCCTCGATCTTCTTTTTGTCCCTGATGACAGTTCTCATCATGTTCTTAAGTGCTACTTCCTTCTTTTCGACACTATCAATCATGTTCATAACCTTCGGATTGATCTTTTTCTTCATCCCCTGGAAGCGCTCGGTAAGATTCCTCAATGTAGATTTACATTCCGCGATGTTTTGACCTTTGAAGTCATAGGGAGTTCCAGTTCGACCAAAATTGTCTTTTTCATCAGCAATCCATTCGTGCTCTTTCTCCATGTGCGAGACTGTTTGCACAACAGCCTGCTGCTCCTTGTGAAATTTCTCAATCTGATGGCCTAGCTTTTGCATTTCTAGGCCTTCTTCAGTAATGCGAGATGCTTTTGATCGTGATGCTTGCTCAAGAGAATGTAACTCATCATCAAACCCTGTCAATTTAGCTCGTTCATCATCAAGATGTGCTTGTGCAATATCATGCGAATCCTACGCCAAAATCAGCTTCGTATATATCATGATCAGATGTTTACTGACCTTGACCTGCGCCTGCTCAGAGACTAGACCTGTAATCTCCTCTCCCTGAGCTTTTAAGGTTTGCTCGACTTCTTGAAGTTGTTCTTGTGCATGTGAAAGATCACCTCCAACCTGTTCCGTGTCCATCTGTGCACTTTGTAATTCTTTATGTAGTGCCTTGACAGCCGTCGAGTTTTTGGTAAGTGCTTTCCTCAAGAAATCAAGGGAGCTCTGCAGTTCAACGAGCTTGCCATCTTTATTATTATCAAATTCTTTCATATCTTTCTCAATACTTTTGATATCTTTGGTGGCTTCGTCCTGTCGTTTCTTTGCTTCGACCAAATCTTGCTTGAGTTGAACAATGCTGGCTTTCATATTCTCAATTTCCTGGATGATGGACGACGAGGAGTTGCCTCCAATTTGCTCCTCCGTAAGTTTGACCTCGTGAGATTTAAGATCTAGTTCTTGTTTGACTTTCCGTGCTTGGTCCATCCTCTTCTTCTCCCCGGCAATGGTGGCATGGAGATCTGCCAGCTCGGTTTCTTGTAACATCAGTTCCTTGTTAAGCTCATTGAGCTTCTGCATAGTGACCAGAACCCCACTTGAGTTGGGAGAACTACCTCCAGACAATGTACCAGAAGGATCATAGGAGTCACCTTCCAATGTGATACTCTTCATACGGACAGAAGGATCAAATGTTACTCGCTTAGCTGTAGCGGCATTTGCGCAGATTAAAGTATTTCCGAAAACGTAATCGATAGCAGTCGAGACTTCATCATCGTATCCTACTAAAGAGAGCGCGAGGTCAACTTTACCAGGGGCAATTCTTTGGGCAGCACCAATCTTCTCTGCTGAAGCCCGGAAGGCGGCAATTTTGTTCAAAGGTATGATTGTGACTCGCTTCCTCAGTTTTCCATTCTGGAGTAATTGGGTACCGGTGACTTCTGTGTCAACGACAACATTATACAATCGACCACCGGCACAAATTTCGAGAGCTGTTCCCGCAGCCGTATGGTTTTTGTCAATGGTGAAGAGTTGAGCCACCAGGCCCTTGACTTTCGACCTGTCGAAATTTGGGGTAGGGTCTGCATAATTGAAGTCCACATTTGCTACTTTGCGTTTCAAGCCGTCGGATTGTTCTCGGATCCTTCGAATATTCTGCTGAATTGTCGATTCTTGCTTATACATTTCCTCTTCCTTGCCTGCTTCGAAGCCCAATTTTTGAAGGTCCTTTTCGAGTTTCTGCGCTTGAGATCGCAATCCCTCGAGGTCGCCCAGAAGGCCAGCATTCTGCTCTTTAGCCTTCTTCGCCCTTGGCTCTTCTTCTTTGATTCGCTTCTCGAAATGGGTGATTTTCAATTTGGCTTGTTCTTGCTCGGTAGATGCAGCACTCAAACGGTTCCTTGCATCCTGCAATTGCCCTTGATATCCACTCTCTTGGCCTTCCTTAGATGCAACACCAGTTTGCAAAGTCTGCAAAAGCTCCTCTTTTGTCTCTGCTTCTGAATTCTGCTTCTCTAGATCTTCCTTGGCTTTGTCGTATTGCGATTGCAGTTTTTCGTAAACCTTAGTTTTCTGCTTCAGTAGAGATTCCATCTCAGCAACCGTTGTTTCAGTTGCTAACTTCCGTTCCTGCTCTTCCGCCATACTTGACTTCTTGAGATCCATAACTGTTGCAAGCCGGACCAACTCGTGGGAATATTTCTTGACCTCCTCTTCTAAACCTTGCGCCTTTCCACCCTTCTTTAGTTCTTTTTCCCTCTGCGCCTTCACCCGCTTAATATCTTCTTCCAGGAATGATATTTCGTTTTTCAATCGATTCGCCGATTCCTCCAGATCAATCGCCCGTTGCTTCTTGAGCTCGAGGTCATTGGCTGATTGTGCAACCTTTTCTTGATTCTTCAGATAGTCATGCGCTACTACTACTCTTGTAAGTCTCTCTAAATCGTTCTGCGTCTGTTGAAAATCCAGGAAAGCCCGTTTCTCCGTCCGCAGCTTCTCTAATTTTGGCTCGATCTCTTCTTTCAGTAGCTCGGTAATCTCTTGAACTTTCATTTCCTTCTTAGCCATCGTCTTGAAAGCTTTGTCCCTCCTGTCCTCGAACATCCGTGTCCCAGCTGCCTCTTCAATCATGGCCAGAATCTCAACCGCCTTCATGTTCAACACTTTTGTAATTCGTCCCTGCATAATCAAGAAATTCGGGTTGTTGATATTCAGCTGAACTGACTGGAAAAGGTTTTGCACCGTTTGCTGCTGTGCTCGATGTCCATTTATAAGATATTTGCTGGTACCTCCCAGGACAATTTGTCGAGTAACACTGATCTGAGCATATTCCTCAAACCCGATGGGTGATTTCTTCTTGTCTCGATTGTCGAAAACGATCGTCACACTGGCTTTCGTTACTCCAGCTTGCCCGCGTTTGTATATTAGATCCTAAAGAGGATCGTTAATACGTTTCGTGCCCATGTGCGGGGTTGTAATATACCTGGAGATTCTGCGCCCGAACTGTTGTCATATTCGTAATACCAAGAACAAAACATATTGAGTCGAGAATGTTTGATTTACCACTTCCATTAAGACCAGTGATCGAATTGAAGCTCTCATCCCTAAACTCAGGTGTAAGTATCCAAGCAAAAGGGTCTTCTGTTGGCATTGTTTACCATCCTGAAATTACTGTACGCACAGCGTACGATTTGAAACCCTGTCAATAATTAGCTGAGAGGGTTAAAAAGTTGAGAAAGGGGATATACATCTATAATGACTTCTACTATCCTCATTATGGCGGTTTTGAGTCGTAATATCGTTGGTCGTATCGTCGTAAATATTAATATTTTGCTGTGCGCGAGAAAGTAAACAACACAATTGGGCCCTGCAGCAACTCGGATAAACTGGTTCTTCCGTTCCGCGCCCTCCAAATATCTCCGTCAATATCTTCGAATTTTGTCTATCATTGAAGCGCAAAAATACTAGTAGGGCCTTTTCATAGTATTGACAATGAATTAAAGTGCCATTTTATGTATTCGTGGCTGCAGCTATGGTAGGATAGGTAATTACGGTAGGGCAGCCGATGGATATTCTATCAAAATCACGACCAGCAGGAGTTAGGCAAAGAACAGAGAGACGATGAGCTATCATGAGGGAGATCTGGTATGATTACTTGAAGAGCAGGCAGAGCACATATTGTACAGTATAGAGCATTCAGTAGTACGCTAAGATTCCCTAATGCCAAATCTTCAACTCCAAAATCAACATTGTCGAATATTCATCCGATATATTCAGGACATTGTTGTGTACAAATAACACTCGGTATTTCAACAAGAAATCAAGGCAGAGAAAAAAGGGCGGTAGTTCTAGAGTTAAGTTTTCCAAGGCTTTCTTATAGAACCCCCAGGAAATTGTTGTAGATGTGCAACCAAAAAAAATCGACAAAAAGGTAGGAGTTTCGTGATTGAATAGGATGGGACGAGATGGCGTGGGTGTTTAGATTGGAGATGAATGTTTAGAAGACCTCATCTGATATTCCGAGAACGCTATTGTGGATATGCAATCCAATATTCATTCAATGAGAAAGAGGAGGTGATAGGATAACAGTAGGCTGGATCAAGCTGGTTACATTCTCGATCATTCAACATTTCCTCTCCCCATTTTGATATCATCTGGTATGCGTGTTTTGATATTCTCAACATCCTAATTGTCCTAGATATCAGTGTTAATCATCTGAGCATTTCTAAAAAATAAACTCATTATAGAAATCATGTATTAAACATTCAGATATCCGTGAAAGAAAGCCGTCGAACCCTTTTCCTTCTTAAAAACATTCGAGTCATATACCTAGCAACTTTCATACCAAGATACCAAACCAATATGCCAAGAGAATTAGACCAAGCTTCTGTGGACGACTTTCGCAAGCTTCTCCGAAATATAAACATATGGGGCCGCGGTCGAGAAATTTCATCGTGGTCTCGAAGCCGTCGCACAGCGGCACAGGTTTAGAGCGGGAACCGGAAATAAACCACTTTTCCGGGTGGAATCTTATAAGTTATGGGTTAGATACATTAAAACTATTTCAAGACTCCATGCACGCACGGCAGATGAACGTTTGTGTGCTGGGTAGCTACGGTACTGCATTTTGTGATGTTGTGTGCCGGAGTCTGGACTTTGGAGAGTATGAGAGTGATGCTGATATAAGGCTTGAATTTTTTCCCAATATATAATCACCTAGCGGATTGTAGGATGTGGCTTGTCGAGTGCTTCGAGGGTAGGTGTAGGTGTAGGAATTTCCGAATATTCACTAGCCAGTAAGTGGACGGCCTTCTCGCTGGGTCAAGATGAGGAACTGGCGACGAAGTTGGGGACGTGATGGCCTGCACGTTCTTGTCATGTATCATGCTGATTCTATCATCATATCATTGCTCATTTCACCCATACATCTAAAGTCGCATTGCAACTTATTCGTAACCAGCGTTGCTATATCTGCTTATGTCGATGGACAATCGCAGAGTGAATACGTCCCCGTCGAGTCAACAATGCTCCGATTTGAAGTCCTTGCCAACATATCTAATCATAAATGCTGCTAGCACATAACAATGAATGTCGCCCATTTCGAGTCATTTATGAGCCTATTCCCTGTCTTTAACATCAATATGCTCAAAGATTATGGACATATGGAGTCAAAAACGACCTCCTGAAACCCGAACTGGCCATTCCCAGTCATTAGCATGATTATATTCCCAGTCACAATCTCCCCTAAACCTTATGAAGGCCATGCTAAATGTGCTTAAGAGGGACACTGTATACCCTCTCCCTCAATATCCAAGATCAACCCAATGCAAAACACTCAAACAAAAAGCTCATCAAACATTTTACCAACGCAAACCATCACCACACCAACTATGGATCGCAGATATATATACCTTCGATGAAAAGTTCTGTTTTGTATGGTATCTTATGAACCCTCAAAACTCAGATGGCAATTATATCTTCGAAGGAGGTTTGGAAAATCTATCTGATGATAAGACGATGAAAATTTGGGAAGGCTGCTTTGCCCCAGAATGAATACACTTGCCAAGATATAGAGCATTTGTGTAGCGAAGACATAGAAGATCTTCGTTTTGAGTGTGAAGAGTTGAAAGATATTTGTAAGAGTCTGGCTCGGTTGAATGCTGATGATGCCGATGCGACTGCTGACTGCGAGGGGTTGGTTGATATTGGTATATATTTGATCGAAGCAGATGCAGCACGCGGACTACCTGGAACGATGGTGACATCGACTGCTGGATCGGAGTCTGCTGATGACGTGAAGGAAAACCACTATTCAAAAGAGGATGTTGAAGCATGGGCCGCAAGCTTAGATGCAATACTTCAGGGAGAGGATGGCAAAGGTCACGAAAAGTATTATGAATATTAAAGGTCGTCAATATGATAAGTGAAACATCCTTCATGCTCGCCCTCTGGATAATCACGTCACACCATATTGGAAGGAGGAACCATGTTTTGGAGTCATTCACAATACAAAAAATTTCTATTCTCTTCGTTTTTTTCAAGAATACCCTTCGTAGGGCATCGGGGTCAAAGTGGGAGTTGTGGTTGGAGTTTCATTTTCTCGAGATACCCTTCCGTTTCGGATATCGTTTCCTCCTTTGAAGTTTTGATTGGACTTTTCGCTGGCCAATGAATCCTTTTACAAGTTTTTGTAGATTCAGAATGTCCTACTTAGGAGGTGTCGGGATTTCTTTAATAGAACCATCTAGCCCAAAAAGGTCTAGGTGGTTATTGTTTCTCCAGATATCTCTCACTCTTTTGAGATATCAGGTCTTGTCATGGATTTTAAACAAATATTACTAGCATTTGTTTGTAGATAAATCTAAGTTTGAAACCTACTGCAAACCACTTGGCAGTCAATGCATGTAAAGGTGCTTTTGTGCCTGATAGTCAGCAAAGCGGCGAACCTGCTTTCCACTCGTGAGATTTGTTGCATGCTGACTGACACTGGTAGGTATCATGATTGATTTCAGCAACTATCGGCGACAATAAATCATTCTCGGGCTTTTGAAATTTCACATCATTTGTTCAAATGATTGCAGCCATCCAGAGACCATAAATAAATCAAGTAACACATAGCTGAAAAGCAAGATCATATGAAGGGAAGGACAGTGTCGTGTTACATATGCAACAATCCTCATTTGTCAATATGAATCCAACATGTAGGGAAAGTTACCCTTAACCACTTCAAGCGGAACTGGTTCATACACAATTTCGTGCCGAGAGTGTGATAGGTTGTAGCCGCACTAACAACGACATGACGCCTAATGAAGGATCAATACCCGAAGTCTAACCAAGATCATGTCATGATCGACACAGAGTAAACTAACTGCTCGTCTCCATTTTTGTTCGCAGAAGCGGGCTTTGAGAGTGGACATGTGGACGACCTGATCTTCCGGGAGTTGTAGCCTGGTAGCATGTATTGTGTGTAGATGTTTTGAATGAGCGGAATGAATGAGAGGCATTCTGATTCTCCGAGTACTCTGACTCGAATTACGAATGTGTATAATCAATGTGGCTTCATGCCGTTTGATAGGGCTGGAGTAGCTTCAAAATGTACGGTAAATACTTCCACCAGTGGAACTACATATCCATATTTGCCTTGCAAATCTACAATATTGAGTAAGGATCACGCAAAGTGGAAAGACTCGATGTATAATTAGAGTCAACCCAGACCGAGAAATTAGACCCTCATGGGCTGAGATTCCTAAGAACGATGAACGAAGGAACATGAAGACTTTTCAGTTCAATTCATCGATAGATGAAAGGATGCGAGGAAGGGGCCCTTGGAGCTCAAGGAACTTGCCATGAGGGAAGGACACATGGCACCTACAAGAACTTCGTGGTGGAGCCCGAAGAACCAATTGATACCGGGTATGAGTCCAGCACTGAGCACCGAAAGGGTTTGTATGCGTTCTCTCTAATTTAAATTAGAATTATGATATATAAATGCATATTGTAGAATCATTATACTGTACTGTAAGTCTGTAAGTCTGTAATGGGATATATATATTAGATGGCATGAAAACGCTGCCGGTAAAGAGCGATGTCACGGAAAATCCAGGCTGTGTAACACCGCTTTAACTCTAGCATCTCTCCTTGAAACTCGATTCACCTATCAAGTATCCTAGTTGTAGCTAATTATCTCTTTTAGGATTTCAGCACATATAAAGATGGCTGGTGAATGAATGAATGATCATCGTTCATTATTTATTTACGGAGTTTACCATACAAAACGATCTGCACGGATAAATATACCGGTACAAGACCTTCCCGAATCCCTGCGTCTTCTCCTTCCTGTCACCTGTGTGACTGTGATTGCAGAATAATCTAAGATCAGCATCGGTGTTGCATGAAGTCAGAGTATTACATAGCAACAATGTACAAGACTTCGTACTCAGACTACGGGGAGAAGAGCTCTAGCCAGGTAGGTAACCCCCTGTGCTATGTTATGCCGAAGTTAGCATCAATATCAAACATATCCGAGCCTGGATACAAAGTACGAGATGCACTCATTATGATCTGGAACTGCAATTTGATACAGTACTGGTGACCGCAATCTCAGAATCATGCTGTCTCTATCTCCCATATAAACAGCAACTTACTTACATAGATACTCGAGTACAGTACAATAACATATACTTACGGAGGGATTTGTCCCGTCACCTTGGTTCGGGCATGATCGATTGTCGGCCCGTCCTTACCCTGTCGACTCCCTGCCACCAATTTACTGCTTCTGGGAAATACTCCGGCACTGCTATGCACTAGACAGTTTTCTCGAAGTCTGAGGGCGATAACAGCCTATCGTGGTATTCGTGTTCCGACGGATGAGATTACATACTAGCTGAAGTTTTCAGGCTGAATAGAAACCATTATTGGCAGATTGCAGGATACCGTTGTTAGTTAACGGCAACTAAAAGTAAGGGTGTATCCAAACGGTATGTTGGATACATATATACGACTATGTATGTGGTTAGAACGTTAATGATGATTGATGCCATGATCTACGTTCAACTAAAACAGTACCGGTGTAGTAATTGTCCCGACCGTTGCTTATTTGTATACCTGCTAATCAATCGCCCGACATAGATCCAATATTGCTTCCACCCCGATTTGGAACATATCCCTGCGCTCACTGCGCAAGGTCTTCATGCACTCATGCCTGATGCCCCGGCCCCTCATTATATCTTTACCAGGTCCTGGGGTATGCCTATATCCCGATCGATGTTTTGGGTTTTTGGACTTGGGGGTATAGGATTCTGGATGAACACCAAATTAGGTCTCGATGCAAACATGGCTGTTGACTTAATAACGATGACTTTCACTGGAAGCCCGGGGGCCAAGAACCTGCCATTCTTCGCTATGGTAACTGCGAATACTAGTCGGATAGTATTTATTAATAACTACGAGGGGGGTCCTACCGTTGGTTTGGCTTTGGATACTACACCTGCCTAGTGTTCATGCATCTAGGTAGTGGGTTGGAAGGTAATCCTAATTTTTTAGTGCACGTCATGAAAGAACCTTATAAACACTCATGATTTCAAAGCTTCATGGTAAAGCATCCAGGAACAACATCGGACATTTTGGACCCAGATCTTTGTGGCCTATCTCCCTGCCACCCTGGACCCTTTCGCCAGAATCTGTACAGAAGTCCAGACAGGAAATGTGGCGCTCCTTAGAACCATCTCCACATCGAACTGTAGCTCACCCACAATCCAGGACTTCTCTCGTTCTTCATTTTTCAGAACCCACATAAAATTTACCAGTCCCCAACTCCGCACATATATTCTCATCTTGACCAACTGGACCTTTAACTGCAGCTTCCATAATTGGGGCTTACGGCGTATTACGTTCTTTCGCAATTCGTGAGGCGCATCAGTCTCCCTTTGTCTAGTCCTTATTCGTCAGAACTCAAGATTTCCAGCTCCTGGATTCAATGCCATTAATCCTACCAGGACTCATATGTATGCAACATCGGCAGATGAAAATCTATTTAGTCTCATCATATTAACCTTGTATGGGCTCCAGATCCCGACATTAAATCATACCAATCCTTGGACAGCTAGAACCAATTTTTTTGAAGGCTTGCTGCATCCTGATTTCGATGCAGCTAGTTAGGCTTGCATATTTAGACAAAACCTCGATAGCTCCATAGATTTTATCTTATCCCTAACCCTAACCATCACACTACATGCCCAAAGGACTGTACACCGCAACTACTTCCACATTCTATCGCCATACATCATTGCGAGAAGGCGCCGTGCACAAGCTGGGCACCTCTTAGGGCGGTCGAAATTCCAGCTCTCTGTGTGCTTCATAATCGTATATGCATATGCCACTGACGTTGGAGTGTCCCTGATAACTGCTTTAGAGTCTACAGTAGGGCAAATAATTTGATGTAGGAGGTGCTTAAGAAATTCGAGGTTTACAAGACTTACATGCCAATCCATTCGAATACTGGGCGAAAGGTTTTGATCACGCGGAACCGCCATGACTGGCACAGATCGTTTGGATCTGTCTAAGCAATCAATACCCGGTCAGCATTTTCTTTCACTCGAAAACAAACATCAGACGCAGCACTCTCAGCAGTACCTAAGTTCTGCTGGGTCTTACGCGGATCTGAACTACCTTTTTGGGACCCAGGACACAACGATGCTTGGACCTACCCCCAAACCAAACCGGCGAAGTTCCACCCAAAGTATTGAGCATGCGAAGCATCGTCGGACAAGATCTGGTTGTTATACTTGTCGCAGTCGACGGGTGAAGGTACTGGCTATTCCATATCTAAATGAATCCGCGCTAACTTTCTAGTGTGACGAACGCCGCCCAAAATGTGATAGTGAGATTATGAGCTTTCATTTTGGGGCATAGGGCTAACTTGAAAACAACAGGATGCACGAAAGGCAACCGAGAGTGTGTATACCCAGATGTACAGACACCGGTTCAGGGGGGTTCAGGGACTATTTCATCTAAAGCTAGACAACCGAAGCCTTCGGAAAGCCCTGGTTCATCTGAAGATGAATACGAGGACCGGGAAGTAGAACGTCTGGAGGTGATCCGAGATGAAGTTGAGATTGAAAATCAAGCTGGGCATCCGGGAAATAGTTGGAGTTATAATGCCGGCGCATCGAATTCGCAGCCTACTGCCCGGGTCAATGGTGCTACACGGCAGAGCTCGGAGGCTCCTTCATTGATACAAGACAAAGGCTCTTCTCCAACACCTTCAACTGAAGGTTCTATTGGTTACTCTTCATTCAAACACCTTGGAGGTAGTTATCAATCCTATGACGAAACACTGGCAAACGACTCAGAGTCCGGCAATTTAAGGGTTGACTGGTCGCATTTACCAGCCGATCTACAATTTTACTTAACGTATTTTTCTCGGAATATAACATTTATGCATTATAGCTTGAGGTCGTACCATAAGGACTTCATTCATACATTGTTAATGGACGCCGCCCTCCGTAATGAACCGCTTCTTTACGCAATCGTAGGATTTTCGGCTTTCCAATTTGCCGTGGAGAAGAAACAAGGCAAAATCCAAGACTTCTTGCAATACTACAATAAAGCCGTATCTTTACTTTTAAGGTCATTGAAGAAAGGTGATAAGCATACTACAGAGACGCTTTTGGCTATTTTACAGCTCGCAACGATCGAGGTACATATTGCGAGTGAAGATTTTAGGATGAAGAGCTAATTATTTATAGGAATATTTTGGCGACTGGGCGAATCTTTTGGGCCATCAAAAGGCTGCGTACGAAATCTTAATAGATCTATATGTTCCGCAAACAATCGTTGAGACGGATATGGGCCGTGCCCTTTTCAGCTGGTATACACGTTTCGATGTCATGGCTGGAATCATGGGTGGTTTTGATGCCGCCATTCCCCGAGAATGGTTTTCATACTCGCAAGAATATTTCGAAAATCAAATTGCGAAGGACCCAATCAGCTTAGGATGGAGAATAGAGCATCAACTTTCCACGATGCGTCTCGTAGGTAAAGACATGTCGACGCTATTTGCGAAGAAAGGAAGAGGAGAAATCACCCACGAACAGTTTGTTATTGAGAATACGAAGATAACGCAAAGGATGAAAGACTGGAAAGAAAACATGGACCCGACCCTATTAGATCGTCGATTTTTGGTCATGGATTTCTCGCCAACACAAAACCACTCCGGCAGCCTTTTTGATCCGTACATACCGGGCGTAATATACAGTGGTCCACTTTGGGTCATCAATGTAGATCTGATGGACTGGCATGGTATGTTTCTGATGCATGGACTCCATACTGCTCAAGCGATGCAGACAATGCCTGATCTGCAGCATATGAGTAGTTTGGCCGAGGACTTTTGTCAATTGTATGAGGCCATAATGCATCACCCGGAGACACCTAAGGGGTCGGCAGTAGGTCTCCAAGGAGGTCTTGGTATTGCTGCATTCTTCTTACCAAAGGATGAGGCACATACCATGTGGATGCGCCGAAAGTTGGCAACAATAGAGTCTCAGGGGTAAAGTGCATCCTTACTCACAGACATTCTACTGCTAACACAACACCCAGGTTCATACAAACCTTCGCATTTAGGAGTAAAATGGCTGAACTATTTCGAGATAATTCTTGTATGCATTGGTGGCTACCAAACGACGAAATGTACCACCCAATAATTCGATCTATACGAAAATTTGTCCAGGACCGAACCTCATCGCCCAAGAACGCCGAGAGTAAGGATGTTCAGGACATGAAAGCGGTTTTCTCTGCCATGGATGTTAGTGACCAGAGCGATAGCTCACCCCAAATGACTAATAAGGGCAAGTCGCCGGCAATGGAAGTCGACGTCGCCAGCAGTGCAGGGTCACCTGCACAAAGAAGTATGACTTACAGTCAAAGCGAATATGGAGACGGCTCTAATAACGGACAATCTTCCTGGAACAAGCAGACTGGTGGATATCAATAAATGAAAGCATATCTCTAAAGTTGTGCTTATCATGAAGAGTTACTGTGGACTCGGGTATTTGCGTGGTGCTCGCGATGGCACTCAAACTAATGATCCGCCTCGACAATGCGGTATTCGAAATTATATTAATACTTGGAGGAGATGCGAGGGGAAGCAAAGAGATGATTATCAGCTTTGTTGCCCGGGTACATTCTCACAACAATGGTGTGACTGAAGTCCTCGAGGGGTCACGGAGCGGGGTCCTATCTTCCTCTGAAGTGAGGTAAATGGTAGAGGACGCTACAAGGAAGACATCACTTGCATGCCGTGGTATAGAGATGCATACATTATTGGCTACTGGTCCAAGACTACATCGAATGCCAAGAATTTTATTAATTGATAAATAACTATGGAATAATGGACCTTGACATTGTGATAGGTAGGTACCGTGAACATTGGAAGATACACTTTGAAGTTATGTAAATACATCTAGCCCGGCATCCATGGGGATATTTCTAGATCCTGATGTAGATACCTGGGTAACCAATATCATGGACCAATAGACAATTTGATTTGAGGTTGACATGAATTCAAAATATTACATGTTATTAGGAGATTGGATTCCTTGTAACCGACTATTCCAAAAGTAGACTACGGGGAGGCATGTGCCCATGCGCGCAATAAGGTTCCCCAAGCTTCATGAAATTCAATGGGTTGATTGATCCAACAACTCAACTTTCACATCACATCCAGAAGCGCACAAGTTCTCGTCCCAATTTCGAACATAATACGAATAAAGTGATATCGGGGCTTATAGCATCAACCATGAATCGACCAGGTATGAGGCTCTTGAACTCTCTTTCTTCCCCACAATATGCCCATGCCCCGCTGCACGGCTGCCACAGAGAAGGGGGACAGGTTATATTGGATGATACAGACCTTGAATGGGAATTGGAGTCCAAAGGTCCAAAGAATACAGGGCATACCGGATTCTTAGCAGTATATAAGTGCTCTGCGCAATGGACTGAGGATGGACTATGGAGATACTGCAAGAGCTATGCATTTAGTTGGATTCTATAGACCAGATGAGATCAGATGAGAGTGCTTCAGCGAAGGGGCGGTCGCTTGATTTTGATGGTGTAACTTGGGGGATAGAACTGGGATCTAGTACCGGTATTATATGGAGTTATGAAGCTGGAAAGAGTTTGGTCGCATTCACCCGAGATATCATGGAGCTTCTGATGGACCATTTGTGCTAGAGGGGTTACTTGTGAAAATGTGCTGACATTAGTTCTCTCAGGTGTAGGACCACAGACAATGCGTGGCATACCCAATGGATTCCCAAATCAACAACAAATGCAGAACAGGAGTGTGTCGAGTAGGATACCACCCGGCGGAAAAATGGGTACGATTAATACCCCTCATAGTTTTAAAAACAATACAAGGAGACTTCATGTATACTGATGTTTGTCGATAACTTCTAGCAAACAACAATGGAGTGACGTGGGCCTTTGGAGGTGTACCGATGGGAGGAGCGGGTCTAGGGAATCCACGTCCAAATAATGGACCTATGACAAGCTTTGCACAAACGATCGGAGGATCTTCACAGCCAGCAACACCACTTGATTTGTCGTAAGTCATTGCCTGCTTTTTGTTGTTGAATTTCACCATTCGTTTATTGTTGAAAGCATTTCCTCTTCCTGTAATTGTTCCTTCTTCTTCACATCCATTCGAAGATGGCCGAAGTATCTTCATCAAAGGATGATTGTCCTCCATGTTCATATTCCCCTGGAAGGTATAATCATTTCAAAGCTTCTCAAAGCTGTGCCAACAAGGTTTCATATACTACAGAGATAAAATTTAAAGCTCTGTGGCAGTCATGACAGTTTATACTGTCTGCTAAAACCCCTCTCATCTTAACTCACCTATTCTCAATTGTGCATAACTTGACACTTGAATCTGCTGACATTGTTGAAGTGAGTTCCCCTCATTATCAGGAAACCAGCCCCAGCATAACCAGTCAACGTGGGGAGCGGCGGGAGCGCGGAATATTGGTCCATCGGCAAATATAAGGTTACAGCAATCAGCTGGATTGTCCGCGCAGCATGCTGCTCAGCAGCAGCAGCAGGATGAGCTCTTCAATTCATCAACCCAGTTGTCAAACAATTCAGGTGGCTTCAGGTTTGGGGCTCAAAGTGCAGTTGGCCAGTCATCGCAGCCGAGCAGCGCCGATGACTTTCCACCTTTGAGAAATTCAAACGGAGAAATCGGCCAAGATCGCGGTTCCGGTCTATTGCAGAATGTGGGATTTGGAGCTGGTGGTGGATTAGGATTTGGTTCCGGCAACCCGCCACAGCAAGTCAGAAGTAATGGTCTTTTGAATGCATTATCTGGTGGTAGTCGAGCTGCACCAGGTAATAGAGTTGCTTCACCAGCAGGCTTGTCAGGTGAGCAGACTTCCAATTTCTGATTGGACGGCATATCATTGTACTCGGCTAATTTTATTCATTAACCAGGCCCCTCCATAAACAGATCTCCAACAGAGCCCAGTCGCCAAGGTCTACCAAGTCTTGTAGAGAACGAAGCTGGGGTAAGATAAAGGAATTTCTCTGGTTCCTTTAAACTTCTGCTGATCATTTTGTGCAGGGCTTTTCAAACACCCATTTTGGGTCTTCGAATCCCATACCTCTCCGAGAAGACGACAGTCAACAACAATTCAATATGCCCACAGCAACCAACTCCCGGCCCGATGGCCCATTATCAATGCCGCAACCGCAAGAATCCGATCCTGGTTCCGCGCAAAGAAGTGCTGAGAACGCCGACTCTAAAGTACAAGATCCATTAGCTCACCTGAGTGAGACCGACAGATATGGACTCAAAGGATTTTCTTATATGATGAACAACTTTCCTGACTATGCTGCTCTTGTTACTGGAACTGATATCAACCACTTGGGTCTCGATTTACTTTCTGAGCAGTAAGCATTGGCTTGAAAGCTATCTACCTCCCAAAATAAATATCATAGCCATGCTAATAAATACAAGACCCATTTCAAGCCAGATCTACTCTCTCTGGGATAATGAGCCAACACGACCAGATGTCGCCCGTTTCAGTCTACCCGAATGTTATCGCGTTCTTAACGTTGCTCCTCTCGAAAGCAAGATGCCCAATTTTAACGAAGAAGCTTTATTGTTCATGTTCTATAGCAATCCAGGCGACAAACAGCAGCTTATGGCAGCTAGGGAGCTGTAAGTAATGTATACGTCTTATCCTAAGCCATTTGCTAATATATTCGACAGTGGCAATAGAAACTGGCGCTATCATAAAAAGATGCAGGTTTGGCTTACCAAAGATGATTTGATGGTTCCACGTCAACTTACCCAACAAATGGAGCAAGGCTACTATATATTCTTCGATGTCAAGACTTGGTCAAGACAACGTGTAAGTATTTAAGACATCAAATATACAGCATAGTTTGCTAACGTAATTTTAGAGGGAATTCACACTGTCTTACGATGACTTAGAGAGGGTCGAGGATCGGTTTTAAATCCATCCGAGAGCCCAAGTCAGATTCAGTCTCTCTCGTCGCCCGGTGAAATGCCATGTTCTCATGAACATGGCACATATCGAGGAGAATGGCATGAATAAACACACACGGCTAAATACATACCATGCTCGTTTCTCTAATTAACTACGGCTCATTACTTGTATTTGCTGTGGGGCGCAATGCCAATGCATACATGGGGCTTGGTTCTCTTTTTTTTAGCGGGGTACATAGGAGGGAATGGCTTGCTCAGGCTGCTGGACTATTTTATGGCTGGCTGGCGTTTCACTTATAAGCTTCTGCAAAGCTCGCTGGAAAGGTTGCGGGTGTAACAGACAGACAGATCGAGGGATATGACACATCAATGAATATGATTGTGCCTTGCTTTAACTTATGATTCTTGCTCTAATATCATATTGAGTGAAGGTAAGTAAGCGATGTGCTGCGTGCAACGATTATGATATGGTAAGATAATATCACGTTTGATCCATTTTCTCTTCTTTTCTTTTTTCTACTCGTAAAAGATAGCGATTGTATTGATTAACAGAAAGCCCCAAGATCACAACAAACGGACTTTTATAAATATTACTCTAATCTGATAGCGATAGCAGCATTATATTTACATTATGTTCCTTTTCATCTACCGGTATTCATTCATCAGTCACAGTCTCCGTTTATACCTCTCTTTCTCTTTCTCATGCACACGCAAATGTTCCTCTCCAACTTCTACCGTCGTCACTACATCAATATGTATATCCCAACCTCCCTGCTTTTCCATTTCCATCCCCATTCCCATATCCTTTTCGTTCTCATTCTCATTCTCATTCCCGTTCTCCCGAGAACCAATTTGTTTTTCTATATCCAAATCCCTACTCTGGGTGCTAGTCCCTCCTTTTTTGGACTCCTGCTCCTGCTCCTGCTCGCTAGTAGTGATTTTGCTGGAATTTTCGCTAGGCCTATTTTTATCTCGATCTGGACCCCTATCTCGACGTATCGATCCTAGTATTCCTCTTCCGATGCTATGACTATGAAGAGGCTCGTGATTATCGTGATGGTCGTTACTATTACTATTCGAAGAAACGAAAGATGCGGTGCCGATTTCCACTCCCATTCCCATTTCTTCATCTATGCCGCCTTCTTCTTCTGCCCAACTAGTACTTTTCATGCTTGAAAGTTCGAAGATACTCGTACCTACTGTACGGTCGTTGATAGAATTATCGGCGCTCAGGGGAGTTTTCGAATTTTTACTGCTGAGGATCTTGGAATGGAATGGGGAACGAGAATTGGAATGGGATTTCAGAGTCGATATGATGCCGAGGCCCGGTGTGGGTGTGGGGTGTACTTCGCCTTTGGAATTGCATGTGAGGTTGAAGTTGTCGTTGACGAACGAAGCGCGTGAGGTGTGTGAGGGGTGAGAGTTGAAGAATTTGGGAATGTAGGCTACGAAGAATGCTTTGGTTGCGGGGATGGAGGTGCATATCTAATGGGGAGGGGGTGTTAGTATTGTGGGGGCCGGGAATGGGAAATGGGGTGAAGAAACTTACAATTCCAATGTATAATTCAACGGCTGCAGTGATCCACACGGGATACGATGCCCATACTTGATCCCATACTTGGGTAACGTGATACATATAGTAGGTGCGGACGACACCCGCGAAGCAGGAGAGGAGGCCAAGAGTGAAGAGGAAGGAGACGATGAGGCTTTGGCGGCGGGGGAGGTTGGTCAAGTACTAAATATTATCAGTATGGGGATCGATTTAAGAATGGCGGGGAAAGCAACAAACCACAGTACGGATAGGAAGGAGTACGACTAGGAAATCGGTAAGGGTATTGACGATTCCTGCGACTAGGAGTGTAGAGGATTGATTGATACAATTCGGCTGAGGATCAATGGTCACTTTCCAGTAATCTTGCGGGGGTCTATCACACCGTCAGTATATCATTATACATCTCAATCCACTGTCCCTCATCTCATCTCATCATATCAACATTAAAGAAAAAGACCATTTCTTAACTAACCTACATTGAAACACCAAGACAATACAAAAGATGCTTCCCTGCAACCCCACTATACAAATAGCAGCTAGAGTAACCCTTCGCCAGAATTTCGGGGCACTGGTCAACATGCGGCGGACAAGCAATAACATGGACAGTTTTGTAAAAGTGCATGCGGATGCGAACATAATCTCTATTATAAGGACCATTTTGAGCCCGAATTCTATATGGCTTTGCGGGATATCGTACTGGATAGCTGTTAGCAATGGTAAGAGGGACTCATATGGTGAAGGAGGATTCGTACTTGATGTCGAATCCACATGAACTTGAGATCTGCCAGCAGACTCAAAATAAAGAACCCTGTGGTGGGAATCTACTTCCTCATCTCATTAGCATTTCCATTCAAATCACATATCCCATCCGCCTTCTTTCAACGTCCAGGCTGTAGCCCAGATATTCGGTAAGACCAACCATAGCAAGCAAAATCATCACATCGTCTGCCCCAAATGAAGCCCTCAGCCTCGCCCTCGTCCACATCCTCAGTGACATGAAGCAACACAAGATTATGTATAATGTAATATTCAGTACAACATTCCCCCACCCATGTGTTTCCGGATCGACATAATTTGGTGTAGGCCACGAGGCTATTACCCACGCAGGAGGTTGCTGCATCTCGCTGTCTCTGCAACTTCAGATGTAAATGGAGACTCGAATCGAAAAGAAGAAGAGTATAATGTAGATCGAAAAAGATTGTGGAGTGAGAGAAATATTACTAGTATTCAATAGAATGGAAAGGTTCAAATGATATTAAGATACATGTCATATCAATACGTCAAGCAATGATGTGATGTATGTAGTAAGGACCAGTATGATGAGCAATATGTACCAGAAACAGAAATCAATAAATGCAAAAACCAAGAGCGAGAGAGAGGAGCATTGTAAACAAATCCGAAGGGACCCTACGGGGATTGATAAGCATTCTCGCTGTGACCAAAAGATCCATGAGCACATCCCTTCTTTTGCACTTAGTCCTTGTCATTTCCCTTCCTTCTTCACCACACACACACCCTTACTCATGCCCGCCAGAAAGTGCGCAACTCGGGTATACCAGCACATACCATATATTGGTAAACTACAAGGGAGTAACCTAGTTCTTTTTAGTTCCCGAGTTGCGGACTTTCTGGCGACAATGAGTTACCGTGCCGTCGATACGGAGAATTCACGGTTGTGGCGTGGAGATGCTATGTGTGGAGAATCCTTACCATTATGCTCATCAATCCGATCCAATCCAATCCAATCCAATCCAATCCAATCCAATCTAATCCAATCTAATCTAACCTCAGATACAAAACAAAAGGAAACCTCAAACGATGGATCATAGCAGCATATATCTCCAATAGGATACACAGCGTACAGAGTCCAGACTTCGGGGAATGTCGCGCACGCCGCATGGTGACCACTGATCATATAGATATCACGAGTCGATTCCCGTTGACGTCTGTTCCTCTACAACTCTAACTCTACAGCTCTTTGGGCGCCTTGTATGGGATGAGGGAAGGGAAAATGGATCGATTATGACCACAAAGATCTGCGCTATCAATGATTTTCCTGCAAGTAATTGGGTACTGTAAGACTTTGACATTTTTGAGATGAACGAGAGATTGTGATAGGCAGTGAACTTAGTGAAACAACTTGTTAGCTAACCTTATCTTTGCGCGGAAGTCTTTTATGTCTGTGTGTATGCCACTTATTGAACGGCTCTCGGACTACTCGACATTATCAAGTATCGTATTAACAATGACTCGGGGAAAAAAAGAAAAACATTGTCTACTCCTTCCTATACATAAAATAAACTGTGCCTTATGTTATTACTCGAGTAGAGTTTTTTATATCTATAGACGAAGGACGAAGCTAGGCATTTCGGTATCTCGCGCAACTGAATTTTCATTTCAATTTCTTGCCGACAGCATAATTCTGATACCTAGTAAAGTTCATAAATCCATGAGCAATGACACATGAAGTCAGAAATAAATGATATCCCATTACACATAACCCTTCCTTCAGAAATAGTGGTATCTATGTAGCCTTTTTCGCGAACTCGACTCGTAAAATCAGATGCTTGAAACCATAACCATCCATTTTTTCGCACGCCTTCCCGGCCTCGGATCTCTCTTGGAAACTGATGAAAGCAAATCCCTTGGCCAAACCAGTCTCTCTATCCTTCGCCAAAAACACTCTTGTGACTCTGCCGAAACGCTCAAACATGTCCCGAAGTTCTTGTTCCTCAGCCATTTCTGAGACCTATTTTGTGTATTAGCAAAGCATAATGAGCCCCACAGGATAAATGCAACTTACGTTTGTGACACGCAGAGTAGCCAGATCATCTCTCTCAAACTTGCCACCGCCCATTCTTTCACCGCCAGCGGTACCGCCATTTCGAAGATGAGGTGGTACGTATGAGGATTTGCCTGTACCAAGACCTCCAGGACCCTCTGGAGTATCGGCGTGGCCAGCAGCAACATCGACTGCTCCTTCCTCGCCCAAAGGTGCCATTGTGCCCTTGAAGGGACACTTGGCTGTGAAATGCTCTCCGCTACAAATACGACATTTGACTTGCTTGCCCTCCAACTTATTCTTCATAGCTCCGGCGTCCGAAACCTCCTCCTTGGCATCCTTTTTCCAGTTCGTGCTTGGTCGAAATATGATATTCTCTCCTACAGTGGTTGTATCCGCAGCAGGCTGAAGTTAAAATAAATTAGTTGTTATTTCTGCCTTGATTGAAGAATCTTCAGAACTCACCCCCGCGGCATCCTTTTGGGACAACCCAAACTTGCCCCATGACTTTCTCTCGGCGACTCTTGGGTTAACAATTTCCTTCACTTTCGAGAATCTGATGCGGCGTGTAGTCTTGACCTTCTTTCCATCATCGTTGAATCGCCATGTTACAATCGTTTGCGTGCCATCTTTGTTGGTAGTAGTCGTTGACTGTGGGAGTTCGTTGGAATCCTCAAGATCCTCATCGTCGGCCCAATCGCGATTACTATGATATTTGTTAGATTGTGCTGATGGTTGAATGCGAATATTTATTGAATTTTCTCACTTTGCGACTCTAGACATTGTGTAATAAGTGTTCTTTTGTTTCTGGTGGGGTATGTAATGTGTATATTGCGACCAAGATACGAGCCTTTACCGTATGTATCAAGCTCTACTGAGGTTATCTGCTAAAATTCGATGGCAGAGTCGTTGATCGTGACTTCGATTGTGGAGTTTTCGAAGTTCGAACGTGAAGTTCTTATTTAAAATATCGCTTTGAGTGGGTGGGCGAAATTTGCTAGGGCGAGCTTTCGTTATTCAAGATGAGTCTAACTACTTCCGGTACTAGTGGGGTATTATATAGCCTCGTTATTATCAACTCTTGTTTGACCCATCTTGAAATATGCCATTTATCCGAACGAAGTGTTATGAACTTATGGTAAGTTTCTCTCACCTCGCTATTAAGAAGTTCAACCCTCACTGGAAATAGCCAAGCCAAACTAAATCACAAGGAAGAGCAGTTGGATGTTGTTAAACTTGTGTGGTCTTTATTTAGATTGACACAAGTTATATCATATCGTTTTCCGAGTTCATTCGATTATCTAGCTATCGATGTATTCAGAGATGTATAAGGGACACTGGAGGCTGAGCTAGACCATGAACCATGTTATAGTTTACCATGCATGTATGATGTATGATGTATTAAAAGTCACCAATTTCAAATGTCAATAAGGATTGTAATTCCGAGGTTGAGTCATGAGAGGGGATGTCATATTATTCGTCGTCGTCTGATCCTAATTTTTATACACAGCTAGAGTAATGCCATTTTCCATAATTTTGCCTCATAACACATTTCCTGAACGCGGAAATCTAGCGAACAGCATTGTTTGCTCCAACGCCTTTTTGTCCCGAAGCTATGAAGAGTATGAAAAAGCTGTAGGTATGACAACAAGGGAAATCGCTGCTTATATGCAACATATGAGTACAAGAATACAATAACGGTAGCTCTATATCGCTAAGAGAGTTGAGATGAGAAGTGCCTAAATTAAGTCTTTCAAGGCTTCGTCTCGCCGTCCTTAGCCTCGCCTTCTGGTGCGCTACCTTCTGGCTTGGCCTCTGCGGACTCGGACTTGGCCTTGTGCATCTTGTCGAAAAGGTTCAGACTGGCCATTTGGAGCTCATCGGTCTTCTCCTTCAACTCGGCAGCAGTAACCAAACCTTCTCCGGACTGACTCTTGGTGATGAATTCACGGAGAGCAGTGATCTTCTCGCGGATGCCGTCAGCCTCAGCCTTGTCGAGTCTGTCGGCAAATTCGTTCAAAGCCTTCTCAGTATCATTAAGAACACTGTCGGATCGGTTTGCAGCCTCAATGGCAGCCCTGCGCTCCTTGTCCGACTCGGCATATTTTTCAGAATCATCAACCATGTTCTGGATTTCCATATCAGAAAGACCAGAGCCGGAAGCAATGGTGATGGAGTGATCCTTGTTGGTAGACTTGTCCTTTGCGTGAACGTGGACAATGGCGTCGGCGTCAATATCGAAAGTGACCTCGATTTGTGGTACACCTCTGTGAGCAGGTGGAATACCAACGAGTTGGAAGTTACCGAGCATCTTGTTATCGCGAACAAGCTCACGCTCACCTTGGTAAACCTTAATCTCGACAGCAGTCTGGAAATCGGCGGCAGTGGAGAAGATTTGAGATTTCTTGGTAGGAATGGTAGTGTTTCGGTTGATCAAACGGGTGAATACACCTCCGAGGGTCTCAATACCAAGAGACAATGGAGTAACATCCAAGAGAAGGACATCGGTGACGTTACCAGCGAGGACACCACCTTGAATAGCGGCACCCATGGCAACAGCCTCATCTGGGTTGACGGACTTGGCGGGATCACGACCAAAGATTGACTTGACTGACTCGCTGACCTTTGGCATACGGGTCATTCCACCAACTAAAATGACTTCTTGAATGTCCTTGGCAGCAAGGTTTGCATCCTTCAAAGCTTTTCGTACTGGTTCGATGGTGCGGGTGATCAATGGGTCAACCAGCTTCTCGAGTTGTGATCGTGAAAGCTTTTGGTTGATGTGTTTTGGTCCGGAAGAGTCGGCAGTGATGAAAGGAAGGTTAATATCAGTTTGCATGGAAGAGGACAATTCGATCTTGGCCTTCTCAGCAGCCTCACGGATACGTTGGATGGCCATGCGGTCACCGGCAAGGTCAATGCCAGAATCCTTCTTGAATTGTTGAACCAAGTGGCGAACCAAATGGATATCGAAATCTTCACCTCCCAAGTGGGTATCACCATTGGTAGATTTGACTTCAAAGACACCCTTTTGGATCTCGAGGATGGAAATATCAAAGGTACCTCCACCCAAATCGTAAACAGCGATAATCTTATCCTCGTCCTTCTCCAAACCGTAAGCGAGAGCGGCAGCAGTTGGCTCGTTGACGACTCTGAGAACGTTCAAACCGGCAATTTGACCAGCATCCTTGGTGGCTTGACGTTGGGAATCGTTGAAGTATGCAGGAACGGTAACGACGGCATTTTGAACAGACCTGGTAAGAAAGGCTTCGGCGGTTTCCTTCATCTTTTGCAAAACGAATCCACCAATCTGCGATGGAGAGTATTTCTCACCACGAGCAGAAACCCAAGCATCGCCGTTTGTATGTTGAACGATCTTGTAAGGAACCTCCTTGATATCACGTTGAACCTCAATGTCAGTGAACTTGCGTCCGATCAAACGCTTTGTGGCGAACAAGGTGTTCTCTGGGTTTACAACAGCTTGACGCTTTGCAGATACACCGACTAATCTCTCGCCGTCTTGTGCGAAAGCTACCACTGATGGAGTTGTACGGGCACCTATTCATCGAGTCAGCGCGCGGGGTTGATAAATGTGAGGTGCGAGAAAATACCTTCTGAGTTCTCGATAATCTTTGGAGTCTGTCCTTCCATTACAGCCACCGCGGAGTTAGTGGTACCTGGTGAAATATCAGTACGCTGTTCGAAGAAGCTTGCTTGCCACCGCATAAAGTTAACATACCCAAATCAATACCAATAACTGGTCCGTTAATCTTTTTGTCCGCATCATCCGAGTTCCATCGTTTGGTAAACGATGATACTAATGGTGTGCGAAGAGATGCTGAGCGTGCGACGGAGGATGTGGCTCTTGGAAGCTATCGAGGAAGAAAGGTTAGCTTCTTGATGATGCAATGCTTTTTACTCATCTTCAATTATAACTTACAGCTCTGGAAAGTTTGGAAGCAAACATCTTTATCTGTATTGCTTTTATAACACCAAAGACTTTATTGTAGAAGTAAGAGAATTAGGTGGGAGAAGAAAAAACAGGTATGAAAGATATATGTAGAGGGATCTCAAGATTCTCAAGATTGAGGCGATGGGAGGGAGAAAATATAAATCAACGGCGGGCCACAAGGGAAAAAATGTCGTCTAAATACGTTTTAGCCTTCTTTTTTTTTGGTCAATTGGTAGAACATCATCGAAACTTTACGACACGTGACATATTATCTGTAATGTGGGTCCAAAGTGGTTTTATTATCAAATCAAGAGCTTATTGGTGTGGCAAGGATAAGCACTTATTATTATTAGTTGCCATGATTAGTAAGCTTGACGTAGTTGTGGATACACAACTCCGAGTTGAAACCACTCTCTTGATCTCTTGAAGGTATCTCTTCTCTTCATACATTTTACCATTTGGTTTGCTCGGAATTTATATCTTTCATCAAAGAAAGGAAGCTTTTAGAAGACCACAACTAGGCGTACAAATAATACTCAACAATCAAAAGTTTTAACCTTCTCCCTGTCACACATATACCGGTACTTTGTTCACATTCTGTTGTGTATGGTTGCAATATCTTGAGTGCACGGCAGTATGGCTGTCAAAGAAGAAAGCTCGTGAGTTTGTACAACTTAGTTTATACTGTAAATTCCTGACTTAGATCCAAACACTGATCACTTCGCGCTGCTGTAGATATCATCCCACAGAAGACTTGATTCGCCTGTCGCCTCGGAAATACTATCGCGCTTCCATAAGTCCAAGGTATGGGAGATATCTCGTTAGCGCATGTGTGTTTGAATCAGACCAGGCGATGTGGGAGTTTAATCACCATCAAGGAGTCGTTGGTGGCGTCTGTTCAATTATCTTTTCCTGCAAATATCCAGTCGATACTATACTGGCTTTCCTGGCAGTGGTTGGTGTGTGCCGAATAGAGTGAGGAGATTTCTGACTTCATATAGTCATTGGCAGTTGCACGATTTGTTGAGTTCTCCGAAGCAACATATTATTTACTACCCGAGTTCGCATGACATAATTTGCCTCAATACTAAATCTCGCGAGCGAGAGCTTCTTACGACTTTAAACTACGAGCCGCGATGTTTGACAGCTGCGAAGGATTGGGTATGCGCTGGGGGAGATAGAGGAAATTTCACAAGCTTTTATGTAGGAGAAGGAGAAAGACCCGGCAAGACCGATTCGCATCTGGAATTGAGTGCTAATGCCGATGCTCGTTTACCTCTCGTCCTCCAACCATCTGCGATAGCACCACAAAGAGAATCTCCCGAAGATTCTCAAAGATCTAGTCCTGATGCCACCACTCCGCATGTATCGAAAAAAGTCGGTTCTGACGTTGTAAACTGTATAACAATTTGGTTCCCATCGGAATCATCTTTATCTCAGGGATACACGGACCCTGTGGCTGTTGCTGCACTCAACGACAGTACCGTTGCTATATTGAGTTTGCATGACTCCGAGATATTAGAAACTCTTACTTATCCAGATTATGTAAATCGTGCTGTGATATCTCCGCAGGGAGACCTGCTCGTCGCAATGTAGGTTCCTCAAGTTTGCTCAATATTGGTACTCAATTGACTTGACTTAGCTGCGACGATCCGTTTCTTTATATCCACAAAAGACAGATGAAACAAGTCTCAAGGCCTCGTTTTAGTTCACTTGTCAATGAGTATGAATGGGTATTTTCTGGCAGGATCCAGCTCGAAGGGCAACGACCAGCGGACAAAAGCGCCATGAGAGGTTCATTTGCAGCATGCTTTTCTAACTCAGGCAGATATCTTGCTGTAGCCACTCAATATGGTGTTATATCAGTTTTTTTGACTGAACTCCTCACGAATGATGACGTTGATCCATTAGTAGTTAGTTTCACCTCATCGCGACCTAAAGTCGAATCTGGAGCTGTCAGAGCCATGGAATTTTCGCCAAATCCTTTCGATCTCCTTGCTTGGACTGAAGCCAATGGACGTATTGGGGTAGCAGATCTCCGGGATATGTTTATTTCAAGGCAAATAATTGATATCGATTCTCGCGGGGATGGCGTTGAACGAGTTTGGGTAACCGAGTGCTCAAATGACTTTCCTTCAAGAGAGGCTAGGATAGATGCAAGGTTTCGCGCTTTTCGTACTTTTCGTACTGAGTCACCCTCTGACGCTTCTGCAAGCGCGATACCAGATTATCTGGGCCTGGATTTCGACCGACAGCGACTAAGGAGTCTAACCCGCGATTTGACAGATAGACACCAGCTTCCGCCAACGGCTGATGAGATGGAAATATTACAGGCACATCGAATGGCTCGCCAACTAAGGGATGCTGCACGTGAGGCCCAAGCACAAGGAAGCAGCTCCAGATGGGGCACCTTGGATGGAGAAAGATCGGCGGACACATCTGTAACATCTCACGAAGGTTCCGGTACCGCAGAACGCCGCATATCTACGACCGGTCTGCCAAGTGCTTTGCGAGAATTTGTAAATTCTGACCGCACCCCAGCTTCATTCCGAGCGTTCATTGATAGGCAGAATCAGGACCGAGAAAGGCGCGCAGGACAGAACGACGAAACTAGGCAGCAAATATCATCGGTAATAGATGGTATCGCAGTGGAGGGCGAGCTTAACAGAAGTGTAGGGACAAGCGCAGATACCTTTTCTGGCCTGGAGCGTCTGTCGCTCGCCCCTCGTCTTCCCACCATAGGTTATGAAACAGCCCCTAACGCTTGGGCTGAACTTGAAGAAATGTATCGGACACGATTCCCTCGAGATCCTCAATCTACACTTCAAGCTGAAGGTGCGGATGAAGAAAGTAGAGCCTTCGCTCAAAGATCAAGACAGCCCTGGCGTCCCTTAGATGCACTCACTCGACTTAGTCTCGATGCGAGGACCGATAGTAATCTATTGAGACGAGAGCGAGAGGGTAGAAGAGAACCAGTCGACACTATGGGACTTGCCTGGAGCGAGGATAGTAGGCTACTGTATGCGCTTTGCTGTATTCATCATTTACAACGCTGACTCATCGCAGATATGTTGGTGCTGGAGATGGTATTCATGAATATCAGGTGAATGTGGCTGGACGGAAAATCTTCCCCCACCGTGTGTTACAATAATTGTATATTGAATGATATCCGGGAAGGACGATTAAGGGAGTCGGAGTTAGGAGTTTATTAGTCTAAGGACGCATGCCGGAATGATGGCCCATGAAATTATTTGCTTGCAAAGTTAAAAAGCTGGCTATTACTTTCTTCTACTGATCTAAGGACTAGTTGAACCAACCAAAGTAGGTACATATCTTGAATTTACTGCTCAATATAAATTCATGTGATACCGTGCATCCCTTCGTGCCCAAACTAAACCCATTTGAGCTTCATATCCTTGTCTAGATATTCTCGAAGCCTTGAAGTAATCTCAATCTTTAGACATCATGCTACTCGAGTACACTATACACATATGTATATATACTATACGAAAGACTTGCGCCAATTTGATATTGTGGAATATTCACAAATTTTCTTTCTCTTGTTGAAGACAAAAGTAACATCAACAATCATACAATACAATACTTCTCAAATCGACCATTTGGCATTGTCATCCAATCAATAGTCGAGGGATATCCATCCGTTTCATGATTCAACGGCACTGGTACAGAGATACTTCTACTATTCCAACTGTTACTATCACTATCACCATAACAGTAACCGCATGTACTCGAGTACTCGAGTATAAGAAATGGCAAATTTGGTTTTGGAGACGGAGACGTAGATATGAGTTGAGATGTGGATGTGCATGTGCATGTGCATGTGCATATTGTATTGCTGAGATATAAGTAAGATGGATGTCGGGATGAGCTATTCGGAGTCGGGTAATTTGTTATTTTTCTCCTGAGTCCTGATTTACCTACCTCTCTTGTTCTTGTTCTTGTTCTTATTATATGGTTTGATTGTAAATGCAATATGATCTAATCTTAATAAAACAAAAATACAAAGGCCCCCATTCATTCCAAATTCACGAACTAACTAATCTCCCTTCCACAATCTCCTCCACAGCCCCCTCCCCCCCACCGACTAGATACACTCCCTACTCCAACTACTCCAAAAGCGCCAATACACCAAACTCAATCCTCGTTTCAGGAACAAGAATGGCATCACAAGCGTAGCGAGATACAATGCGTTTATGGATGCTTTGCTTTGCTTTGCTTTGCTTTGCTTTGCTTTGGTTGAAACGGTGTGTCGCAATCGGGGACTGGGTCGTGGAAGGTTGGAAGGGTGTGGAGTTTAGGGGTTTGGGTATTTAGAGGGGGGGTGGTTGAGGATGTGGATGCGTGTGAGGTGGTGATGATGCGTGGGGTTTGGGAATTTGGGTAGTTAGGGGGGAGGGGGCGGAGAATATGGAGAATATGGTGGGACTTGGGAAAGGGGAGAGATGGCCTATGTCGAGTTCTTGAGTTTGAGGAAAATTGATAATTGATAATACCACATCTCTTCTCTTCTCTTTCCTTCCCTTCCGTACCTCCAATCCCATCGTTTCGAATACAGTAGACTATGTATATTACATTACCCATCAAGCTTTTCATATCATCCACACTACAACCCCACAGTACAACCCCATAGTACAACCCAACCCAACCCAACCAATCTACTCAAGTATAAACCTCCCACTTCAAAATTGAGGCTTCGACTCAGCTAAAGCCTCACGATCCTCTTACACATTGTAATCTTACCTGTATGCAGTTGACTGTACTCAAGTATGAGAAAATAATCAATTCCTCGTTGTGAGATGATAAGGTTGAGAAATTGCTACATATTTGATACGTGTTGCTTTCTTTGTATTTCATTAATTCCTCCTGCTGTTTCATTTTCGTTTCTATTTCCATTTCCATGCCATCTTCATCTTTATCGGTGAGATTCGTATTTAGTAAGTTACTTTCTGGGTATTCGTCTCAATTTCAATCTTCGTCTGCTCCACAAAAGCCTCATCTTTCATCTCTCATTCCCTGATTTCTAGTCCCTTCATATCTTCACCCCCCGTTCCCTCTGCACAATCTACCTACAACCCCCAAATCCCAAACCCCGCAACCCCAACAACCACCCCCCAAACCCCACCCACTCCCCCCATCCGCTCCGCCCCATTATCACTAACCGTACTCGGCCTAACCAGCTCCCCAGTTGACGTACCACTAGTCTTAATATCCGTCGTACCCGGTAACGTCGAGAACGACCCCGGACTACTCCTAATATCCGTAATTCCAGGCAATGTCGAGTAATTCCCACTCGCACTGACTATCCCAGCTGTTCCATTTCCCCCAGACCCTGCCGTAGATGTACTCCAAACCGTCGTTGTGCCCGTTGGTGTGGGAGTTATTGTTTTCGTTATGCTGATGATTTGGGCAGTTTCGGTACTTGCTTCTGTGGATGTACTGGTACGAGATACTGCGCTGGTAGTTGGTTTATTGGAAAGGTATGTTGATGCGACGGAGATAGAAGAGGATGAGGAACTAGAGGTGGATACGCCAATGGAATCGGGATTGAGATGTCCACAGTTGACCTTCTCAGCATCCTGGCATTTCTTTTGTGCAGCGGCATCATTTTCACCAGCGAAGATGCAATTGTCATATAATTGTTCGCATAGAAAGGTAGGCATGGTTTGGGTGTAGTATTGGAGGGCCGGAGAGGAGGAACTAGCACTGCAGGTGCATTCGTAGCAGAGGGTCACCTAAGGAGGGCATTTTAGTACGTGGAGAAGAGAGGAATATTGTAGGAAGCTTGAATGATGGAGAATGAAACAAGAATAAACATACTGTATCACAATTGTTTGCATCGTAGTTACCAGCGCAGAGGGTCCCGCAGGTAGTGATTTGCTCAGAACACCATTGAGCTGCATATTTCCATTAGCCATCCACACATATGTAGAGCTATCTAACACCACATAACTAGACCTGGTTGAAATTGACGTTGAATGGACTTACAGCGCAAAGAAGCAGAAACACTACTCGGATCAATCTGGGCACTGCAAGATCCAGAAGCTCTCACCATCATCGCGCATTGCGCAACCAGACCCAAGATTCGTACGACTCTCATGATGAGGGAGATATGCGGACTTCCACAAACAAACAGATATACAACGATAAAACGATAAATCGCAAGTCCCCCAAAACAAACAGTGAGAAAAGTGAGTGAGATAATTTGCAAATTGCAAAAGCAATATATAAAACCGTTTGTACGTATGTACCGGTATGTATGTATGTACGTAGTTAGGTATATATGTATGTATAAAGAACGTTAAGCTAGTCGTGCTGTGCAAGTATTGTTGCAGCTAGGTAGGTAGATATTATAGCGAGTGTATCCTACGACGGTACCATATGCTTCATCTCTCGATCAAATCGAATCAAAATCAGACATACGGATTACATCTGACAGTAGTAGATATATGAATATATATCGTTTCGAGACTCCCACTCTTTTGAAGAAAGGAAAGGAGCGAAATATGTAAAAGCGCCTTGCACACACAAACAGTTTATGTAATTACGCCGTTAGGCGCAATATTGTACCTTTAATTTTGTACATCTTAAAGGTTTCGTGCTTGCTTACCACTTGCTTGCCCGCCTTTCCTCATCTGCTTGCTTGCTGCTTACACTTGTGGCACGCGAGCGGAAAAATTGGTAGAAAAAAATTTGTTCATGGGGTTGATATCGAAGGATGGATGATGGGGGGGTGATCTGAATACGAAGTGCAGTTGCTCTCACCTCCAGGCCCTGCATGACAAAGTAACGAATGAAGAACGGATTGACAACGGGTCTTTGTCTGTTTCGGTGGTAGCTCCGATGCAGAGGAGTACTTGGGTGTGCCTGAAGATTTGATATGTTATGTACGGTATCCTCGGGTACCCTCCCATCCATCTCTTCCGTATCAATGAATGTACCTGAGTCGGCATACTGCGCGTAGAATTGGAGGAAGCGGCGCAGGTACGAGCTGCTTGCCTCATTTTTTTAGATACTATTGAGAGATGGGAGGGAAGTGTGGGGAGGGAGGGAGTAACCGTAGTTAACTGAATTTAGATGAGCTTGATCACATGGTAAATAACTCGTATTAGGGGGATTAGTTTTGTGGTTCGGTGCGGGGAAGTTATCGTTACCGCAATCTTTATGTCACATGTAGGAATAGCTATAAACTTTATCAACAACTTTCTATAATAATAACAAAAGCTTTCTTTCCACATATATATAAAATCAAATATTCATTATCATCCGCTCCTTAGATATAATAGTATACAAACCCCAAATAAAGTTTCAGCAACTACTCGAGTACCGGTATACTAGTACTCTTCCAGCAAGGCTCCGACTCATTATAACTTTTCTCCCGGCTAGGTAGTCTAAGGATATTATAATATACTGTTACTGTATATACTGCTAAGCCGTTAAACAAAACATGATTAGGCTAATTTAGACTTGGATTTGGATTCAAGATGTTGATTTGAATCTTTTGGATAGGTCAAAATTAGTCTTTCTATCCTTCTATCCTTCTATCATTCAATCAGATAAAGTCCTACTAGTTACTGATTAGCCCTTCACAATCATTTCTCCATCCCCCACCCCACCCCCTCCCTTCTTCCGAATCCACCCCCCCTAACTGAACAACTCCAAAAACTCCAAAAACTTCAACAACTTCAACAACTTATCTCTCATCCCATCTAATACCTACCCAAGTCCTCGTCAATCTTATCACATATTCACAACAAACCACAATTATCCAACGACAGCCCTTTAGCCCTTTAGCCCTTCAACCCTTCAAAACACCCCTCCTCTTCGCTTCGCTCCGCTCCCTCATATCCAGCTTACAGCTTACCGGGAGTAAAATTTGTGTGTTCATATGGGACTTTGAAAAGTACTGGGTGAGCGATGGCTGACGCCATCTATCGTTGACACAATAGCTAAGATCCAAGAGTATTCGTACTGTACTGTAAATGATATCTCAAAATTCTCGGCCACATAACATTATGTATATTTCTTGAGCTAACCAAACCCAACCCAACCCAACATGTCCTGTCATATCCTGTCTTCCCAAATATCTTCATGATGCCTATACCCATCTCAAAAATTCCGTTAAAAATATGTCCCTCCATATCATTTTCCAATCATTTCCACTATCCCAAGCCGATTCCATACCAAAACCCCAACCCACCTCCAAGCCTCGTAACGAATGTTTTACAATCATAAAGCTAGCTACGTACAAGGTATTTCCATTGGGTGTCCTGCTCCGACTTACTCACAGCCCACGGGATGGTGGATGTGGCTGGCCACCCACAAGATCGATACAATTTGTTAACAATAATGCAGCTTCATGCAAGAGTTCCCATCGCGTATTCTTGAAAAGGGTCCGAAGAACCATGAGCAATCCAGTACATTTGTTGAACCCAGTTAAGAATATCAATTTCGCAGGATCATCGACCGAGCCAAATCGTCGTAGATAGACTCGCATATCAAGGACTTGATCGTCGAATGAGTGAAGAGCGGGCACCGGGCCAGTGATCGACCCTTCGAGGGCAAAGCCGTAGCACCATACAATCAGAGCAGCGAAATACAATACCCATGGTCGGTTAAGAAGCATATCATCGCGGGCGGAGTAGTCGAATGGTGGATCCGGATGTACGTGATCGTAGCCATGGGAAACCGAGGCGGATTCTTTGGGAAGTAGGACTGTGCAGAGAAATTTGATAGCATTATAGGTGGCGTCTCTAGCCTTGGCAGTTGGTGCCCAAATATCACTCATTTTTCTTTGAACACTACTTAAGTCCTGTGACCCGATCGCGCGGCCAAGAAGACGTTTTGCTCGAGCAAGTATTTGACAGTCAACAACGTCAACATGCATCGCCATGTGTGCGAGGTGATGCAGCACTATCCTGGATTGGTAGACAACATTATTTTCCTTGCCGGTGTAGCCATATGGTCCTGTCATTGTTTCAGATTGTCGCAACAGAGATGCGTCGAAATCTTGATCCCAATGGTCAAATGCTTTATTCAAGGATGATCTCCACTTGTCCCGGTTACCTAGTGCAGGCGATACACCCAATGAGCTGACCTGTAAATCACGTTGATTCATATGCCAGCTAACACTCAAAAGGCCTGCCATTAATATTGTACGACCAAAAGAGTTTGTCCGCACTTCCTGCGCATGAAGAGTCCTTCTAAGACCTTCCAAAAACGATATAGATTTCATACCATTCACTTGGAGGTTTGACTCCAATCTACCAAATTCGGCACTACTTGTGGCAGTCCACATGGCTTCATCGCAAGGCAATGGGATGCGCATCTCGTGTGCGACCATGTCGGTAGAATGTCCGAACATTGTTGCGTGTGTAGAGTCTATAACAAAGGCTGCAAATGCAGCACGTCTTGTGGCTTCATTTGTAATCCAGTGGTTCCACCACTCGTTAGGGGTATGGGCTCCTGAGATTGGCGACTGACGTGAATCACTGTATCCTTGTTTATCATCTCTTACACTCGGGGGTGAATCCAATGCATAACGGCCTGTTAATGAGCTACCACGACGCATCAACGTGATGGTGGTTGCGTGGTGGATGTGAGCTCTTTCGTGAAGTGCTCTGGTCGAGTACATTTTTTCAAAAAGTTCTAGCAACAAAAGAGCCTGGAACACCCATAGTTTGGCCGGGGGACGAAATTGGTGGTCGCTAAATATTTCCCATCTGAGATGCCATGCTAGGAAATTTGACAATTCGGCGCCAGCTTGTGTCACTTCAAAGGTGTGCTGGTTGCCAAGACAGGAGGCACCTATGGCCATCATTGCAATCAAAAGGAGGTTTTGTGTCTTATCCGGAGAAAATGTTGGTTTGTGTACTGTTACAAAATTAACAACCTTCGTGTGACGAAATACAAGGAGGAGACGTATGACCTACATATTGGCATCTGGTCGCTAAAATGCTGCCAGTAACTGGCGATGTATGCTTGCATCATTTTTCTACTCATCATATGCTTTTCATCACTACGGTCCCCTTCAAGAAGAGATCCCTTCTGCTTAATAACGGACGTATTTCCAGTTCCGTTGAATCTCTCCTTGATCAAGTCAATTATGGCTTGGCTCTTTTCTTCGGATAAAACTGTCTCTGGCAAGCTGGTATCAAGTAGGCTCGTCACAGCCATAGGGTGGTGGGATTGGTGAGCAGTTGGAGGATAGAAGCCCTCAAGACCATTTTCATTAGTGAAGTGTGGGCCATAATACTGACCTGTGGCATCAGGGTAGCTGCTAAAAATGTAAGTCGAATACAAATCAGAGTAGGAAAGCAAGTCAAATAATACTACTCACTTTGCATAGGGTTGTTGATTCATTTGACCTATGTCGTTTTGTTGATTGCTAAAAAGATATGCCCAAATATCTTCAGGCATCGCGAAAGGGGATCGATTATAGCATCCTTCGCCACCAAACACGGGTATTGTGTATGAAACAGCCATTTGATCTAAAAGCATCATGTCTGGACCCGATTGTTGAGCTTGGCTGGTATCATGAGAATACTCAGTCGAAACTGGAGTATGGAACGGTGGCTCAGGCTTAGGTTCACGGGTGGGAATCGCGTTTGCAGCCACATTCGCGAATCCTGGCGGTGGTAAGCTAAACGGAGGAAAATTTTGGTGACTTATATATGCCTGCGGGCTGTGTGGTTGATTACCACGGTAGTTCTGATTGATCGAGGCTGTCGGTAGCATACCATAATGGCTAGTGGTGGTTTGCAGCGGTCTCGAGAACTCCGCCGACTTAGCATCAGGAGTCCCAAAGCTTTGATGTCGTTGATCTCTGCTACTAGAACCAGCAGATGATGCAATCTGGCCCCCGGAGATTATTTCAGCATCGGGTCGCTTGTAATTGACTGATTGATACCCATCTGCGCCATTAGTTGTAATAGCACCTGCATAGGTTCCAGATGCTGGGTTAGTCACTGGCGAAAACGAGGTAGGACGGATATCTAGTGGAGACTGGTATTGTATCTGAGTTGTCCGTGTTTTGGGCCCAATTAGACTTGGTCTCATGACTTCAGGAGACGTGGACCCGTGGAGTGACTGTGGCTTTGGTATCTGCGACACTGGAGACCCTTGACTCAACATCGAATCTTTTCTGTGTAATTGAGAACCTTTCGCAGTATGCCGGTCTCGATGCCTGTTACATAAATCCTGCCTGACAAACGTTCTCGAACAACCCTCAAAGTCGCAGTTATATATCTGTTTCGGAGTATGGTTTAGCTGGTGACGATAACTTGAAACATGAAGTCAGCGATAAAGGTCAACAGACGTATTCGCGATTGTGTAAATCTTACAGATGTTCGGCCCTAGAGTAGCTCTTCCCACAGTTTTCCGAAGGACATTCAAACTTTTTGTCCAGACCTTTGCGACTTCTCCTCCGTTTCCGCGAGGGACCATCATCGCCAGATGTATGTCCGTCTCCAAATTCTCCCTGCGAGAGTTCCCCTTCATCTTCTGTGGGTTTCAACGAGACGCGGCTTTGACCTCTACCGCGAATTTTATCGTCAACTTCTCCGCTGGGCCTGCATTGTAGCGTAGGATCGGCCATTTGAGACATGGCAGGCGCATCGATTTGAGTCATGATATTATTTGCTGCTAAGGTAAGAGGAAGTGCTGCAGCTAGTATCGAAGTCATGATCTCATACTATTTTGTAACAAGCGTCGCAATGATGAGGATGTCCTAGTTTAGCAACACTCCCTCGTGAAGTGTTCAACAGCTCTAGGAAGTTGTGATTGACGCATAAGGGTGGCGAAGTCACTCTACTATCGACCGAGGTCAGACGGATGAAGCATGTTATATATTCAAGAAAGAAGACTGAGCAAAGCAAATCAATGCGAATAAATGAAAATGGACCGTTAACTAGCCATAATGCAAAACGCAGCAGTATGACCCAAGACCCTCCTTACGCATCAAGTAAGGCGGGGAAATGTGCTGTAAGCTCCCTGGTCAACATGAGAGTGTTCTCCGTCGGACAAGATGATGGAGTCGCAACGTGAGATGTGGCTAGGTCATGCAAGAAAACACGCGCTGATCCAGAGCTGACGAGCGCGCATAAAAGCGCTTGTATGAGATTAGAAAAGAAGATGGGAGATAAATATATTGAAGAATACTATAAGAAAGTTGTTTCTCGTTACTCACTCATACTTCAAAATGTGGGTGTTATCGATGATATGATGATATGATAATAAAAGGAGAAACAGAGGGGGAAAAAGGCGAGATATTTCGTACTAAGATTGAAGTTTGTGCTTGTGTTCCGTGACCAGTGACCAGTGATCACTGACCCATACAAAATAGATTTTGGGGGGTTGTTTAACTTTATCTGGGGCCGGAAGCTTTTTCTTTTTTAGTGGATCAATAAGCTAATAAGCTAATAAGTTAAAGAAAGGTGGATCTGTGGGGTCACACATGGAAGAACATGTGGAGACAACATAAGACTTGGCTCAAGTCCGTAGGGAGGGGGATGCTGGTTACTACCTACTCAAAGTAGATTCGGTTTCTATCGGTTCGGGGACAGTATACAAAAGGAGAATGAATGGTATATTCGAGGGTGTAAAGTCTGGCGAAGGTATGATACAGTAAGTAGTCAATTAAGTACTCTGTTATTCCGATGGGGTTAGATGAGGCTGGTTGACGAGTACGAGTAGGATCGAAGGCTTCCCAATAGAACTGTGGATAAATTGAGATTTCATTTATCAGCTGTATATGCTTGCTCTTTCTTGTGCCGTGTTATAATTATGTCTCAAAGCAGAAGGGATATTGTGTTCACCAATCACCAAACTTTTGCTTTTTGTTACGTGAAGAGAGCTTCAAAGCCTTTAATAGGAGTAATAGATCCTCATTTGATCCATCTTGGTAGATATCAAACAGACTTCTTTCGGGCAATTCTAAGTTACACCCGTAATAAGTCTCTATGATAGTCATGTGTTCTGTGTGGCTTGAAACTGAAGGGATTTGGTGATATAGACTTATATCGAATGTACAACTTATCTCAATCAATACTTTAATCTTTCGATCAGGGCTCGCTTGATTCCTTAACCTACCCAGTACCTTATCATTCTAAATATATTCCAATAGAAAAATAAAGGAATATCTTAATGAATCATTAATTTTTTATTCGAGTATATTCATACTTTATAGAACAACCAAAGGCCTTTAATCCCAACAACACCGGTATTAACCCTACTTAGGTAGTTTAAGTAAAGGCATATTTGGGGTTCTGACAGCTTAACAGTACGTACCGGTTAGTAACCTGGAAATGCTGATCTACCTACCTAGTAATTAATCCGGGGTACTGATAACCCCTAAACTCTATTCAATCTTCTAGCTTCTTTAGCCTCTTTCTTTAGCCTCTTTCTTTAGCCTCTCTTAGCCTCTCTCGTCCAATAAGAATAATGATAAACTTTCTGGTGTATCGGCGCTTTTTATTTATTCACTTAATATCTATGATGAACGAACTTCAAAGTGAATCATCTTTCAACACTACATCTAATGACCTCTACTACCAGTATAACTTGTAACCTATCTCGAATTTCAGATTTATTCTTCGATAACTCAACATACAGACCGATAAGCTCTTAAAATCTTTCGTCGACTTCTTCCACCATGGTAAAAGCGCCTCGTCCGCAGCCTGATGATTCAGAAGCATCCAGCACAAAGGAGAAAGGAAACCCAAGCGCAACACCTGCTACGAACGGAAAGGGTAGGCGAGTAGCAAGCAGCGCCGTTAATACAAATGAATCAGGTGCAAATAGCACACCCACTGCCGCTGGTGCTGTAGCAGGAGCTGCGGGAAGTACCAATACGGAAGGTAATATTGGAGTATGGATTACCGCTGCCATTTGAGAGTGAAGCAGAATAGCTAACAAATGACTTCTTTCATAGATACAATGGTCAGAATTTGATCCATCTCTATTGCATCGTTATCGGTACGAGCACGGAATGAATACTCCCCCGGCCTTCAACAGTTCATACAATCAAACTGTTCTTTCTCAATCGAGTATCGGCCGCATGTCACCAAGTATGGTCCGTAAGAAGGAGCACAAGAGGCAAAGCAAAGATCAATTGGCCAACACTGTACGCAAGCATTTTAACAGTCAGTCGGTCAATGAAAACGAGGTTATAGTCAAGTTCTTATACAAGGTTCGATATCAGGGTTAGTCGATATGATTGTTTCTATAATTGGTGATGAAATCCAAGCTGATTATCCATAGACAAGAAATTTCGAATGCGATTCATGCCACAGTTACGACACATGTAGCGATCTGCCAGACCTAATTACATACACCAAGCTGTGAACTACTCGGCTTCGATTCGATCAGCACTTAGGAACCGTCCTACGGTTTAATAACACATATAAATATACGGCGAAGGGCGGCGTTATAAGGAGAATGGTTGGATTTGTATCATAATTTGTACAGAATACTCGATGGAGGACTTTTCAGGGGAGTTATGGATTTTTACTGTGAGGTGTAGTTATCTGGAATAATGACAATTATGATCAACGGACAACAGAATGACAGCAATATTTTAAATACGAAGAAATTCGTTTACTTCATGAATAAAAGAAAGCTTTGAGTTAATGATACTTGTACAAGTAGCAAACTTTTTGATTCGAAGCTTTTCAGCCTTGCACTATTTGTAATGGCCTTTCGGGTTTAATTCCGCTAATCCAATCAGAATTAAGCTATCTCAATGGCCTTGCGGTAAAGAAAAAATTATTGGAGCTTTCCAGAATGATCGTTGCTATCAAATCAAGTCTTACCTTTGCTTCAACAATAATACAATTCCTCCCACAGTCTTAATTGTTTCTAGATTTACTGATACTTTTTTGTTATCTTTCAAGCGTACATGGTGAACATCATTCTATCATAATGAAGACTGGGACAACAAGCCTTTTGTCAAAGGCCACCACTCCATCTCGAATTTTATGTTCTACACCAGCGAGTCGACATCGAACATTAAACAGCGACGATAACAGGCAATCGCAAATACGGAGCCTTCCAACAATACGCGCATTTAGGGGAAGATGCAGATCTACTCAGCATGACCTATCATTAAAACCAATACAGATACGCGTGAGTATCTATACCGTCAATGTGCTTTCCAATCGCATTCAGATTACTGACCTAAATTTCTTCTAGTCTTTTCATGCAACAACGAGATACCAAGCCACGAGAAACCCCTATGATGTTCTTGGAGTAGATACGGGCGCCTCTGCATCATCCATCAAGAAAGCATATTATGGTCTTGCCAAAAAGTTCCATCCGGACACAAATAAAGATTCGAATGCTAAAGATAAATTTGCCGAAGCACAAACTGCTTACGAAATTTTGACCGATCCACAGAAAAAGGCAGCTTGGGACTCGTATGGAGCTGCAGCGTTCGATCAAGGAGCAGGACCAGGACCAAGACCCGGACCTGACGCTGATCCATTCACAGGATTTGGGGGTGGTGGTTTTGGAGCCGATTTCAATTTCGAAGACTTGTTTAAGGGTGGTTTCACCGGTGGAAAGAAGGGTAGAGGTGGAAGTCGCAATCCGTTTCAACAAGAAGAAATACTGGTCGGAGACAGTATTGAGGTTCAAACAAAGATTTCCTTCACGGAGGCAGCAAAAGGGACCAGCCAAACGATCAACATTTCTCCATTATCCACTTGCAAAACATGTACTGGAAATGGCTTGAAATCCGGAACGAAGCGATCGGCATGTAAATCTTGCGGAGGGTCCGGTACACGGGTGTATTCTATGGGTGGTTTCCAAATGGCTTCGACATGTACTGCCTGCGGTGGTCGAGGATTGGTGATTCCAGCTGGATCAGAATGTCGGACATGCTCTGGAAATGGTGTTGTGCGTGACCGCAAAACGATTACTGTTGACATACCTGGAGGTATTGAGGACGGTATGCGTTTAAGATTAGATGGGGAAGGTGATGCCCCAGCTACTGGCCAGTCTGCGAACCCCAACGGCCCTTCACAACGTGGTGATCTTTATGTGCTCGTTCGAGTGGCCACGGATCCGAAATTTAGTCGCTCTGGGTCTGATATCTTATATACTGCAACGATTACTTTTACAACCGCGTTGCTTGGAGGCGAGATTAAGATACCAACCTTAGATGGAGATGTCAGTGTTAAGGTTGCGACTGGGACTAGCACTGGAGACAAGATTACTCTAGGGGGTAAGGGAATGAGAAAGCTGGAGGCACGTAAAGGAGGAAACGGAGACCTGAAAGTCGAGTTCAAGGTTCTCATGCCCAAATCCCTGAGCGCCAACCAGCGAGCAATCATTGAAATGCTTGCCGATGAGATGGACGATAAAACAGCGAAGCGGATTATGAATGTTGGCCGTTCCTCAAGTTCCTCGTAAGTTCAGTGTCGTGTTCTCAAGCCAGACACTGACCGAGACAGATCATCTTCCCCATCGAATGCCGAAGGGAATCACCAGCAAGAAGGGTTCCTCAAATCCGTCTGGCACAAATTCACAGATGGTGCTAATTCGCCAAATGGAGGTGAGAAAGAGGGTTCTAAGAAGAAATGAAGCCAATGAGGAAACTCCGCTGTATAACAAGTCGCTAAAGTCTAGGAATACCACTCTGTATCAGGGTTAGGGGTCAAACGATGGAGCATGGCGTCTCCTGAAGGTACAAATTATGGCTGACAATCTACGAATGTAGAATTCCAGACTGCATACTCTAGAGTGTATGACCCATAGGTGTTCAATGAAATGATATCTCAACTCACAGCTGTGGTGGCTTGACAAACATCCGTTGTTTGGATAGATCGCCATGCAAACGCGTTTCATCTTCGCTTGACATCTGGATTTCATATCACTGCCGAAAGTATTCATCTCGGGCCATATGCACCTCAATGTGATGAAGTTGGAAAATACGAAATCTCTCTACCAATTAGAACGCATTCTACATGGCTGTCGTGACAACTACCGTCTGCACCAAACCTACTAGCTATTTGGCATGCTGCATTCATCTGTATACAGAAAACCGAGCCCAAACGGTCCATTGAAATGAGTTTCACAGAAGATCTTCTATTAGTAATTGAAAGCTACTTGAATAGATTTCCAAATGAATTGAAATTAAGATTATTATATAGTAGTCACTGGATCGACCCCCTTATCTACGCAGGGCGCTTATTATATACACTGATACCCTATGGGTTCAAGATACATCCCTTCATTATAAGGAAGGTAGATAGATGGTGGGTCGTAAAAACTTGTACATTTGCGGTTGAAGAGAAAATGAACTGTTGGGTTGATTGTTTCTCTATTTTGGTCTGGATGGCCTAGGTAGGTAATTATTATGTGCTATCTTGAGTACTCAGTACAGGTTATATTTAACCATTCTATGTGTACTCGAGTATTGAATGAGGATAGAAACAAGATTTATGGGTATGGTATTGAGAGTTAAATTCGAGTATATATATTCTCTGTGATATTAATGAATCTTACCAAAAATGTTTCTCTGGCGCTTATCTGATAAATCTAGGGCCTCCTAAAAGGCCGCAGTAAAAGAGTGCAGGTTTCCCTGCCCTGTAGAGTAAGTAGTACAAAGCTTTCCAAGGCTAGAGTAGTGTTGTCCTGTTAGTGAACATAGCACAAATTAATGAAAGCTTGGGCATTTGCTTGAATACCTAGGAACAACTCCAATTACTTCTCACTAAGACTCACTTCCTGCAATCACAAACATTTCCCTATTTCTATTTCTGAAATTCATCAACTACAAAATAAAATACGCTCATAGTAGCTCATCATTATAACTTCATGACCATAACAGAACCATGACATATATGAGTGAAATTTTGCGCAAGGATCCGACCATTCTTTCAGGATACTATCAAGTACGCAATCAAACAAATTAACAAGTTAATAAGTTAACAAATCTTACCACTGACGACAACAAACCCCTCCTCCCCACCGCTTTCCCATCCTCGTTCGACGAATATCTGTGTGCACGATATCAACGATTTCATCTGTCTTTTACCTACAGCCCAAACCATTGAACGCACTCTGCATTGATTCATATCCTTCACAGATTCTGCCCGGGAATTGATAATTAGGGCGTCGAGCTCTGGACAGACTTCGAGATGCAAGCACCGATGATATCAGTGCCTCTTAAGGCAACCAACGAGATCGACTGGATACAGCCGTTGAAGAATTATATCAGACATACTTATGGTGACGACCCGGAACGATATGCGGAAGAATGTTCTACCCTCAACCGCTTGCGACAAGATATGCGAGGGGCAGGCAAGGATAGTGCCGCGGGAAGGGACCTACTTTACAGATATTATGGTCAGCTGGAATTATTAGACTTACGGTTCCCAGTCGATGAGAACCACATCAAAATTTCCTTTACATGGTATGTCTGCATAAGTGAGGGGTACCAGAATCTTGCTAACAACGATGCTAGGTTTGATGCGTTTACACACAAAGCCACTGCACAGTACTCTTTGGCATACGAGAAAGCTTCGATTATATTCAATATTTCCGCCGTACTATCATGTCATGCAGCGCATCAGAACCGATCAGAAGACCCCGGCCTCAAAACTGCATACCACTCATTTCAAGCATCTGCTGGCATGTTCACTTATATCAATGAGAACTTTCTCCATGCCCCCTCTACCGACCTAAGTCGAGAGACGGTCAAGACTCTGATTCAAATTATGCTAGCTCAAGGTCAGGAGGTGTTCCTCGAAAAGCAGATTGCCGATGGTAAAAAGGTTGGTCTGTTGGCGAAACTTGCTAGCCAAGCAGGATATTTGTATTCTCAAGCGCTTGAAGGAACTCAGGACAACGTGAATAGGGCCATATTCGAGAAAGTTTGGCTGCTGGTGGTCCAAGTAAGTTCTAATCCTTCTTGTCCGGTTCTAGGGAAGACATTTTGGCCATATCGATGTTCAAAAGTAAAATTGATACTAAAGCAAGCTAGATCAAAGCAAATCACATGTCGTCCCTAGCTCAATATTACCAATCTCTTGCCGATGACGATGCGAATTCGCATGGTGTAGCTATTGCCAGGTTGCAGGCAGCAGAAGCTTCATCTAAGGACGCCAGTAAACTTGCCAATAGTTTCCCTGGAAATGTTCCCGTCAATTCAAACTTCACATCGGAGACAGGCACAACTTTGATAGAAATTAACAGGCGTCATCTTACTAATGTTCAAGAGAAACTTGCTGAGCTCATCAAGGATAATGACTATATCTATCACCAGACCGTACCAGCTGAAGCAGCTCTCACCGTGATCCCCAAACTTCCTGCTGCTAAGGCGATACCAGTTAGTGAGCTCTATGCTGGTCAAGATATTCAGCGTATCACGGGACCCGACATATTCCAAAAAATAGTGCCCATGTCTGTGACGGAGTCGGCCAGCTTATACGACGAAGAAAAAGCAAAACTGGTACGGGCAGAGACAGAGCGTGTAGAAACTGCCAACAGTGAGATGGCTGCTAGTCTAGACTACCTCAGATTGCCCGGAGCATTACAAGTTCTTAAGGGTGGTTTTGACCAAGAACTAAGCGGGGGTGAAGATTTTAGGAATTGGTGCGACGATTTAGCCGGGCACGTTTCTCCCATGTCGACCTTTGATACTTTAAAATCAAGCAAAGACGCCATAGTTTCAGTATTGGACAAGAGCAACAAGCAACTGGATATGGAGGAGAGCGTCTGTGAGAAAATGCGATCAAAGTATGAAGGAGAGTGGACTCAGCAACCGAGCTCACGGCTTACATCTACTCTTCGAAGTGATATACGAAACTATCGCGAAGCTCTCGAGGAGGCAGCTCGTAGCGATAATCAGCTTTACTCGAAGATATGTCAGCATGAAGTTGACTTTGATGAAATGCGCTCTGCTGGTGAACTCGGCGAGTCTGATGTGCTCTTCCAAAGAGCTCTAATCCAAGTCGGTGGCAAGTCGAGAAATACCGCCGGAAGTCCCGGCACACGAGAAGGAAATTTACTCGATGATGATTTCGACGATGGAAAAAAGAGTGTCGCAGACCAGATTGCCAAGGTTGAGGATATCATCAGGAAATTAAACCTAGTCAAGCGGGAGAGGTCGCAGGTATTAAAAGATCTGAAAGAGAAGGTATGTGAAAGAACTTATATTCAAATTTGTTTTCGGCTAATCATGGGGCAGGCACATAATGATGATATATCTCATGTCCTCATTCTTAATAAAAAATCTATCTCGAATTTTGAGGCCCAGCTTTTCCAGGCAGAGCTTGAGAAGTACCGACCTCACCAAAGTCGTTTATTAGCTGCCAATCACAAACAGTCATCACTGATGAAGGAACTTACACTCACCTTCAATGATCTTCTGCAAGACAAGAGAGTCCGATCGGAGCAAAGCAAATATGAGACCATAATCCGACAACGCTCGTCTGTAATGTCAAAGTATAAGAGAGTCCATCAAGAATATCTAGATGTACAAGCAGGTCTCGAAGGCGCAAAACAATGGTATATCGAGATGAAGGATACTGTGAATAGCCTCGATAAAAATGTTGAGTCGTTCGTCAACAATCGTAGGTCAGAAGGTGCTCAACTTTTGAACCAAATTGAGCAAGATCGAGCCAGCAATGCAAATGGCCATGCAGATAGGGAGCGCGACCGTCTCAGAGGATTGATGGAACGCATGTCTATGGACCCTTCAACCTCGCCAACATCTGGCAAACCTGTTCGTAGGGGATCAAATGCATACAGTAATACATCTCCATCCACAAGATATCCAAGCACAAACTTTGCTGGGCAGTATCAGGTACCAACATCGCCGCCGCCACAAACGACCACAGCACCTTCAGCACGAGGCTCCATACCAGCTCCTGCCAATGGAGGATATTACCCCCAACAACAACAACAACCACAAAGAGCTGATCCATACAGTTCAATTCCCGGAAGATCTTCACCATATGGTCAATACAACCCAAGCATGCACTCGCGCAACCCCTCACAGCCAATTTCCCCTCCACCAAATCAGAGCCAATTTCCACGTTCACCTCCGCCGCAACAAACTCAATTCTCACAAAATCAACAGTCCTACGCTACAATGGCGCCGCAACAGCAGGGTCAGTATGTTCCAGCTGGTTATGTGCCTCCACCTCCGCCGCCTGGACCGCCACCCCTTGGTCCTCAACAAACATTTCATCAACCCGGTGGCTCAATGACAGGTCAAAATGAGTATGGATATGGGAATAATGCTTCTCATCAACGTGGCCCTTCACAGCAAAGTACGAACGATCCTTGGGCTGGGCTTAATGCATGGAAGTGAAGAGTGTAGAATTTAATGGGGTATTTTCAGACACGGGAAGGAACGGAAAATTCGGGGAGATATCAGCTTCGGCTATGGGAGAAATAAGGCGCCGAGGACGAAGGAATTAGTGATTTGAGAGAGTGATACCAATTCATAGCGGCAATGACTTGAAGAAGGGCAGTAAATGTATTTATATCCCCTGAATCGCAGAACTATCTGGTCTATCTAATAGTCTACACGCCTGTGGTTAATGTGGCCTCCTTAAGACTACAAAGTATTTCTTTAGATGCCGAGATGACGAAAGTATTTATATGACGCTAGGAAACGACAAATTTGACAATTAAAAAGATGTAATGATCTCCCCTTAATAGAACAAATGAAATATGGAAATACCTTTTGCAATATGTTTGACTGACTTTTGAATTGGACTGGTACCCGAGTATGTATTTATGATGGGGAACAACAACCTACCGGGATTACGTTTTGCCGAAGTTTCGGGGCACCGATATTTCCGATGAGCTTAGAAAGCATCATGACGAGCAGATAAGTGAGTGGTAGGGAAGCTCGTAGAATAATTGTCACCGTCACCTTCTACATTAGCTGTTTGTTATTCTTTTCTGGCACACATCTTTAGACATATTCTTGTCTCCCGTATTCTATTTCTTAATTATCCAATTTCCCCTCATAATCCAGAGATATGCTTTACGGCCAAAATTTACCGTGGCGGATTGCGCTTCGAAATGTTGCCATCAAGCAAAATTCAGAAGTTTCTAGTACAGTTCTGAGGAGGACAATAAGATATCATCATGTCGGAATCGCACAATCGACGGCCTCGTTACTGTTACGTCCTCTTTCGATTCATTCATCTCTTGGTGGCGTGGCGAGATTTTCAACTTCTGCTTCTCGATGGAAAGATGTTCCGAAGGATTTGTTTGATCAAGTGGAAATAACGGGGGCGGAAGATAAGAAGGAGAAGGAGAAGGAGAAAGAGAAAAAGCCAAAGACAAAGACTGAATCGGTTGAGGAGGTCGCCGCCGAGAATGAAGTAGAAAACAAGAGCAAGACGGTAGAAGCATCATCATCTGGTAGCAACACTTCTGCGGTTACAATTGATGCAAAAGGAAGCAGTGCTGCAGGCGGAGGCGATTCTGGTAGTGGCGATGGCGGAAAGAAGGGTCGCAAAGGAGCTTCCGAAAAGGCATTGCAGAAGGCAATGGTTCCAGAGGTATATCCACAGGTCATGGCAATCCCAATTACTAAACGACCTCTGTTTCCTGGATTCTACAAAGCTGTCACCGTTCGAGATCCAAATGTTGTAGCCGCTATACAGGATATGATGAAGAGGGGTCAGCCATACATTGGAGCTTTCCTTTTCAAGGACGACAATATGGATAAAGATGTTATTGAGAACATAGATGATGTACATGATGTTGGAGTTTTCGCACAAATTACTAGTGCTTTCCCTGTTCATGGGGATGATTCGGCTTTGACTGCGGTGTTGTATCCACATCGTCGAATTAGGATGTCTGCTCTGATCAGCCCGGAGCGTGAGGGCGTTGATGTCAAAAAGACTGAAAGCACCGAAGCTGAACCACCGGTCCCTGAAATCATACTCGCGAAGTCTACCAAGGAGGAAACATCTGACAAGAAGGGTGATGTCGTAGCCAGTTTTGAAGAAGGCTCGGATGCGCAGAAGAATGCGGACCGACCTGCATTGCCCTACGAGCCAATATCGTTCTTGAAAAAGTATTCCGTCAGTTTGGCAAACGTGGACAATCTGATTGAAGAGTCATATGATCCTAAGAGCCCCATAATCCGTGCTGTCACAAATGAAATTGTAAATGTCTTTAAGGAAGTGGCAACCCTCAACAGCCTCTTCCGAGATCAAATTTCTACATTTTCCATGAGTCAATCATCGGGCAATGTAATGTCAGAGCCCGGGAAACTTGCGGATTTTGCTGCTGCGGTCTCTGCCGGTGAAGTTTCCGAGCTTCAAGATGTACTTGAGACTCTCAATATCGAAGAGAGATTACAAAAGGGTTTGACCGTCTTGAAGAAGGAGTTAATGAATGCTCAGCTGCAATCCAAAATTTCAAAGGATGTTGAGAACAAGATACAGAAGCGTCAACGCGAATACTACTTGATGGAACAATTGAAGGGAATCCGAAGGGAACTTGGCATTGAATCTGATGGCAAGGACAAGCTAGTTGAGAAATTTAAGGAGAAGGCTGCGAAGCTTGCGATGCCGGAGGCAGTCACGAAAGTCTTCGAGGAGGAAATTAACAAGCTAGCACACCTCGAACCAGCTGCGTCCGAGTTCAATGTCACGAGAAATTATTTGGATTGGTTGACACAAATTCCTTGGGGTCAGCGTAGTGCAGAAAACTTCGGAATCAACAATGCCATGACTGTGCTTGACGAAGATCACCATGGTTTGAAGGATGTGAAAGATCGTATCTTAGAATTCATCGCGGTCGGAAAACTAAGAGGCACTGTGGAAGGCAAAATATTATGTTTTGTTGGTCCTCCTGGTGTTGGTAAGACAAGTATTGGTAAGAGTATTGCCAGAGCTCTCAACCGCCAATACTACAGATTCAGTGTTGGAGGTCTTACAGATGTTGCCGAAATTAAGGGGCACAGGAGGACATATGTTGGAGCACTTCCTGGACGAATTGTACAGGCGCTGAAGAAATGCCAAACGGAAAATCCATTGATATTGATTGATGAGATTGATAAGATTGGAAGAGGCCATCAAGGTGATCCAGCATCTGCACTCTTGGAATTACTGGATCCGGAACAAAACACATCTTTCCTCGACCACTATCTTGATGTCCCTGTTGATCTCTCTAAAGTTCTGTTCGTCTGCACTGCCAATATGACCGATACCATTCCTCGACCTTTACTCGACCGCATGGAAATGATTGAGTTGTCTGGATATGTTGCGGATGAAAAGATGGCCATCGCGGAGCGCTATCTTGGACCCGCGGCCAAGGAATTGGCCGGATTGAAGGAGGTTGACGTCAACCTTAGCAAAGAAGCCATTGAGGAGCTCATCAAGTCTTACTGCCGAGAGTCTGGTGTTAGAAACCTCAAGAAGCAAATTGAAAAGGTTTACCGCAAATCTGCTTTGAAGATTGTTCAGGATCTTGGAGAGAGTGTTCTCCCTGAAGAGGAGGCTTTGACCGAAGAAAGCAAGGCAGCTTTGGAGGAATCCAAGAAAGACCAAACGGACATCAAGGAAACATCTGAAGCTATTGAAAAGGAAACTACCGCAGTACCTAGAGTTGCGGTCAAGGTTCCTGATGATGTGCATGTCACAATTGGTAAGCACAATCTTAAAGATTACGTAGGTCCGCCTGTTTTCACCTCAGATCGTCTATATGATGTCACTCCTCCTGGAGTCGCAATGGGTTTAGCCTGGACACAAATGGGCGGTGCTGCATTATATGTTGAATCAATCCTCGAAAGTGCTCTAAAATCATCATCCACTCCCGGTCTCGCCACAACCGGTAATCTCCAAGCCGTAATGAAAGAATCAACCACCATCGCCTACTCCTTCGCCAAATCCGTCATGGCGAAGAATTTCCCCGAGAATCAATTCTTCGATAAAGCAAAGTTACATCTTCACTGTCCCGAAGGCGCGGTTCCGAAAGATGGACCATCGGCGGGTATTACTATGGCTACTTCCTTACTTTCTCTCGCGTTGGATCGTCCATTGGATCCAACGATCGCTATGACAGGTGAACTCACCGTTACTGGAAAGGTCCTGAGGATTGGCGGATTGAGAGAAAAGACTGTGGCAGCCAGACGGGCGGGGAGCAAAATGATCATTTTCCCGGATGATAATATGAGTGATTGGTTGGAACTTCCTCCAGTGAGTTTCTATACATTTTATATTCGATTGCCATGTAGTAGAGAGAGAGAGAGAGAGAGAGATGCTAACCCAAAAAAATAGAACATCAAAAATGGAATCGAAGGGAAACCCGCAAAATGGTATTCAGATGTCTTTGACCTCGTTTTCCCAAACCTAGACAAAGAGGCGGCAAATGGGTTGTGGAAGGATCAATTGGCGAAGAAGGATAAATCGGGGAAAAAGAAGAAGGGAGGAGTTGAGGACGATGAGTGAGTGAGTGAGTGAGTGAGTGAATGCACAATTGTGGATGGAAATGGAAATGGCAGCGATGAGCGATGTACATATCAGAAGAAAAACGGTGAATTTGGTTACATTCATTGGTGCAGGTGCAGCGCAGCGCAGCGGTTCATGTTTTTTTTTGTAAAACTTGGCATGACGATTGATGAGCGGAGCGGAGCCACTCCGAACGGGCAAGCATTTTTAGGCGTTGGAAGGGGGGGTTTATTTTGATTGTTAAAAGTAACATAATTGATGATGGTTCTCTACTCTATGATACGATACGCTAAGCTACGCTACGTGTGGTGTTTGGTATGGGGTCAAGGGGGAATGGGTGAAGGGGGTATGTGTATGGGTATATGGGCGAATGGGTGAATGGGTGAATGGGGTATAGAGAGAGTTAGGGGTGATGTGTATGGGTATATGGGCGAATGGGTGAATGGGTGAGTTGGAAAAGGGGGTATGGGTATGGAGGTAGGTAGGTATGATGTGTGATGTCCTCTCAATAGAAATAGCGGAACTTGGTTGGATATAGGAGGGATTGAGGGAGGGAGAGAGGAAGGGAGGGAGGATAGGGTGTGTTGTGAGTATTTGGTGTGAATGGAATGGAATGGAGATGGATTGAAATGAAAATATATAAAATATACTCGAGTATAAAAGCGAATAAACAGAAGACGTAATGTAAATGAAATGAAACATGTAAAGAAAAGGAATGAAAAATATATAAAAGAGAATAAACAGAAACGTAATGTAATGTAATGAAATGACATGTAATGAAAGAGAAATGAAATGAACGAAATTTGGAGCATGCATGGATTTGAATATATATATATATATATATATATCTATTTGAGGAATTGGATATTTGAGTATTTGAGTCTAAGTATTTAAGCATCTCTTTTGTTTAGGACGGGAGAGGGGAGATGGGAAAGGTAAAAGGAGGAGAAAGAAGAGAAAAGGATAGTTCTATTGTATGATTTTGTGTATAATACATACCGGTATTGTGCTGGGATGGGAATGGAATTGAGATGAGAAATGGAATTGGGAAATGGATATGAGAAATGGAAATGGAGATATAGAGATGGAGATGGAGATGGAAAATATGTGTACTATGTAGGTAGGTATGTTTATGTGGTTTTATGTAGAGAAGTAGAGAAGTAGTGTCGGATTTTTTTTTATGGTGGTTGGAGTGGAGAGAGAGGATGGGGATGGAGAGGATAGGAGAGGGGAGGAGAGGGGAGGATGGAGAGGAGAGGGTGGAGATGGAGAGGAAAGAATGAGTATGTCAATGTAGTTTGTAGTTTGTAGTTTTTCGGTGAATGAATTGACTTAATTTGAATTTACTTGAATTGAATCGAATGTGTTGTGTTGTGCTGGGTTGGATGATTTAATGTGATGATATGATCTGCTATGATGGGATGGTCTTTTATGTATACTCGAGTATATGGATATCAGTTGGATACTTTGGAAAGGATTTAGATACTCGTTTGTTATTATAAAATCGATAGATAGATAGATAGATGTATATTTACATTGTATAATACCAGATCATATACTCGAGTATAAACTTGGAAATATATATAATAACCTCTCTTCCTTTGAGTATAACGAGATTCCAATGATATGGTATCCTGTTCTTTCCTCTGATATTCGAAGTTCGTTTTCGATACGGATTTGAAAGAACGTCCTTGGAAATCTGTAAGATACCCTCCCTTCCTCAAGCTTATTATATACGTATCTGATTACTCCTTTCCTCATCCCATTTCATCTCATTATTGCCTTGATGAGAATAGAAAGCAAGACTCGTACTCGAGTAGTCTCTCGCGGACTTCGTTCTTCCCTTGTTCTCGGAAGACACTAGGGAAACTCCCGGTGATGTGATGGTGATCACTACTGTACCGTACACTAAAAGTTGTTGGTAGACATTGCGTTGTACTGGTGAGTGGGGCTTAGCTAATAGTACCCGTTACGGACACACAGCTCGAATACGGGAGTGCGGGGACTAACAGGTTAACGTTATTCTAACGGCGAGCGAGGCGGGGCGATGATAATATTGAATGCTTTGGTTTGGAAGAACTTATTGGAGAATTGATGGGTTGGTTTGGTTCGTTCGGGGTCGTGCTGTAGGTATAAGTTTGTATCCGATGTAGTACAATACCGGTGGTAGTATTGGTGAGGCGAATTGAGTAGAGAGTTTACCTGTTTTATTAAAAGATTCTATCCGACTTCAATTAGCATACTTATTAGGGTTCCCGCCTCACTAAAAGATAGGGTTATCAACTTTGTTGGTAGAAAAGAAGGCTAGAAGTGCTAGAAGCACATGATTGTATACGTGGGCCATTTATATCAAGAAGCCTCATATATACCCAAAGAGTGGCTTGTTCGTTCATTCATGCCCAACGAGATGGCGATGAGATTGATGGTGATCTGATTGATGGTCATGTACCGATGTATCGATGTACTGACTGCTGTATTTGTGTATATTGTAGTTTAGTTTAGGGCAAGGGGGAAATGCGAGTATTGTACCACCGGTACTAGAACCGTAGATTCAATATTTTATATGATATTGATCGATGGACACAGTACTGTTGTTGGTGCTATGGTACACAGTTTTGAATGTTCCGTGGTCATGAATGAAGTCAATTGGTTTCGTGTTGAGGATAGATTCGTTGGGAGTGAAAGGATTGAAATATCTGATGATATATGATCTTGTCACTATTTTACCCTTTAGCCTTTTAAGATGGAGGCGTTCAAGATGAGAAGATAAATGTCTCATTCTTCAAAGTGAGGCAATTCAGAAGAAAAGAAAAGGCAACCAGTAGGGAAGCGGTACAAGCGGAGAAGTAACATCCCACCACCAATCACCCCTCTATCTACCCTGATGTTCCTGAAATTCCGGCTGTCTTGTCATCCCATCCATCCCTCAATTTATTATTATGCCACCTCATATTCTTGGGGAAAATGTACTCAACTCAACTCATCAATTCAACTCATCAACTCATCAACTCATCAACTCATCAACTCACTCACTGCAGATGCATGTGCTGTGCATGTGCATGTGCATGTTGTACAGTATCATACAAACCGCAGCACAGCAAATGATGATACAATCCTCTATTTTATCTTCTCGTTTTCCACGTTTCTTTAATTGGAGAGAGGGTACAGCCTTCTTTTTTATATTGTATTGCATCTTTTCATCCCTTTTTCTATTCTTAAACCTATTTACCTATCGATCTGTGCAATTGTTTTTGATATGTTGTACGAACAAGGCAGGGGAATTCAACAGGTCGACCTTATTCACGACCTCTCCTCGAGGAAGTATCAAATCAATAAACATCGACGTCAATATCTTTGAATGAGATCATTAAAACTTCGTCCCTCATTCTTCATTTGAATGCTTTTGAGTGCAATGATACCCTTTTCTTCTCAATATATTCAATGAACATCCTGTGTCTCTCTTCTTCATTTTACCGGATAACTGCTTGCTACACAAACTATTTTACCCGTACAGTCATCTCAGCCAGCCTACCGAATCATTGATGTGATATTCTTGAGAGGAAAGGTTTATATTGTCATTTTTCCGAGTTATTTTATCTTTGCAGATGTAGGAATAGATTTCCTTGCGCAGTAATTCGATCAATGATAGTGGACTAACAAATAATTCAGTTCATGGGAAACTACTGGCATAAATTTACCTCCAAGATAATGGCACAAATGGGGCCAGGCTCACCGGCATCGAACGAACAAAAGACATCTTGGTTTCGAAAATTCATTTTCCCGAAGAAAGATGAGAGTCATACACCGCCAAACTCTCAACCAAACGAGGCTCAACCGCCAGGGTTAGCTCGTCGACTTTCGAGAAGGGTTGTCCCTGGACTCCCGAGAGCAGGTACTTTCAAGAGACAACAATCGGAGTTGAGAGATAGACTAGAGCCGGTCAAACCAAATTCTGATGAACGACGGACAGCTTCAGTGGATCGTCGACTCAATACATCGCACCGCTCATCCTCAGCAGCTTTAAATCATGGTCCAAGAACCAGCGCTCCTGAATTCCTAGATAGGGCGGAGACTATCGATAAGACGTTCGATAATGTATCTGTGCGACTACCTACGGCCACTACAAACGAGCATGAGAACGAGTCTCAAGAATATGTGGATGTTACCAAGGAAGAAAAGCAAGGCTCACATATCGAAGAGCAATCAATATCTACAGATACCTTCGATGAAATAATACTCGAAGAGCTGGAGAAGAGATGGATTTTGAATTTAAGCATGCATTTTAGGGACAAATCTAAAAGGGAGAAATTCTTTGTCACTTATGCTGAAACACCGACACACTGGCGGAGGGTAACGATTTCCCTGGATTATAGAAATGCGCCAAGTAATTCCTTGGAGGAAGAGCTACAGCGGACTAGGTTTCAGAGAGACAAAAGTGCGCGCATATATGAGGCTATCAGGGAATCACTTCAGGACATACAATTTTACGATACTGTGACAAATCTCAAGTTGGAGACACAGGATGAACGCCTCCATGTTCATGTTGTGGAAGATCTCTCCGAGGTTATTCATTATCCTCCCGTGAAGGCTCTCAACCATCTCCCATGTCGCAGAGTCCTGGAAGCGGAACTCAAATTTGATTCTCATCTATCCGGATTCGTCTACAAAGTCACCGTGGCCGGACAGGTCTTCATCAAGAAGGAAATTCCAGGACCCGATCAAGTAGAGGAATTTCTATATGAGATTAATGCCCTTCATCAACTTTCTGGAGCCCATAGTGTTATTCAATTTGGTGGCGTTGTACTTGATAATGAAGCAAAATATGTGAAGGGCCTTTTGATTAGTTTCGCCGAACGGGGAGCTCTAATTGACGTTATTTACGATGGTGAAGGGGAAATCCCTTGGGCGCGACGAGAACGATGGGCTAAACAAATTGTTCATGGACTTTCCGAAATTCACGAAGCGGGCTTTGTTCAAGGAGATTTTACTTTATCAAATATTGTTATAGATGGGGACGATAATGCCAAGATTATCGATATCAATCGACGAGGTTGTCCAGTTGGATGGGAACCTCCGGAAGTCGCTGCATTGATCGAAAGCAATCAAAGGATTTCGATGTACATAGGCGTCAAATCCGATTTGTATCAGCTTGGGATGGTTCTCTACGCCTTGGCCACACAACATGACGAACCCGAAACTCAAAGGCCTTTGAAGTTATCGAATTTTCCGCCTGAAGTACCAGAATATTTCTTGGAAGTTTGTGGTCGTTGTCTAAGCGAAAATCCACGATATCGATCGCAGGCTGCAGCCCTGCTAAATATCTTCCCTGAGATTGATGAGTATCATGGTGTGTATGATGATCAATCGCCAACTCCCATTGTGATTGATGTTAGGCATGCCGATGAAGGGGAACTTTTGGTTACGGTTCATGATAATAACATGAGACGAGAGGGCCATTCCGAGGCACATGATGAAGACATTCTAGAAAGAGGTCGATCTCGCTCTAAACCTCATTCACCACCGTTTATGGCATCGAGGCCATCAGAAGCGATGATTACAGATTTGGGGACGCACGATTTCAGACCGTCACAGATTCCATTACCCACATCCACCTCCGGTTCTGACTTTTCGAAAGATCAAATCGATCAGCAGGAAAATTATCAAAATACTTCAACTATAGAAAACTCAACATTAGAAACTGGACAGCAAGATTCTGAAAGTCCGTCACACTCAGAAAAGGACACAGCAGTTATTCAATCTAATTCAACGACAGAACAAGCGCGAAACACAGTAGCGGCATCTAACATATCCATGACATATGCGGGGGATTTAGCACACATTGGAACCGGCGTTGATAGTGCACATATGGGACTTTTTCCATTTGGCGCGGTCAATCTTGACGATGATTTAACGATAGACAATGATGCAAGCAATGTTTTATATATGACGACGGAAGAAAAGATATCAGTTGTTGCATAGCATGAGCATGAGCACATAGCAGAACATCACATGGAGTGAGTGGCGAACATGCTTCTTTGGATGAGAGAACATTTTCACACAGCTGTCAATTGAATTTTTTGGTATACGGATTGCATATGTACGTGGATTTTGTGTTTTTGAGTACTGTAGTTTGAGGGCGGTTAGGTTGTTCTCTTTGCAGGCTGGTCTGGTGCGCACCTTTGGAAATGTACGATTACGATTACGATAGCAGGAATTATGAATTGAACTGAGCTGAGTTGAGTTGAGTTGAGTTGAAGTTGAGTTGAAGTTGAACTATATTAACAATCGAGCCCGTCAATACAAGTATTGTCCCCCAACTTTGTTGGACACACGAATTGATTCCCCTCGGGTCCGTAATCGGATGGATCATGGATGGATGAATGGGGGTGGGTTTGATAAGGATTAATGATTGCTTATCTACTCGCCATTACTCGATGGAAATTACCTATCTTCTATCTTCTATCTTCTATCTTTTAGTATCAATTCTTTTGGTGGACAACTGGAAACCACCAAATTTCAATTTCCCATACCTTAGCCTTATCGCCACGCCACCGCACGGCACAGCGGCTGGCGCACTCCATTTTTTTTTGTTCTTTTTCTCTAATTGTTATCAGTCTTCCGGATCTCGCTGGGTTTAGGGTTTGTGAGTGAGGATGGTTTGTTAGTGGTTTGGTAGGTAGCTTGATAGGGTAGCTTGGTAGCTAGGTTAGCTTGAAGTGGTGCAGGCAAATCGGAACCACACGTCTGGATTTCTTTTCATATTTTCATATATAGGAGTACTAGGTAGGTAGATAGGTTTCTCTGATTTCTTTACGAGTACTTGCTTCATGAATATCTTTGTCGGAGTGAGTGAGTGAGTGAGTTGTGGATATATATACAAGTATATTATTATAATATACTAAGTATATTTGGACTTGTTCTTCTTTTGTAGTGGGGTTCTGACTTGTCGTTTTAGGTGGTGGTATTCTGAATTCAATTGAATGAATGGATTGAGCAGCTCAATTGTGGATTTGCTTTGGGGTTCTTGACTTTGGGATCTTGACTTTGTGTTGATGGGCAACGGTTTACTACATCATCATCACGAAAGAAAACTATTTATCACATTTGATCATCATCTCACCTCGAGTTTTGTATTATCGACCAATTGTTTCATATCCAGTCATATACGAGTACTCGCATCAGTATAATGTCGGTAACTATCGACAGTGGACCACATGATGGTCCTGATAGGATTGTTCCCGAAAGCTCTCCTAAACGACCATTTGGAGAGCGTACACACTCCCTTGTGAGGGCTTTCACTACAAAAGATGGATTGATTGGAAACTATGACTATGGTATATTCAAATCATGACTAGATTTTCTCAGCTCCAAAGCTAAAACAATATAGCATTTCTCTTCAAACCCAATCTCCCCTTCATGAAGAAGTCAAAAAGACGAGCACCTTTCTTCGGCCTTCAAGATCGCATGCCAGTCGTACTAGGTCTCCTCCTTGGATTTCAACATTCTCTCGCTATGTTAGCGGGTATCATTACACCCCCCATTCTCATAGCCGGATCGGCATACTTCGATACGGAAACAACTCAATATCTCGTGTCTACCTCTCTCATCGTATCGGGTATCTTATCCGCAGTCCAGATCACCCGTTTCAAGATTATGAAAACACCTTATTATATCGGGACGGGTTTGATTTCGGTGGTGGGTACCTCGTTTGCTATTATCCCGCTCGCCTCAAAGGGCTTTTCGCAAATGTACGCAAATGGCATGTGCAAAACCGCGGATGATGGAACGCCATTGCCGTGTCCGGAGGCCTATGGAGCGCTGCTTGGAACGGCTTCACTATGTGCACTTCTTGAAATAGGTCTCTCGTTCATGACGCCTAGACTTCTGAAGAAACTCTTTCCACCGATTGTTACGGGTCCAACGGTTATGCTAATCGGGGTATCACTTATTGAAACGGGACTGGAAGGTTGGGCAGGCGGAAGTGGAACTTGTATGTCAAGACCAAGTACAGGAGATTTCATGCTCTGTCCCTCTAACGTTTCACCTCATGCACTCCCATGGGGATCCGCTGAGTTTATCGGTCTTGGCTTTTCCGTCTTCATCACTATCATCATTTGCGAACGCTTCGGATCCCCCATTATGAAATCGCTCGCTGTCGTCCTCGGTCTCTTGGTTGGTTGTATCATCGCCGCCGCATGCGGCTATTTCGACAGTAGTGGAATTACCGCTGCACCTGTCGCATCTTTTATCTGGGTAAAAACATTTCCCCTAACAATCTACGGCCCCTTCATATTACCCCTCCTCGCCATCTACCTCATCCTAATGATGGAAGCCATCGGCGACATAACCGCCACTTGCGACGTCTCTCGTCTCCAAGTCGACGGCACCCTCTTCGATTCCCGCATCCAAGGCGGTGTCTTAGCCGACGGTCTCAACGGTATGCTAGCCGGTCTCTGCACCATCACCCCCATGTCCACCTTTGCACAAAACAACGGCGTCATCGCCCTCACGCGCTGCGCTAACCGCAAAGCCGGTTTCGCCGCCTGCTTTTTCCTCGTCGTCATGGGCATCTTTGCTAAATTCGCAGCGGCCATTACGTCAATCCCAGCACCGGTTCTCGGCGGTATGACCACGTTTCTCTTTGCTAGTGTGGCAGTCTCAGGTCTGCGCATTATTTCTACAGTGCCGTTTACGCGTCGTGCGCGATTTATTTTGACGGCGTCGCTGGCGTTGGGGTATGGAGCGACGCTGGTTCCGGATTGGTTCTCGTTTGTTTTTACGTATGAGGGGGGGGATAGCGCGAAGGAGGGGTTTTTTGATGCGATTGTTTTGGTGATGGAGACGGGGTTTTGCGGTGACGGCTTTTGTGGCGGTGGGGTTGAATTTGGGGTTGCCGGAGGAGGAGGGGGAGAGGGAGGGGGAGGATGAGGAAGTGGAGATGGAGGTTGAGGGTTTGGTGGGGGTGTTGGGGGGTAGGGAGGGTGAGGGGGGGGATGAGGGACAGGGAGAGGGAGAGAGAGGATAGGGAATTGGATATGAGGGGTTCTGGGGCAGGTCGGGTGGAACGTGCAAGTTTTGAGATGAGCAAGACGGTGAATGGAGATGCGGATGCGGATGTGGATGCAGAGGAGGGGGATGGGGATGGGGAGTTGAAGTCGAAGTGAAGTAAAATGGATGGCGGGCTTATTTGATGTAATTTCATGTACTAGCTAGGTATTTATTGTATAATAAAGGATATTTTAGGATATATATGGAAACTCATGAAGATATCTAGGGGTTAGGAAAAGGAGTTTTGCTTTTGAGTTTGCTTTTGATTTTGATTTTTTTATGTGTCTAGATTTCTAGAAGTCTAGATGTCTAGAAGTTGATTGGTATAGGGGATGGGATGGGATGGGATGAGATGAGATGAGATGGGTTGAGTTGAGATGGGATGAGAATATAGATCTTCTATTTGTATTTGTATTTGTATTTGTATTTGTATTTGTATTTGTATTTGTATTTGTATTTGTATTTGTATTTATAATTATAGTTCTAGTACCTACCTATCTACTCGATCATATGTCTGGCTAGAGTTATAGTTATAGTTATAGTTATAGTTATAGTTATTATAGCTATAGTAATCTATCCTATGGTGGTCATTATCTTAAGCTTGGTATAGAGGTTATATGGTATGGGATAATACTGTGTTGACTGGATCTAGGATTGTGCTGGTGTCGATGTGTGGATGTGTGGAGGGGAACAGAGGAATGGACGGAGGGAAGAATAGAGGAAGGAATGGATGTGTGTATGGAGGGAGGAAGGAATGAAGGAGCAGAGAGAGGGAGAAGGGAGGTATGGGATAGGAGTGTGGGAGTGTGGGAGTGAGTATGAATATGATATATGAATATGGCTATGACCGGAAATGGGGGGGTATGGAGAGTTGAAAGAAGCAAAGGGAGAGACAAAGGTAATTTGGGAGGCTGTGATAGGTGAGGCGTGAAGTGTGGAGTGTATGAAGTGTATGAATTTGAAAAAAAGTTTGGAACTTGGAACTTGGAACTTGGGACTTGGGACTTGGGACTCGGAATTTGGAATTTGGAATTTGGAATTCGAAGGATGGTCTAGAGTACTCGAGTAGTGTTGGAATTTTGGGGAAAGAAAAAGCAAATGGTGGATTTAATATAATATATTAATATATAATAAAGATAAGATAAGTATTAGAACTGCCTCAAGAGTACAGGTATATAGTCTAATTTCTGGAGAGTTGTAACTTGTGTGGGGTGGGGGGAGAGGGTGAGGAGGACTTAAGGTTAATGTGTATGATGAATCATTATGTGTGATATAGATAGACTGGTATACATCTATACTCATATATCTATAAATTTATCTAGGTATTTACCACTAAGAATAATCAGAATATATACACCCAAAATCTTAACAGAAAGATCGTAGAAGGTTGAAAAGTACCTATAGTTTTCCCGGTGAGATACTGAAAAGTTCTCTAATAGTCCAATTTAAATTTTGAATTCATGTTTGAGATACTGAGAAAGCTCAAGTCAACCGGATGAGGATTAAGATGAGGATTAATTGCATCACATTATGTTACTCCTCGTGCTACTGCTACTGCTACTGCTACTGCTACTGCTACTACCACTGCCACTGCCAATGAATTTTGATATAAGTTCTGACTTCTGGCTGTGGTATATAGTATAGAGTATACAGTATACAGTATACAGTATCAGTGCAAATGTAAATGAGATGAGTTGGTGCTCTCTCTCGGTGGTGATAAATGATGGTTCAGATGATTCGGGAGAGGAATTGATGAAGAATAAATGGGGATTGTGCTTGTGGTGATGGGTTTACTTTAGAATTACTCGAGTAGAAAAGATTTATTGTGATATATGATATATATCGATCGGTATATGGCACATTTTCTTTTAGATGGGATTGGGGTTGGGATTGGGAAGATAATACTGCTGTGGTGGTATAGTATAGTATTATAATGGTGATGTGAGATGTGTAGATAGAATTTGAGAGAGGGGGATAGGGATAGGGAAATAGATAGCAATTGTACTAGTAAAATTGTAAATATTGTGAGATACAGTTTAGGATCTACCGCTGGTAGGAAAGAATATGGAATAGATTGAGCTCATGTAAACAGTAAGCCCGGTTGAGAGATACTACTCATTGGACGGGATGAAAGTGTCTGATATGTTACTGGCGAATGGTACTTGTAAAGTGATAATTGTGTTTTGAATTTTGGTAGAAGTAAAGTAAATGGATTGGTGGATTGGTGGATTAAGGGAAAGCTTCACCGAAATGCAAGATCATATGTAAAGTTTGTCAAGGAAAAGAAAAAGACGCACAAATCATAATCGGGAGAAATGTCTGGAATGTTAACATTGTCATGGACTGCAATATACCGGACTAGAATCAGCTATCAACACAACACTAACTCTATGTCATCCTGTCAAGAAGTTTCGCTCATTCACCCACACAGGATCACCATTATCGCCCCTCACTACTGGACAAACAGTTCAACCGCCCTACTACCCTTCTTTTGCTCCCACAACTCCCAAAATTTGGTCGCAATATGCTTTGGGTTATTAACCTCCTCTTGTTCACTAACTGGACCCCCAATCGTGACAAGTGCAACATGCACTTCATCCTTCGTCTGCTCAATCAACAACTTGACCAAATTGGCCTGAGCAGCCTTCGCCATACTCAAAGAGAATACCGGCGCAAAAGGTTGATAAATAATCGGTGACGACGTAACAAAAAGCGAAGGATGAGACTCTGGTTTTTCCTTGGCCAATGCTTGTAAGCCAGGAAGCAGCACCTTGGCCGTAGTATAAAGACCCAAATTTGGAATCTTGAAATCCTCTACAATATCCTCCTCTTTATATTCGCCGAAATTTCCGTAGCTGACTCGAGCGGCGTTGTAGATGACTACTTCTGGGGACCCGACTTCTGTCACGGCTTTTTGCAGTGCGGATGTTAGACCGGCGGTGTCGATGACATCGGCTGTGTAGGTATGGATGGAAGCTGATGGGGCTGCAGCGCTAATGAATTCGCGGGATGAGGATAGAGTTGATGGGGAGCGCGCGAAGAGCGCAATATGTGTGAAGGTATGGGTCGCGAAAAGACGGGGGATGTGAGATCCGATCATGGGACCGGTGCCAATGATGAAAAGAGGACCTGGGGCAGACATGATGGAGTTTGGTGAATTTAAGGGATGTAATGGATGTTTGGGATGGAGGAATGAAGAGTTTTGGCTTCAAAATGGTATAAAATATAAAAAATATGTGTACTGTGCCGTAAGCTTATGTAAAATTTTCACCTGCGAGGAGGTCTATTACCATATATTTTATGATCGAGACCCGTTACGAGAGGGAAGTGGATATCCTAGGCTATGCTCGAGTACTTTGGTAAGGATTCATTCCATGGTCACTTGTAGCCAAGCCTAAATGCTGCACTTCCACTGCCCCGTATTTTAGGATTGTGGTGTCATTGGAGTGATGGACCAACTCTTCCTTGTCCTGGACAAACAAGGTATACTCCGCGGAGTAGCGGAGTCGCGGAGTCTGAAGTCTTTTACTGCTTTTGATGCAAAGTTAAGAAGTGGGTGGAGTGGAGTTGTCTACCTGGTAATAACAATGTCAGTGATAGTATTTTGACTTGCTCAGCCGCTAGCGTATGTTTATCTGGTTGGAAATACATGTAATCAGTCATTCTTGATGATGATTATAAATTATGCACTCTGGGCACCCCAAAACAAGACAGACAATGATGTACTCAGAGAGAGTATGCAAAACATGTTATTGGTGCTTTTAACATTGGCATGTTGATAATTGCCAAGACTAGCACGAGCAACATCATTTCCGCCATCAAGCTGCTCCAGCATCGTTACTAATTGGCTTGAGATGGTCCATATGTTGAAGCCCAAGGATCATATGACTTTGATGCCATCAACTCTTGCATATGTCGTCTACGGATACCTACATTGCCACCATCAAAAATGGGTAACACGATAGCTGTGTTCAAGAGGTCTCCAAAGGGCTGCTCAGTACTGTAGGCAGTACTGCGATGGGTGGTCAGTGACAGTCATATTTTTGAGAATAATATCATGGCAGGAAACTCACATTCCAACAGCATTGATGGCGTCCGTAACTGCCTTGACACTCTCTTCCGAACAATAAATCTTCGCCGCCAATGCCAATTCACGTCTGGCATTATAGTCCCCTGGACCATTCTCAAGGGTATGCGCTGCCTTCCAAGTCAAAGCTCTGGAAGCTTCTGCTTTCATCTTAATGCCGCTTAGGAGGTCCGCTACTGCTTGTCTCGATAATAAATCTTCAGCTCCTCTGCGATTGTCGCTTTTGGCAAAAGTTAAAGCTGCCTCAAAAGCGGCTCGCATAACGCTGACACTCATGGCACCAACCAGGACAGCAGAACAATCGAATGATCCTAATACCAAGTGAGCACCCTCACCTGGCGGACATAGGACGTTCTTGGTAGGAACCCTCAAGTTAGTATATTTGATGTGTGGACCAGAGCAAGCAGGATGTCCCGCAGTTGGGACATGTTTGAGTGTTTTGAATGCGCCTTTTCCATTTCGTTCAATATCGGCTCTGGTTACGAGAAGTATCATGATGGCATCGGCAGGTTCATCGGAGGTAACACTTGTGTCGCGGCAGACTACACATTGAAGGTCTGCACCTTCGAAGTCCCAACCTGCACAATTGGTAGCCCACATCTATTTCTCGATTTAGCTTCACTTTTCAGATATGAGGTCAGCTTTTCTTCGGTTTCCTCGTACCTTTTCTCCGTTAAGTACCCATTCATCACCTTCAAGCGTGGCCGTTGTGTTGAGACCTGGAGCACCCTTCTCCAAGAAGTTGGCAACTCCTCCTGGTTCAGAGAATACTAAACTCGCTAATGGTGCACCTTTACCATTCAAAAATGGTTCCAAGAATTCTTTGTGCCCTTCCTTTCCAGCCAAATTAAATGGCGTCAAACCTAACCCAGTGGCAAAGATTGTCAAAGATGCGGAAGGATCAACGGCATACATCTCCTCAACTAATATAGTTGCTTCAACCAAGCTTCCACCTGCTCCACCAAGACGGGGTGTTATGAGGCCCTTGATCATGCCACCAGCAGTCGCATCACCATAGAAAGGCTTCAATGCTTGAAATTGCTGTTCATCTTTCTTTGCGGAGTAGACTTTCTTTATATCCTTAAGAGGGCCAGCAGCGAATGCAGCCGCACGTTTTCGGATGCCATCTTCAGATGCAGAGAGTTGAAAGTTAATAGGCATATTGTAGGATTTCCAAGTATATCACAGTTGGATGGTAAAAGTTCTTGGTTAGAAATATCTTGGATTGATAGAGAAGTATCTGAACTCTTTGTTGTTTGTTTGCTGATTTTGGAGAAACGTGGGATTCGAAGGTTTTTAAAGCTCAAGAAATCTTCCGAACTTCATGAGGGGTAGTGTTCTAAATAGGATTAGCGCTGATTTAATATTGTCAAATCGGAGTGAATCGGTTATATGCATGTAGCCAAGTTCGTTGGAAGGATATTGGCGACAGGGTATGTCAGAAAGCGCTGACAGGCCATTACTACCATGCCTCTTGGCCGTCGATTCTCCAGGCATCTCAGTTTGTCAAGCATGCCCACCGCAATCACACTTGAACCAGCAATATTTGATCCCTACAATATAACGCTATACCCATGATGTGAAGTGTCATATTACTGGCTCGTTTTATCTTCAGGAATTTCGGGAGTATGACCTTAAGGCTTAAGTATCTTATACATCTGTTCCGGGCCATAGCTCAATATCCCCATTGTGAAATGCCCTACGTACATTTCGAAATGAGCTAGGTTTCGGAGTGAGCTAGCTTATTTCGGAATGAACTAGCTTATACAATTCATGAGGGCATTCCGAAATGAGCTAGGGCATTCTGAAATCAATTTAGTATATAGAAAATGATTTATATAATAAACTAAGGATATTGTATAATATCACTTTACCAATATTTGCTTTTACAAATAAGCGAAAAATCATTATCAACTTCATCATCTGTCCCCATTCTCAATTATATTATCATTTTCATTATTATTAGCTATTCCAATACCTTTTTCCTTTACTAAGAATATCTTTTCGATATACAAAGTGAAGAAAGTGAAAATATGAAAGGAATTCATATATACATGACGGGGTGGACCCTTAGGGCATTTGCGAATAAGCTTAGCTCATTTCGGAATGCCCTCATGAATCGTATGAGCTAAGTGCATTTCACAATGGGGATATTGAGCTATGGCCCGGAACACATCAATCCCAATATGTTTTCATCATCTAAATGGGCACAAGTCCGACTTTATTTAAGATTGTCGTGAAATCATCGGCAATGATATCGTTTCGAGAGCGATCGATGCTGATCCCCCCTTTACCACGTTTTTGGTGCCATTCCCGTTGCAGGCCCCAAAGTTTAGTATTGGGTCTGGCCTCTCACCTCATTCTTTTCTGCACAAAACTGTTGTCAAATATCTCCTCGGAAACACCGACTATTTGTTTTTCTTTAGACGCATCCATTCACAATGTCAGCCACGGACCCCAATCTACCGCATGATTCCAAGGTGGATCAGATATTGGGAGTATGTTCTGCAATGTTGGTGATTACCACGCTGGTCGTAGTGACCAGAATTTGTACTCGTTGGAAGCTTGCTAAGGGTGGACTTGGGGCGGATGACTGGTGTATACTTGTTGCTTGGGTTTTGGCTGTGGCTTATGATCTTGATCCGATCAATCGTAAGTTTTTCTCACATACGAGTGAACTGTTCCTTTTTGTTCTCTAAATCGTGTTGTCATTCTTGATGGCGAAGAATGGTGTCGATGTATGAATGAATGGCTGACCTGTATAACAGAAGTCAAGTTCGGATTGGGTCAACACATCTATGATTTACCTGAAGACACAAATTTCAGCGCATCTTTGGAGGTGAACTCAGAAAATCCAATTGCGAAACTCCCATTATGTTAACACCAAATAAAGCTCTACTACTTCGGCGAAATCCTCTACTTTATTTGCGTCGCCGTCACGAAGGTAGCCATCCTGATTCTGTACCTCCGGCTGGCCACCTCAAAAATACTCCGAAACATCATCTGGGGCTCAATGGCCTTTGTGATTCTCACATCTTTCTCCTTCGTTATTGCGACCGTATTTCAATGCACGCCGATTTCCAAGGCGTGGGAACAACCTGCCACGGATAACGGACATTGTATCCAAGTCAATGCTATGTTCTACGCTAATGCTGGTTTGGACATTTTTCAGGATTTGGTGATATATGTTCTACCGATGAGAATGTTGTACCAAATTCAGATACCAAAGAGGCAGAAATATGCGCTCATGGTTGTTTTTGCGGTGGGCGGGTTTGTGGTTGTGACGGGGATGATAAGACTTTATTATTTACAGGGCGCGCAAGCATCACAAGATCCTTCTTGTGAGTATCTGTCATCTCATATCGGTATTCTGATTAAAAGCCTTTCTTGTCTAACAATTTTCTAGACGACAATGTAGGCGGAGCCGTCTGGTCCAGCATCGAATGCAATATCGGCGTAGTCTGCGCCTCTCTCCCGCACCTCAAGCCTCTCTTCGATCGCTTCTTCCCTTCATTGATGGGTCGTTCCGTCGGCGCGTCCCTTCCCAACGCACCTTCTGGAGGAGAATTACGACATAGTGGTGGAAACTACGTTAAACAAAACAACAAGAACGAATACGAGTTGGAAAATGGAAAGAAGGCGAAGATGTGGAAAGATACATATGTAGGGAAATATCAAAGAGATTTAGTTAATGATATTGAAGGTGCAGATACGTTGTTTACGGGGAATGATAGTGAAGAGAGATTGAGGGGTGGTGGGGAATGAGGGTATTTATAAGAGTACGACGATTGTGGTTAGTTAGTAGGATTCCGATTCAAAGGTGATGGATGGATGGATGGATGGATGGATGAATGATATGAAAGAAAAGAGAAGAGCTTGTGATGAAGAAAGATCGGTTTAAAGCATGGTATGGTAGAGTAATATACAGGCGTTGGGTTAATGATGCTATGTATTACCGTACTTGCAATCGGAATGGGGTCAAAAAGCTTTTCGAGAAGAGAGTCTACGGGAGACCTCTGTTTTGACCTGTTGGAGTTTTGTAAAATATCTAAAAGCATGTGTTATATTATATTGTATATTTCGAGTAATATATTGTATAAAACGTTTCAAAATCTGGGTCTTCCTATTTATATTGACCTTCATTTGGCGACTTCTCCCCCATGTCTCCAGATCTAACCCCTGACGAGATTTCACCCGAGGTTACAGTACAGTTATATTATGGAAATAGGTAAGTAAGCAAAGCGTTTCGGACTTAGGACTTAGGTAGGAATTCTCAAATGAAGTTTTCTGTCATCGGACTTGTTGCTTCTTTCGTACTCGAGTACCGTATAGGAAAAGCTAATATGTGAATTGACGCATTGTGGGTTGAGACCCTGGAATACTAATAACCTCACCCCATACCATATCATTTTCGGGATTTCCGTGTTGGTGTTGAAATATGTGTTCCTATCGTCCGTTGTAGATCAGGACGGATGGAAATTATGACGATATAGAACCGGTGATCTCATTTCATGTATATGTAAATACCAAGCAGCAAGGAAGGAGCTGCATGAATCTCGCAGGACATCAAGGGAAAGACAATTTTGAAGCAGCTTCCGGACACTTGTGGACATTTCGGAAGTTTTTTCGGGAGATTGAAGCTATTATAAGAAGCTGTAGGCTGTGGAGCTCAACATATCACAATTGAATACTAAGTGCAAATTTTTGAGAATTGCTCCGAATAAAGCAAAGCAAATTATCATATTCTTATTGCTATTTATAATTCGTGTACTTTGAGAGTCTCCATATAACGACCGAGACATGACCTACATCTAATAGGCATTCTGTGCTTTGCGTTCGTCGAATATCTTCAAAGCTTCTTCTGCGGCCTTTACACCAGAAAGTGCCATAGCGCCGAACGTGGGACCCTAAAAGAATTCACTTTAGCATTTGTTACAAGGGGGGATGAGTGGAACTACGAACCATACGGTTTGCACCATCAACCTCTGATAGTTCCATGCCTCCAACAATTAAGCCTGGGACAATTTCTCTGGTTCTCTTGACGATGGCATCTTCGGCGACCTGTAACATCGGGGAGTTAGTAGTTGCCAACTAAGGAGTGGCTTTGCAGTGAAGTGAAGAAGTAACACTGCATTAGAAAGTGAAGAGGTTATGGGAGACAAAAGAATTGCAGGGATTTTGGGGATCGGAGTGTGAAACCAAAGAACTGAATGCTTACGTTCATATCTAGACCTCTCATACCACCGAGTTGCTCGATCTGATTCATGGACACTAGACGCTTGACACAGAATGCGCCGAATGGACCATCGTGGCCAGTGGTTGAGATGACGACAGGAGCATTAATTGTGTTTGGATCCATGCAACTTTGGTCGTCATGATGCATTGTGACAAGTGTCCAGTTTGTGACCACACCAGCGATTCTGACCTTGCCGTCGGCAGTTTGACGTGTGATAAGATCTTCAACCGCGGTTGCATTGAACAATTTGATGTTGGGGAAGGCGAGAACTTTCGAGAGAAGAGTGGATGTGAATAAAGCCTGTTGATGACCTAGTAGTTAGTACTATAATTTAAAATCTCTCGAGGCAAGTTGGTGAAAGGAAACATGTGGGAACATACAGCATGCTTTACTACAACAAGATCTCCCTCATCCTCAAACGGCACGCCAATTTCGGTCAAGAAGGCTTCGGCAGGCTTTCGCATAATCATGGCACTGAAGAGCTGTCCACCCAACCAAGCTCCTCCACCGGGAGAAACCGAAGCCTCAATGATGGCGATCTTGAGGTCAGGACGAGCCTTTCCGAGCATGTATGCAGTACTGAGACCACAGGATCCGGCACCAACAATGACGATATCAGACTCGGCATAGTTGTCGAGATCATTGAAGTAGCGGCGGGTCATAGCACGCGAGACTTGAGACTCACGGATGGGAGCAAATGTAAATCCTTGGTCCCATTTCTCAGCAAGTTCAGCAAGTGTTTTGCCTTGAGTGGTTGTATGAGTAGGGGTGATTTCGAGGTCAAATCCGGGCTTCAACTGAACTCTGTCGATGGGAGATGATGCCTCGGTGAACATTGCTGATGGTGGTGCCATTTTTGAAGTGTTTTGAAGTTAATTTATCTGTGAAAAATTAGTGACGTCCATGAGGACGGGATGGAAGAGCATGATCCTTTCGCTGGTATTATCCAGATCAAGTTCATATAACCGTATAATCTCAGAACGACCCCTCATCAGCGATACCCTCATTTCATCCCACGTAGTAGGATGGTGAATGAGAAACAGGCTGACGATTTGCAGGATCGAACACCGGTTCATGCGAGAAATAACTTATACAATTGATGAGATACCTTGATCCGCAAGCGGATAATATCCTTGCTGAGGACTACATGATTCCGGATGGTTGGAAGTGAGTTGTACTTGATACTTGTAGTCGTTTGCTAAATTAGATCACATTGACAACGTTAGTTATTCTCTAAGTAGAGAGAAGATAGGTAGGTACAATACCGGTACTGACGATTGTATTGTTTGTGATAGAAAGAGATAATTTTGGAAAAGGTGATGGAGTTGAAGGAGAGCGATTGTGTTGGGAATTCTACAATTAAATAGTCCAAATATTACCTGAAGGCTAAGTGAGGGGTAGCTTTTTAGTGACCCCCACGCACAACGGGAAATACCCTTGTATAGAATGCATCAAACCCACTATCGCCGCTATCTGATTGATTGATCAAATGTTCTGATATGTCAAAGTTTAATTTGACTGGAGGATATATTTGATCGACAAGGTAGATCATCAAAGCATGAAACTAACGACCTTTCATTGGCTTAAATCGAGCTCAGAATAACCTAGACAGTTCCCGGGTTACGGAAGTGATGTGGGTGCAAGCTAAAGGGCTTGAGACGGATGGAACCACCCCGATTCACGGAGGCACATTGAGAGAATTGCATCAGAAAATGATTATATCGTTTGCACATAGCAATGACATGTCGCGCCGACTTTCATCCCTGTGGCATTGTTTTGTTTTCTACTCGAGCACCGGGGTGGATTCTTGTAAGAGACTATTCCCAAAGACAATCACTTGAAGCTCCGAATATCTGAGTAGATAAGACTGGGCTACAATGAAGAGACTATTTACAAACGGGATGCTTCTAGACCAGGAATTTTGTTCCCATTACTCTTTAGTATGTACTGAATATCCAGCCGTTTTACCTGTTGCTTAACACGTATTACACATTGCCGTTACTCGAGTACATCAAGAAACATTTCAAACACATTTCTTCAGTAGAACCTAATACTTCTTGATGGCACTTTCCAACCTTTTCCGATCATGTAAATTGCAGAGGGTTCTCGCTAATTCCATAACCCGTTTGTCTTGTGCAACCCGACAGTTTGGGATGGAATCTCCATAGATTATCCCAACTACCGGTAACTATTTAAATGAAAATACATACTTTGTTGTCTACATCTTTTCCGCATATTTATCATTGAAGAGTTGATTTCGATATTGTGTTCAGCGTGCTTTCAACTCAGTATGGGTAATGTTGGGGGCTATGAAAGTCACCATCGACACAGAGCTAAGGTTCGAGGTTACAAAAGAAGCCATCGATATATAGACTAACATAAAGAAATATATAGGTTACAGAGCCAACGAAACCAATAGCACCTACAAAGACAGCTATAAAGATCAGCAACCATCACTATGAGATCGAGTTATCCAAGATACCTTACTTGGCAGCTTATGCCCGCTTTGAAGCCAACACTAAAGCCAACACTAATCCAGGATCTCTACTCGTCCATGGCCCAATTGCCCTCTTCGAAGTAGCTCTCATAGGAATAAGATTAGGGTACGGCAACTGCTTTGACTTCCTTCCCGCCGAACTTCCACATTACCACACCCTCTGTGACACATACGACTTTCTACAAGTCGACGGTCTCACTAAGCAATCTTTCGAGCAGATAAAAAGAGATATGAAACTTGATATGTTCAAGGCTCGCGATGCCGCTTTCAGATTAGTGTACCTAATATTAATAGGCGAATTTAAGGACGATGAACTGGATAGCAACAAGGCCTATAATGTCGTTCTGTACGTTTTAGGCCACCATGAAATTTTCACGCCGCAAATCAGGAGGGTGGTTCGAGCGGCATATTAGGAGCGATTTGTGAGTTCGGGCAGGCAGAGAAGACAATTTGATAAAAGAGAGATTATGGATTTGGATTCGGATATCTTGCATTCTTTTGGCGATTATCAAGCAAGATATATTCTAGGAGTTAATGAAAGTGTTTAAGTTGAATATGCCTTACACTCCGCATAGATACTTCCCAAATACCCCATATTGTCATTTCATATACTACAAGGCCTAAAATATAAGTGTATGTTCAAAATTTAAACAACCTGCTTAAACTTTCGGTCAAGACAAATAACATGCTTGATGTCATCTTCCAATTTTTATTCTTTCTTTTCACTTCTAATAACGATATTTCATACCTTGCACAAATATGGTAATTTTAGGCATCTCTTGAAGGTAATTCCTAGATATTCTGAACAAAATTTTAAACCAAGTGAACTATTCTATTTCTAACAAGCTATTAAGACTTTTTGAACATCCGAAATACAACTAGACTACTGAACACCATACTCAACAAAGGGACAATATATTCCAGTATTCATCAGTCCCTAAGCAATCAATACAATAATATACATCATACACGCCAAGCTTCTTAGATAAGCATAACCTAAAAAACTCCAAATATCTCGACCATTATGAAATACACCGCGGTTCCCAATTCTTGTTCTTAATGTTTAAATGGGCCATGAATATAAAACAGGATAAGATTAGATGCCAAATCTTTTACCAACGAATCAGATCTAGTGGCCTTGGTAGTGAATTAGTAGTGCTTATAGTGCTTATAGTCACAATTGTTACTCTATAAAAAGCTAGCGAGTAAGGTGCAATCTGATTTTTACTGGAATTAGTTGTTCGATGTAGTAATACTACTGTAGAACATGCTAGGTACTGTTGGGTTACTTTAATTAGTCAATTGAGCGCTATGGAAAGACACGACGCAGTAGTGATCATTGTCCCCACCGTGTCAGAGTTGGTAGATACAGTATGGTTTGTCACATTTGCATCAATAGAAGCCACTGCTGAGATCGAGTATGCAGAATAGCATTAGGTTTTAAGTGAAAAGGATCTATGAAAGTAGACAACAACTCGATTCTCATTGTTTCTGGCTCTGTTATATGTGTTCCGACCATGCGTCAACACATGGATTAGGAAATCAACTACGCTCAAGGGCAATGTACAAGTGTATCGATAAATGCACCAGTTGATTCATTCGTGAATGCCTTGGTTCATATTTACTAGGTTTATTCTTCTACAATCGATTAGTTGATACAACAACTTCGTATACAGCCCATGAGGCTTGACTCTTGAGCTAAGCTCGTTGCCCATTCCCTGTGTTGTGTGATATATGGCCCGGAACATATGCAGAAAGCAGAACCCATGGGAACTTTTACGAATGGTATTAATACTCGTTTCGTGCCGCGAAGCGAGATCAGCTTTACGAATTTTGGCCTAGACGTACAATTAGCAAGCACTAATCGCAAATTTTTGTATATGTCTGATTGTAGTAAAGGTGGCATCCAATCACGCTAATCGTTGGCTATTATGTAGAGTTGATACTGCACGCGATTTTTACTAGTTCTGTAACTTGTGAGAGATGGGCCCTGCTCAGACCAGACCAGTGTAGCCAGTATTGCGAACTACTTTAAGCTAGAAGTTCGAAGGGTGGTTGTTTGATATATAGACTATTGGAATGTATCTAAATTAGACTAATTATTCAATTAGTATCTTGATTCCAAAGCTTATTCTGTAATTCTTTGATTTATTGATATGTAATCACAAATACTTAATTTTGTTTACAAATCCTAATCAGATTTACAGATTCATTTATCAAAAGTAGGGATCATCTAATAGATTTATAGATTGTCAATACAGACTTATCAAACTGAATCATCTGATTAATTTGTATACTGGTTTGACTAGTCGATCAGTGGCTACACTGGCTGAGACGGTCTTTTAGGTTATATGAATGCGGCTTTGGGGGCTTGTTTCTACAACTTGCATTATAATACTTATATTTATTTAACTATATTTATTTAACTAACGCGCCATTGTTATCCTGAATCTTCACTTTCACTACTGCCTCCCTGTCATCCGTCCTAATATCTCACCAGCGTTCTCACTATTGCATGCCCGCAACCAACACCTACAGATCCTGCACTACCACGGAGCTCCTTCGAAAATCTGTGCCAGCCCTTTGTACTTATCCAACACCGTTCCATCTTCATGAGCTGGAAGCCATGCATCCAACGCAAAGAAGTAAAGCATAGGCTCCATTTTCTCCTTCAATCCCCAATAAATATCGTCATAAAACCTGCAATGCATGGCCGGTGTATACTTCACGTTCTTCCAGAACTTCAAATCTTCCTCGCGCCCGACTCTTTTCAATTCGGCCAGATAATTCGGGAACCCCAGACCCATCACCTTAGCTCCATCGAGAACATCTCGAATACGAGCTCTATGTTCCGAACTAACGATATCGTCATCCGAATTCCGGAAGTCGGTTGACCACATTTCTGTATCGAGGTCGACTATGCGAAGGTCGATGGCGGAGTTGGTCTCGCGGCAATAATCAGATGCTGCGAGCATCGTTACCATTTGGAAGACCTTAATATCAGGACATACTCGGCTAACGAGGTCAAGAATATCCTCGTATCTTTTTGGATCAGGAATAGTATCTTCTTCGTCCGTTCCGAAGGCCGTGAGCGCAATGCGAGTGACTCTTGTAAAATCTATGCTCCTTCCGTATCGATATAGCCTCATAAGATCCGGAATATTGAGCATCAGAGTGTCTCTCACAGGGTCGATATAGGTATGCCCGATTGCGTTGGCTGCTTCCCACGAATAATGGATCGGTTCTCCATCGTCACCCTCTGGCGGTCCCGAAATCTTGATCTTTTTCATCTGGCGGTAAACCTCTCTCCTTGATGTTTTGCATGCATTCAGAAGCGGAAACAAGTATTGTGCTTTAGGTATCTCGGTATGGATATGAAGAATGAAGCTCCTAGGGTTCTTGATAATCTCGAAGAAGAAATCGACCACTGGTGATCTGTGACGAGGGATGGCCTCCTTAAATATCATGCCCTGTAGCTCGAGAAGAAGAGACTCAAAGAGAGAGAAACCACCAACGTCATTCTCAATCGTGGGGAACGACTGAAGTGGCGGGCGGCGCCATGGCTGGGGATCAACTGTAATTGAGAAACCGTTGTTGGACACATGCAAGACCGGTAGGACATCTGTTTAAAGGTTAGCACCAAGCAGCTATATTTGTAGAATAAATGAGGGCCGATACTTTGAGAGTTCATGGTCTATCAGTTGGATAGTTGTTTGTTGCCAGGTAAATGTTTTTCGCAAGCGGATGTTGATGGAGGACGTCGAATCTGATTGAAAGCGATTATACTCGCGATGAATTTGGTGGTTCTTGATTGCAGAGAAGATGTATCTGGGAGGTTGAAACTTGGAATCTGAGTTGTGGACGACGATTCTTTAGATAAACTTTCGTGGCTGTGAAAGTGTTGCAAGATGGAGTTTGAAGGGGAATAGTTTGAAGAGGGGCAATAAATAAAGGATTTATGATACGGTACCGCCGTACTAAATTATGTAACATCTTACAATAGGATTGGAGTACGGATATGTTGCGGATTTCCACTGGATGAAATTTGCGCTTGCGATCACGATAGGCAACTATACTATTGTAGAACAATTCTGGTTACCGTGGTGCCTAAACGAGAGATAGAAGTGAAGTAAAGTGAAGAATCAAACCCGGTGAATGTTCAATATTCCCAATACATGAATTCATTAGGGTTGTGGCTCGATGATGCAAATTAAGCGTCTCCATAATAACATTGACATGATATTGACAGCATAAAGAAGCCTAAAACAAACTTGCCTCGCACACGAGGCTTTTTAACACAAAGTTGACAGTATTTATACTTTCGGGGATCTTCTCTACTGACTTGCAGTAGGCCCTTTTAGAATTACCCACCCTATCGTCAACATTTGGTGTTTTATTCTAGTAACTTGATGACGAAGATACTCGATGGAAAAGTATTGATTATTAAAACGTATTTGATACGTCTATAAGTTCCTCTAATATTCCGATGAGAACTACATTCAATTATTTTAATATGTCCCATACTTTGAAGGACTTCCGTCTAATTTCGAAGCCAAAATCCAAATATTAATATTCCAATTCTATCCCCAAGTGGTAGTTTTGAACTCAAGCTCAATTTTTCGTAAATCCGCAAGAGAGAACTTGGCTTATTCCGATTAACCTGTTCTATACTTTCAAATAGGGAAGTAAATACAAGATTTTCAAGCGCCATTCATCATCATTTGTATAATGACAAGAGTCTTACTTTCAATTAGTACTAACAGATAGTTTGAACCCCCTATTCATTTTGGCGAATCAGTCACGTGATCCAGACGATCTATCTTTTGTACACTCCCCGTGCAATCATCGTAGGGTATTACAAGAGAGAGAGGGAGAGATATGAAGTTAACAGGTCACAATACGAAAAGATAGGAGAAAATTAGGAAAAGTATTTAGGGTCTCATTTTGATACATCTCATTGTTGAGATATAGATCGAATTGAAGTATTACAGAAGTTTTATTAGGACTTGGATTTGGAGTAATATCAAACAAGTTGTATATGTTATCTAGTAGTAGATGATAGTTTTTAAGTAATATCTCATATTCGTCCGAAAATATCTCATACCATTATCATCCGATAACAGCACCCATTCACCTATCCGATATTCAATCATCTCATCAATTACTTTCCGAAAAGTGAATTGTTTCTTTCACGCAATCATCGAGAATCGAGATAGATCGAGTCTGCTGCGAGCCTGCGACAAATCGACGAGGCCATCAAGCCATTTACTCATATAAGGTGGTGGTGTATGGTAACCGGAGCATATACTGGCCGGCAGTATATGATATACTATAAATACTGGTATATAGAATGATAAATGTGTTTGGAAACCAGATATATATATTCTAATCGGAGTATTTGAATCAAATTTCCGTATATCATCTGAAGGTTATAGCTTTTCCGAATCAACCCGGTTGTTCCAAACCCGCCCTAATGGGCCGAATCTGTGAAATCTGAGGATATACTTGAAGGTGATGATAATAATATAAGCTTGAACCTTGAGCTTGGTATTCAAGTTTTATATTGTGAAATATGAGAATGTACTTGAAAGTGATGAAAATAAGCTTGAGTTCTATATATATAAGGGCTTTATAATAATAATATATTTAAATTTGGTATCGAAGTCATTTCAAAATCGATTATAGGGAGTGGTAGTGGTAATGGTGGTAGTAGTAGTAGTAGTAGTAGTAGTAGTAGTAGTAATAATGGTATTGGAGACTAGTAGTGGGAGTAGTGGTGGAATTGGTAATGGGGGTGATAGTGGTAGTAGTAGAGGCAGAGTAGTTGTAGTAGTAGAGTTAGTAGTGGTAGCAGTAGTATTGATATATAATTAAAATAGTAGCAAACGCTGGTATATAAAATGTTAAATAGTTCTTTTTTTTTCAGTATATAGTATTTCAAATTTTTATATAGGAGTATATACTAGTAGTTGACTAATAGTATTCATATATTGGGTATCAAATGCAATATTCAAAGTTTTATATATGCTACTCTTGAAATATTATATATGTATACTAGTATATATTCAGTTACCAAACAGGCCCTAATAATTGTATAACTGAAATCCCTTCACAAGTTAAACGATTCCAGAGTATTTAATAGTCCAGAATATAGTCCAATAATAAGATATTTGTAATTCCTGAATATATCTCAAACATTATTTAAATTAGAAACATTGAATCTATCAAAAAATATTGAAACTATTTCAATTGTTAAATACATTTGAAATAATAAATTGCTTGAATCTTTTTATTAGTTGAATAGTATCTAATAGTCCAGATTGTACTCCAACAGTTGCTTGAATACTTTCCCAAGTTGAATACTTTTAGAGTATCTAATAGTTCAGATTGCAGTTCAACAATGAGATATTAATAATTCCTGAATATATCTCAAACATTACATTGATTTAAAATATTGAATACATCAAATTATTGAAACTATTTCAATGAATTGCTTGAAATGATTCAATTCTTTTTAAGATTAAAAACATTTCAATTACTATTGGAATCTCTTTCATTAGACTATAGTCCGAACTATTGGATACCAGGTGAATTACAACTTTGCTCATACCCCAACTGAGAGCGCAATACGGCTGATCCGAAGTAAGTCCTCAACAAAAACAGGTTGTCGCGTGTACTAAGGAAGGAAGTGAATCCATTCACAGACTCAATACGGCAGGAGCCGTTTTTGCAAATGCGGGGAAGGTTCGATCTGCCATCAAGGTCTCTCTATTTAATAACCTTTCCTTTCCCACTTACCACCTTTTTTTTTCTCCCTCACACAACACATTCTATCCTCATTTCTAACCTCCGGCCCTCGAATCACTGATCCATAACTATACACTCTACATAAAGTAATCCTTCACAATGCCACAGAGACCTACACGTACTAGGCGCCCTCCAGCGAGATATCGCGATGATTCCGACCAAGCCGCTTCATCTTCTTCAAAGCCTCCCGCATCAGTCGCACCTCCTATCATGGTTTCATCGCCCACTCCTCCACCTCCCACCCCCTCATATTCTACCTCTTCTTCACCCAGTATTACCCCATCGACTCCTACTCCATCAACCAGAAGAGGAGGCACAATTTGGAGGGACGAAGTAAGACGTACGTTGCTGCAAGTAGACGAGGAAGGTACATCCCCTGTGCAACCAGTCAGCCCTCCATCTCAACCAGGTCCAAATGCACTACCAGTCTACACCAGTGATGATGAGTACGATATTACATCATCCGGTTTCGGTCTGAAACACACCCCAGAGTGGGATGGCGCAGGCATCGACATGAATGATTATAAGCCAAGATGGTTCCCTTCTGTAAGTTTCCAAACAATTCATCTATTAATTCCACGCTAACTTTGTTTGCGACATAGGCTCTTGTAGGCTCACCAAGCTACGAGAACCTCACCGATGCCTGCAAGTTGATGATGGTCCATGAACTCACCAAGCGTATGACTTTCAAGACGATGGTCTCTTGGATGCAACTCACCGATACTCAGCTCATTGACTTTGTTCGCATCTATGAGTTCCAAAGCCAGCGCAATGTGGAGGAAGAACGCCTTACAAATATCGCGATGGAGCGCTTGGATAAGATCAGAAAAATGCGAGACGTGACCACCAAGGACTGGGATATCGCCTTGGAGGAGGAAGTCGACTCAAAACTTAGCCCGTCGTTGATCGATAGCCCGATTCCATTGGTGGAGATTGGACGTACGATCAGATATCTTCAATCTTTCCACATCCAGGAGGAACTGGAAGGTCTCCGAGTCGACACACCTGAGGGCCCGCAAGTCTTCGCTACAGATGATATCCCTCCCTTCCTTGTCATTGAAGAAGTCAATGAAGCGATGAAACGCTACGCCAAGCTTAGTGTTGAACTCGAGTGGGAGCTAGACCATGATATTGGTCTTAGAGACTACATCGAGCATGAGACCGATCTTGCAGGAGGAGTCGAGGGAATTGTCCTTTCTGACGACGAGGCCGAGAAGCCAGCTCAGCGTCCAATTGGACGTCCAAAGAAAACAAATAGGAGATTCGCCAATAAGCCACTCAAAATCAAATCCGATCTTATCAAGCTTAGATTGCCATCGAAGCTTCAGCAAATGGAGAGTGTGGAGGACAATAACGAGGCAGAGGGCGATGATGTGAGTAAAGGAAAGGGGAAGGGAAAGGGCCGGAGAGTTTAAGAATTTCATTTTTGTCTGTAAATTAGTATCCTACTTCAGGAAATGAATAGGCACCTAGCATGATCATATAACTAGGGTTTCTTTATAAAAAAAATCGAATAATTTTCCAACTTTAATGATCCATATTCATACATGGCGTGATATCTTGATGGTTTATCTTACTGCTGACTGGTAAAGGTTGAAAAGTCATCTAGAGTATTCTATGAAGATATCGCTTTGAAAGATATAGTGAAAGGTGATTATTCAAGAGTACCACCCTCTGAGTAGAAGAGGCTGCGCTTGAGAAGCAAGAATATCTACAAGTGCATCCATCGTACGAAGCGTTGGAGAATGTGGGTTTAAAAGGTTAGAATGAATATAAACATGCAAAGATAGTATGATGAGTGGCACGGCGGATAGGTGGGTAGATTGAAAGCAGCAAATTATTAACCCAACTTGAAAGCCCCAACCAACTGTGCAAATGTATCGCGCGCGCAATACTTTGTATTAAATCTATATGGAAAGGTAATCGCAAATTTATATCGCAAAATGATGATATATCGTATGAACATTCGAGGATTTATATTGCCAGCAAATAACTGTTGAATATAAGAACCTATGCCATTATGAAATATACATATAATGTTGAAAGAAAAAAAAGAACTAAAAAAAAGTCAGGTCTTCACTTGAGGGAGTAGCGCCGATAGCTAGTTACTCGATACTTCATGCCGCCAGTATTCTACCAGCGACCACCCAGTGGCCGTACGGCGTGCAGGCTCAAGGCCTGATTGGACCATTACAGTCAATCAGGAAAGTCCACGAATGAACTTTTTACCAAAGGTGAATCTGCTTAAAGCTTGGTACGACTCATTGTTCCCAAGGTGTCTATTATCTAATGTCCAGTGGCGGCATCAATTGAATGATAGGCGGGAAACCCACAACACCTAACTTTCATCAACCGTCCAAGCTAATCTTCTGATACAGAAGATCATTGGAGAAACACTGCATTAACATATATTGATAATGATCGATGAAGACTGCCTCTTCAACCGGGTAACGCATCCTCACACAAATTGGCTGTTTTCAGGCTCCCCCGGGAGAGATCTCGGTTACCAAGATGATAGAGTATTACCCACCACACTAGCCATTGCTAAACACTCGTGAGAATGTGAAGCAAGCGCTCTACCATTGAGCTACCAGCCAGCGGATGTTCGATACCTGACGCGAGTCTATTTAATAATATATCTATCAAATATGTTTGCCGAAAAAGTGAATTAATCTTTGAGGTGGAGATGCAAATGATGACCCCGAGCCACCAGAAACTGTTCAACATACATACAAATACCCGCAGGAATAGGATAATAAAGTTACTTGCAGGAGTATTGAAGTTTGGGATAGGGTATTATTGAAATACTGAGAACTTGTCAAATTAAATGAAGCGTTGCATACATGCGTTTCGGTCTTCGAAGGATTGGGCCAGCGCAGTCAATATTGATAAACAGAAACAGGCATGTTCTGCCAGAAAGACATCGGTTGGGTTAACTGCTCAAAAAGCTCGAAGGAACCAGTGATTGACACAATGAATACGCAAACTACAAAATGAAACATCGTGAACACGATCTTAACACCAATCTTGGGCGGTGTACTACGATGCGACCGGGCCTGAATGGAAATGTCGAGAGAGTTACCGGTAGACTATCTACTGGTTGAGTCTGATGGCTAGGCATGAGGATCTCAATGATCAAAAGCACTAGCTTTAGCCTTCAATTATACCAGATTGGTAATATGTAGTGAAGGCTGGAGCGATAATGAACATGAAAATGTTGAGATTGACGTCTACATCAATGAAAGTGGGGTAGGGGTGCGAATTGTGGACCCTGCTGCTTATTAATAGGTAGTGTACCATGACTTCCGGCCAATAGTCGGCTCTTTATAGAGCAGCTGTTTCTAAAATATCCCTCTTCAACTTTAAAATATTAAATTATTTGTATAAGATCTTTGAATTATTTATATATAAAATCTAATTATATATACAATGCAATTCATGTCAACTAGAATACAATTTACTCATTCAATGACAATCACCAGCAGTAACGAGACGAACAGGATGATGGGGGTACAATAGAATTCAAGGCATTAAAATATCTATTTCTATTTCATTTCTCATCACTCTCCGCAGCCAAAGCATCAATTCTCTTCGCAACCTTCAACGTACCCGATTTTCCCCTCGTAGAAGATCTCAAGGATCTGCCTACCGCAGGATCCGTGTCACCTGAGAGTGGCGTCACGGGTCTTTCGCTATCGAGGGAAGAAAGACTCGTGAAGCTATTTTCTCTGACCAAGGGTGATGGTACATCGGGAGTTGAGGATCTAGAGCCTCCGGTACCCACTCCGGAAGAAGTGGGTGACAGTTTCTGTCGAGTCGGGACAGGTAGTGTCTTCTTTCTTCTGCGTTCAGAGGTTGTTGATGCACTACTGCCTTTTCTCATATGACCACTGCCGGGTCTTTCGTCGCCTTCCGCTGTGGGTGTTGCGCTGCGGGATGAATTACGAGAATGGGAATGTGATCGCACGCTTGCACTTCGGTCGCGTTTCAGTGCTGTGTTTTGTCGATGAGGTCGATGATGAATCTTTTCAACATCCATAGCATGTCCTGATCTCCATCCATGATATCCAGTCCACCACAACCATCCCCCTTGTTGCTTTGCCAGTTTCCTTTCCCGGTCGTTTAGCTTCTGTCGTAGTATCTTTCGTCGCTCGTTTTCTTTTTCCCAGTATTCCGTACGATATATATCCCAATTTTCCCTAAAGTTTGGAGAGAAAGGCTTGGGAAGCAATAAAAGCTTCACATAATCGCCACCAGGTGCCAAGTCCTCTTCATAGCCCTTTGTATCATCATCTTTATGTATGTTCGGTAGCGCATGATGTCCACCATTTTTCGCAGCCTTCTCCGACTCCTTCAATAACGATTGATCCACAAACCGATATGAGCTCCCGCTGTTACCCGAAAACAACCCGTAGGAGAATAGGAATGATAATGCGGATAGTAACTCCTTCCACCATGACTGCTTGATGACCACCAGCTTGCAATTAAACCCTCTAAGTCCTCTGTTTGTAATGCCCACAAATCTCCGCGGCCACCGTATGCCTCGCTCCCATTGTCCGGTCCCCCATATTAACAACGCTGTCACTATTCCGCCCATAAAGCACACCTTCTCCGTCATCTCTACAACCCAGTATACGGAGCCTCCTACACCACTACCATCTTCCCTCGGCGCCAGAAACAACGCATAGCCAAACCATATATTCCACAGCCCCAGCAAACTCAAAAAGAATGCATGTTGCCGCCTTCGCGTGCGAAGCTGTAACCACTGCGCGCGGAGTGAAGCTTCGAGGATCAGAAGATTGAGGTAGATCTGCGGGGGAGAGGAGGGAAGGGATGCGAGGGGGTCGGTAATGGAAGGTTCGGATGGTGTGACACCACTGGTTGGGATGGGAGGGACATGGATCCCTGAAGGCGGTGCACCTTTGACGAGCTGGTCGAGTTTAGACATCGCGATGGATGAATGTGTTAAGTATGTGATGCTATGGAATTATCATGTTGCTGTTGCTGTTGCTGTCCTCGTAGCTATTATGGAGCATCGGAATTGGAGGCTTGTGCGCAATCGGTGGGAAAAGTTGTAAGTAATTATTTTGAAGATCAAAAAACGACTTGGACTGCTGGCTGTTGTTAAAGTCCAATACAATATCACCTGCCAATAGAATAAATTTAGAGTTGTGGAGCAATACGGACGATATGGGGGTGCATCGTTCACCGATAGGTACTGACTTTGTACTCTGTATGGTTGTTGAGGTTCAATATTCTAGAAGCTCGGCAATTATCTATTGGGAGGGTGCAGTTAGTACCATGTTTCTCTGATTCATTCTTCAGCAGCTGACACCGTCATCGGCGACGAAAGAATAGCTCATTAAAACATCTTTAATCCACCATCAGTGTGTATACCGATATATATATAAACATTTGAAGAGCCACACAATATTATTATTATTAATAGAGTGAGTACCGGTCAGTAGAAAAAGGACAACCTTTTCCCAATGTCCAATCGGAATGAAGCGAATGCGAACTGAAAAAGAAACATGCACTTTTCATGACTTCGGATTGTGGTTGCTCCGACCCCCGAATTATTGATCGCATTCGCATTTGCGATGACGACCTTGCAACAACCTATCTTTCACATTAAATGCTCAATAAATTCTTTAGATATCCCCTAATCCCTTCGATGATTAGATGAAGTCTACCGTCACCTTTACCTTATAACATACCTGCATGATATCTATTCTATGCAATTCCTCAATTCCTCAATTCCTCAATACCTACTCGAGTACTCGTACAAACAAACCATAAGCCAGCTGAAACTCGAAAGTGGCGTTTACCGGCCGTACCTGTCCCCAAAGTCCTTAACTCCGCCGATAGTAACATCACTTTCTTTATAAGTAACTGAGAGGTGCACGAATCACCTCGCATTCACTCAAATTGTATCAAACTAACCTCTCATCGCTGTTATTGCGATCAGGACCTTCGGACACATTCAGCGGACGAAAGTCTGTCCTTCCATACCTCAAGCAAATCTCCAACCTTACAAACTACACCACAATGTCTACCTCCGACACCGAGTCCCCTCGAACCCAACAAGCTCCGCTGGCTTCTCGGCGCGAGGCCCCCAAAGGATCTGCCCCAGCAAGAGGCTATTTTCCCTTGGGTTATAAGCCAGCGTTTAGTCAGTGGTGGGCTAGCATTTCACCGGCTGTCGCAGAGCATAATGTTATGTCCTTTGTTCCATATCTACAAAAGCCTCCGACACATACGCAAACTGGCTCCGCGCCAGTTTCAGCTGGCACATCAACTCTATCAGTAAACGATCCGAACGCCTTGTCGGCACCAGTACGAACTAATTCTATAAACGATCCACATGGCCCGCGACAATGGCATTCAAATCTTGTGAAGCTGAGTGGGAAGAACAGAGCATTGAATGAGTTCTCTGTCGAGAGAGTAGGAGAAAAAATCGACGATACACTAGTAATGCTTCACGGCTACGGCGCAGGTCTTGGATTCTTCTACAAGAACTTTGAAGGATTAAGTAGAGTCCCAGGCTGGAAGATATACGCCCTGGATATGCTTGGAATGGGACGAAGCACCCGACCATCCTTCAAAATCAGTGCCAAAGACCAAGCTGGCAAAATTGCAGAAACAGAAAGTTGGTTCATAGATGCCCTCGAAGAATGGCGCGTCCTCAAGAAAATCGACAAATTCACACTCCTGGGCCATAGCATGGGTGGTTATATGGCCGTTGCATATGCATTAAAGTACCCCGGCCATCTCAACAAATTGATCCTCGCCTCACCAGTTGGAGTTCCTGAAGATCCTTACGCAACCTCAGCAGCCATGCCCGAACCCGAAGAATCCACTCTTGCAAATGAATTCACACAAGATCAAGAAGCCGATATTGTGTCTCAATCATTCAACCCAAGCAGACGCACTACCGGCGGCGACAATAATAATTTTGGCAACATGCGTAACAAACGCGAGAACAATAAATCAAAACAAGAGCCAGCTAAACGCCCTCTCCCCTTTTGGCTCACATATCTCTGGGACGCGAATGTCTCCCCCTTTTCTCTAGTGCGCTGGGCCGGCCCCCTCGGACCCCGTCTCGTATCCGGATGGACCTCACGACGCTTCTCACATCTTCCCAACAACGAGAATGAAGCTCTGCACATGTACGCCTATTCACTCTTCCGCCAACGCGGATCCGGCGAATACGCACTCCCTTTCATTCTCGCCCCCGGTGCCTTTGCGCGCTCCCCCCTAATCCGCCGCATTCACGGCGTAGGTCGTCAACCCATTCCCCCCTCTCCACAATCACCCTCACCCTCACCCTCACCCACCACTTTCGCCCAAAAAGAACACGGATACCCCGTTCTCTTGATGTACGGCGAAAACGACTGGATGGACATAGCGGGCGGCTATGCAGCCGAACAAGCATGCAAAGAAGAACGTGAAAAAGTCCTTGCAAATGCAAGCAAAGAGGAAAAAGAATTAGAAAATGGTAGTGCTCAGGTCGTCATTATTCAAAAAGCAGGTCATCATCTATATCTAGATGGCTGGGAGGAATTCAATGAGTTTATGAGGGGAGAGATGAAAAAGACGAGGATAGATGGGCAGAAGATGAGGACGGTGCTGGAGAAATTAGGGGTGCAGGTGGAGGATAGGACGTAGGACATAGGAGTGTATAATGATTAGGTTGGGGTGCAGAAGGATTATGATATCAGGAGGGTTTTGTAGAGTTTCTATATCGCGGTACGGAAGCGTGGGATTACTAATATTGGAGTTTGGAGGGTTGTGCTAGATTTTATTTGGAACATGGCGAGAGGCTTTTTTCCCCACTAATATTTGTAACTTTACAACACCCCGCCAGACGCATTCATGGGATATATATACGTAGATCCATGAAATTAGACGAGAGTTCAATTCAGAAACATTGTCGAATAGGTCAAGAGACTCGTAGCAAAGTTGATCTCAACATAAATTAACACTACGTTATAAACTCTTAGTACATACACACATTTACACCCCTTCTCGTATTTCCTGGGTATATATCCAAACACATACGCGCCCACCTATTCCCATTCCCGTGATTAAGCTCATTATTACTCGTACATTGCAATCTCATCAACATTTCACATGAAATCTTCATCCTCTAAAACTTGGTACCATTCACATACGGTAATAAGTTTTGAGTACCGAGAGTGCGGCCCTCTGCAAAGCAAATGTGATTAGTATAGTATAGTATGATAACAAGCAGAACTTTTCGGGACGGTATATGTAGGCAGTACTTACTAACGAACCAAACAATTATACTAGGTAATTTGAAATTTCCAGATCGACCGGTAGCTCTACTTCGGCCGAGAGATACGGCAAGTACGGGAGCTCCGTCTGTCTTGTAGATTAGTGGATTCTTCGACCGTAACACCAAATCTAGGTTTTTGGCAAGCGCGAGTGCTTGTTTATCGGCATAGACATGTTGACTTGGTTGTGCATCGATTATATCACCCGCGGCCCAGATATCTTCGGCTCCGTGAACCCGGAGGTGTTGATCGACTTTTACATAGTTTTGCCCATCGAGTAATTTCTTGGGTATGTACGCGCTGTTTGGAATAATGCCGATGGTTGGTAAATAGAGGTCGCACAGTATGTTGTCGCCATTGGAAATGGAGAGTTCGGTCTGGCCAGTAGAGAGCACTTTTGTTGAGTTAATTCTAGTTCGAAGCCTTACATCGACGTCCATTTTTTCGAGCTCTTTCTGTGCCCCGGCGGCAATGGGGCTAGTTACTACCCCTTTTAGTATTTCGTCACTAGAGGTGATCTATCGCTCGGTCAGTACATTTGTATGCGACAAAGACGAATAGGACAATTCGTACTAAGATTATACTCTTCGTCTTTCCATATTCAAACCCCAACTCTCCAACGGTTTCCACTCCCGTTGGTCCTGCGCCTCCCACCACAATGGATTCTGCGCTTCCAACTTTCTCTCGAAATTCATGAAGAAGCTTTTTGGTTTCTTCATATCCCGACGGTGCCCCTTTCCACGGCACTTCGCCAATTGTGTGACTACCAGTGGCAATAACTAACGTATCATATGTTTGAACCATCTCGAAACCTGCGATGGTTTGGATTGTGACGGACTTGGCAATCGGATCCATAGTTGTCGCAGTGCCCAAGACGAACTCGAAGGACTCTTCAGGGTACTTGGAAAAACCAGGCGCAATCTCCGCGAACATCTGGGAGAGTATGTCAGTCATGAAGCAGACGGACGCGGGTTCAATGGACAGCAGTAGCATACCTTGTCATCTTCGAATTGACCTGGAACGATTGCTATTGTGATCTATGAGCATTGTTTTTACAAGTGCGCTGAGTATATTGCCACGAACCTCGAACCGATGCCATATTCCAATATAAATGGGTGGTGGGAGAGACCAAAATGACCTTGAGGTCAGGAATGGCTGGTAGAGTGGTTTTCAGAAGCCTGTAAGTCATTAGCTATTATTTCCATTCAATATGTAGCGAATTGTACTGACTTATGGGCGACTGTCAGGCCAGCATAGGAAGCACCGAGAATAAGGATTGTTTTCGCCATCGTATCTGCTGTTGATTAGTATTCTCTGTAAACGAGTGTCTTATCTTCTGTCGTCTTTATTGAAACATTCAGGAAATAATACAGAAAGTTATAAGAAGTTAGTGAGCATAGGGAAATTAGTAACTATCAATGCTGAAACAATGGCTTGATGTCAAAGGATGAGTGATAGCAAAGTAGTACTCGAGCAAAGGCAAATCGTTGGCCCATATTCATGGAACAGTCCACAAGGATTGTATAATAATAGCAATATCACACTCGAATATATCTGCCCCTACAATAGACCAGCCCTTCGAGTGTTTTGTTGGCTTGATACCGTGATGAAGTATCAGGTAGAAGGGGGCTCGAGGGAGGTCAACTTGAGTCTTGAGTGAAGATACTGAAGAAGTGAGGTTCAAAGAAGGCGTCGGAGGAAATGCATTACAGCGATTACCCTGTACATCATTGGCCCGGGAGATCTGCACGGACGGGATCTGTTCTTAGCCCCGTGTCGTATATTGTACTCAACCGAGATATTGACCAATCAACATCGGGAATCTCCAAAAATAAGTAAATTACCTGATCCGGAAATGGTCCAAGCGTCGCGACAACCAATAACATGAAACAAATATACCAACTTCAAATTCATCCTCATAACTGCAATCATCAATAGCTTCTTTTGGGGAGATCGTCTTTCAAAGCAGCATGCACAAGTTCACACTATGTCATTCATAAGGATGATGGTAACGTCTTATATTTGTTGAGGTAAGGGGATGCAAGGCACTGCAAGCAAGAGAAGAAGTAAAAAGGTATCGAAAAGTCCAAGATCGATTCTCACTTGTCTTCTGAGGTCTCCATCTCATGACCTTCTCAAAGTCGCCATGCGATACATCTGGATCGAATGCTTACGCAAACTCTAATACAGTATCCTGTACAAAAACAAGGGCTGATGTGGGGATACGGCCTAGGAAGTAAGCGAAGGGGCAGAGATGTACGGGTATGTTTATTACAACCATGTCTAAAAATCCATTAGATTAAGAAAACTGCAAGGTAGGATTTCTGTCGTGAACAACTGGGATACAAAGTATCGCGAACCGCCGTTCTAGAGTCTCCATATTCATCGCTCTATCTTCTGAAATCAGCAACACCACTCATTTTAGTAACATAATTCTCAAAACGATAATCAATACTCACTTCGCCGGTATGGCTATCCCATGCATGAAAGCTAATGCCACACTTCTCACGGGTAAAGTTACCTACCCACTATAAGTTTCTCTCAATATGGATGAGAAGTTCACAAGATGGCTTCTCCAGTATACCTCCATTGCCAGAACTCCGAGTAAATAAATGATCGAGTAGCCGAAGATCATTTCTCTGTATCTTGCGTTCTTAGTGTAAATGTTCAAGTATTTTGTTTTTGATCTTGATTCGAACTTCGAACAACCCAGTCTCTCAATCTTCCTTCAATATTCGCGGCATTGTACCGTAGTTTAATCAATAGCTTCGCCACAGAACTCACCTTGTGCAGATTTCATGGCTTAATCCTTTTCATTATTTTGTTCACCAATCACATCGTCATCACATAAGAGCACATTTTAATATCTACAAGTCGTTTTGTTTTGGTTAAATTATGTTTATTGAGATGAGGCATACTTATTACTTGATCATGTTACCATTAATGTCATAATTAACCCCCCTGAACTTTTCACACCATCATCTCACCTATGCCTAGTCTATAACTTACTGAGTATCGGGTACTCTTGGAGCGAGTGTATCAGGAATAGCAGGTTCGTCAGGGGGCGCAGACGTATCAGGATGAGCAGATTCGCCGGGAAGAGCAAGTGCATCAGGAAGACGATGTCTTCCATTCAATCGTCGCAATCTACCCCATACAACCCTTGTATTCATATTCAGTATAGGTTGCGGATGAACATTTGGCGTACTAAGCACTTCTCTCAAACTCGGAAGTTGTGGCCCCCGAAGTCTAACGTTTGAAGGTTGGTGACTGCCATGTTCCGCCACGATAGACCCAGGAGATTCAGGCTGCTCATCATTGAGTAGATACCTCACCCTCATCCTCTCCATATCCATACTACCCTCCCTCATCCCAGGATCCGCTCCTCGTATTGGAAATCTTCGGACTCTTATCCATTGTCTGCAAACCGTTCTAATATTACTTACCGTATACTGTCTAGTGGGCCACGGATCAGTATCAAAGAGATCACCTCCTGCGAGATGTCTGGGGGCTTCGACATTCATGGCGTCGATTACCTTGGTCCAGGCCATGTAGGGAGCATTTTGATTTCCTCTGATTCTATGGATGGCACAGAGGTAGAGGAGATGTGCCTTTGCGTTAGGGACGTAAATTGTCATTTTTGTAATTTTGAGGGGGGAGAAATTGGGTGATCTCCGATATTTCTTGCTGGAAGTTTGGAAGTTTCTGATATCTGATGTCTGTGTGTGTGTTAGTTTAAATGATCTAAGGGTTGGAAAATTTCGGGGCTAGTTGAGAGTGATTGCATATATATATGTGCGAAAACGTCGTTGTTCTGACACCTGTTCCGGGTGTTTACTGATGAAGACCGAACCCATCTCCCCATTTCAGATGTCATCCGGGAAATACAGGACCTATCGGAAACCTCGATGTGTTGGGTTATGGATCTATTCATCAGTATATACCGAATAGTTATTCCGAATGCTCTTAGCATCCGTACTCATCAGACTATCCCATCTTGATAAGCTGTAGGTGAAAATCCGGTTGGATCCGCAAGTGTGTTGCCAGCATGCTTTCATTACTCATTTCATTCATCGCGTCTTCAAATCATCATCTACAGTGTTTCATTACCTATGTCATTCCGATTCATTAGTTTGTCAAGGTATCACTCACAAGCATTTCTTTACATTCATAAATCATTCCGTTAAAAAAAATACATTACATTTAAATTTCAGTCCAACTATCTCTCATCCTCTCATCTCTTCTGAGTCTAACCTAAAACTAGATGCATAAGTCTAAAAGAAAACGTCTAACATAAAACTAACATTACCTGACGCCTAACCCTGAGCCTTAAAAAATCAAAACACATCCAATTTACAAGACAACAAAACCGAAATCCGTCCTGACACTCAATCCCGACGCTATATGCTCCTCAATAATCTCCGTCAGAGTCTTTTCTCCTCTCGCCCTTCTGGCCTGTAGATCCCTGAACTTCCTGGTTCTCTCTTTTCTCGCCTCCTCCCGAATCCACCGCAGTGCTAATGAATTCAAGGTTTTGGGCAGATAGTGTCTGAAATGCCAAGGATCGCTGTCGAATTGTTGACCGCCGGGAAGATGCTGTTGCGCTTCCATTTGCATGGCTGTGGCGATGAGTGGCCAGATACCCCGTGGGGTAGGGTGGCCGTCGCGGATGTTGTGCGTGGTGCATAGCTTGAGGATGTGGGTTTTTTCGCTGGAGGAATAGGTGGTGGGCATGGTTAGTGAGGTACGGGTGTGTTTGGAGTTAGTTTGGTTATGGATTGGGTTGGGGATAGGGGTTGTTATGAATAGATACTTTATTTTCAGGATCTTTTGGTGAAGATGCTGAAATTGAAGTATGGATAGATAACAGGTTGTTGGCTGCGAGCCAAATAGTCCAGACATCGGGCTATTTGTATGATTGATATGCGTATTGTTTGGTCATTGTTCAAAGTCTTTTTAGTGGATAGGCTCACTGGTATCAAATTCGCTTAGCTCAGGAGAGAACTTTAGCATGCGTTATGGTTCATGTTCCGGCTTACACAATGAATGCATTGATTCAAGAACATCTTTCTAGGTTTTATTTTCGATCAATTTACCAAAGACATCAATTAGCTTTGATCTAATCCGTTCCAGGTACTCAGAAAATGATTAGACCAAGCTGTTCTTACGCGAGAACAACGCCCGAACAATGAGCGTTCCTCAGATATATTACAGTAACTGACTGTTCACTATAAACCGCACACTCAAACAAATACGTCCAACGGATCCTCTCACCACCATCAACACAAGACAAAAGATCCGCAAACGCACGCCAGAACCAACAATACTCCGCACACAAGCATCAATCACCATGACATCCAGCAACGTCACCATTTTTAACACCAGTTTCGGCACCAATAACCTGTCATACACATGGACAGCTTCCGAAAAGCGTTTCCTGCAGCACGTCTGCCGTCCATACAATTTGAAAATCTCAACCGCGGACTGGAATCATATTTCAGACGTCTTTGCAACAGAACAAGTACGACACTTTGCCGGCGGTGATCTTCATGCTACGGATTCTTGGCCCCCCAGACCGTGTACTTGGGAGCGTTTCAAGAAAGCTTATGCGCGTTACGTCAAAGATGAGGAGAAAAAGAGGCAGGAGGCTGCGCATACTATGTTGAACCTCGCTGGCGTTTCGGTTGGTGCTGCTGGGAGGCAGGAACAGGAACAGGAACAGGAGCAGAATCAAAATTTGCAAGTCCCTGAAGGTGGAATCCGACTTTCTGCAAGTCGTATCCCGATCCCTGAAGGTAGCATACTTCTTCCAGATGGTACGATCCGTTTACCGTGTGGAAGTCAAATTGTGGTGACAAATGTTGTTAATCCAGTCCCCCAGGCAGAGAACACAGTTCCTGTCGGTGGCGTTCGACTTCCTGATGGTAGGATTCGTTTGGCTAATGGAAGGCATCTTCTTCCTGACGATCCCATGACTCCTAACCCAGCTCCTCAAGGTGAGAACTGATGGGGTGAATGTTATGTAGATGGATTCTCATCCGGCTGCAAAATCTCTTAGTGGTAGGTTGTGATACTTGTCATTTGGTCTGGTCTTGATCGTTTTGTGTAGTCCCCATGCGGTAAGTTTGGTAATATATTTTGTTCCCCAAAAATAATCGTTTATGTGTGAAATCATTGTGTATGTATGTGAATGAGTGGAATTTGATGCTGTAGATATGACATGCGGTCAGATAATTACAGTAATCCTCATGGATTTGTGCTCTCCCACTGGACAAAGTTCATATGATTATAGGATTGTCAGGAGATATCCCAAATGTCCAAATTAGTGCTACTCATCTAGATTCGTGCTACCGTTCGTCCAAACCATCAGATCTATAATCCTTTCTTATCCATCATCTCACTCCTATCCAATCAAACCATTAAGAAACCTATATATAGCATCTAATTTTGAACTATGCAACCAACCTGCCCAAATATTTAATTCAATCTTGAATTTTGGAACCGTGTTTGACCTCATCACCTAAACTGTTCAATTCACACCTTATCAGTTTTCCAATCTAAACCTAAATATATCAAAGCCCTAAACCATCCAAGAAATAAGATCAATTTAGTTTGGAGACTTGGTCTTTATTCCTATATGTTTCTTCTAGTCCATCTGTTCTCTTTGTCACTTTATTTGCCGTCCTCTTTATCATTCTCTTTATTATTCGTATTCAATAAAACGATTGTTCTCGAATCCCGATCCTAACCATCTGCATCTAATTACCCACCCAATTAGGTGACTTTCTTGATAGTTTGGAGCTATCAGTTGATATACGTGAGAAGTCGTGCCTAGAAATTCTCAGTCAACTATGCTCAGCGACTGGTTAGTTAGATACTAAGAACGCTTTCATCGCGCAATCAGCTGCTTCATTTCTTCAGTTTGAATACTAGATCCACTTGAACTGAAGTAATTGATTGGCATTACTACTATACCCATTTTCTCAGTGTAGCAATCGACGTAGCGATGAGCTAGCTCTCTGTCATTGTTCCCTCGTTGGGACAAAGAAGTTGCCTGTGTTTCCTTACAAGATTTTACAAGTCACTCTTTTCCGAAAGAGTGCAGCTACTAACTCGCGCAAGTACAGCTCGCGTAATGGAAAGGAGAAGGAACAGGCTCAAATTCAGCACCTGCCATGTATATATAGATTCCGAGGTGCTGACTTCAATTCTGTGTATCCAGTAGTCCGGACTGCAGGATGTAACTTACTATGTTTTTTCACATGACTAGTCGAGCTAGTAATAAGTCCAATGGAAAGGAAGATTAGTTAGTTTATCAGTATTTTAAAGCTAAACTAATTGGGTTACAGTCTAAACGAGCTAAACTGATTTCAATCATATAATCAGAATTCTGATCAAATACATATATTTTTATACTCGAGTATTACAAGCTAGTCTCAAATCAAACGCCAGTCTAGATTTTAATTTTTTTTTAGATTAGCTGAGTTAAGTTAGCCTTCTTATTTCAAATTTACCCGAATAATCTATCTAGTCCAATTAAATCATAGATTATCAGTCGTCTAGACTACCGTGCGGATGGAAGACTGCAAAATTATTGAACACACTGCTTCAATTGTTTTTCTTGGACTATAATTTTTGGGCTAGCTAGCAATTTAGATACCTATCACCACGCTCCTGCCATGCTCATTTTCTTTGATATATCGTTACAACTTACAAGTGATTTTATAATCAAGATCCTACCAGTCTAGATGATGGTTATCAGCTTTACAGTAAACAACCCAGCCATTCCAGCTGCAGAAACAAAACGATTATTTTTTTATTTTGCATTTCTTGCCTATCAAGAGTTAGTTTTCTACTCGAGTACATCCGTAAACAAGATCGAGAAGATACAAGCAAGCATCCAGTTTCAACATCCTACTAATGGCATGTGAGCATGACAAAATGCTAGTCTTTGGGGTCTGGCATTTTCAATATATCAATATATCGAAAAAAGTGACGTCCCATTCTCTAAGCGAATCTTTCAGATCAATGATACGATCCCGGCGTCATAGCACTCAGCAGAACCGGGACCAGGACTAGGACCAGGACTAGACTAAGACTTTACTGAAAGAAGTGGAATATATCGAATCGAGTATTAAAACGACCAAATCAAAAGCCCATGCTTGAGATAGATGTACCTCTTCTCTATCGGCAATACGTTTTTCCTCTTGTCCTTTTAAACTTTGCACTCTCTTCCAAGTTTCTCGTATCCTGTTCTGCACAGAAAACTGCACACCTCGCTGTTCTCAAGTAATAAGAAAGATATAAATAAGCAAGTTTATCTAGATACCTACCAACCTAACGAATCACCTGAAGAAACGCAAATCAAAAGTATCTAATAGCGCAACCCCACCCCTTCGCCTTCAACTCCGCAACATTCTCCCTTCGAGTTCTCATCCGCTAGCAATATAGTAAATACAGTAGCCACCATGTTATGAAAGCACTTTTGGAATTTTTGATCATCTAACCGAGTAATATTAATATACTAACATTGTTGGCTCTTATTTTGAGTTCTAGCTTGACCGTTCTGATATTCTAGGTCACTATCTATCTCTGAGTATATATATACCGATCCAACTACTCGAGTATACAACCATATCAAAACACTATGAAGACTAATAAAAGATATGAAATAATAACCGAGTGTATAGTAGTTACCTAGACCTATATATCGATATACATCCAAAAGCATTGGACCCCTACGAGTATAATCATGTCTTGTCACCACCATCACCATCACCATCGCCAAAAGTCACTCCACAAATACAAACACATCTACACTCACAAACGTAAAAATCATGATAGAGATCTAGACACGATATTAACTATAGCACATCTAAACTAACGCATCATTTGCAATCATTCGCAATCATTCGCCCATCATCATAAGCAGATCAGACCAGACCATACCAGACCATTTGTGTGTATCATAACCATGTGCCTGCCATTCCTAAATCCGTCTATTGATTTATAATCAAAGACATATCAACCAGAGCAAAAAAAGATCCCGTCCTTCCCAGATAAACTCCACCCAAATCAAACTCGATCCGATATGAAAAAGAGTTATCAATTACCCAATGAGCCAGAAACTAGCCATGATCAAACATCTTGCAGAAATGTGTAAGTCGAAAATGGGAAGGAGCAAAGAGTGGGGTGTATGAGAAAGGAAAGGCGAACTTTGCTCGGCTGATGTTGAGAAGAACCCATCGACCATAAAAAAGCTATCCATACATCCCAATCCCTTCTTGATTTCCCAATCTCGAGACCGGCGCAAAATCACAGAGATGGATCCCCAAAGCAAAGTAAATGAAGCAAATTGGTCGAGAAAAGAAGTAAGTCGAAGAAAGAAAAGTGTCTAGATGACATCGGTACGTTCCCGCTGGCCAGGAGCACCCAACTCATAACTACCACCGATCTTCTCGGCATGTCCTTCTGGAACCACATCCGCAAGTGTTTCATCTGTACCCTGCAAATCTTCCTCGACGGTAACGGTATCCTTGATTCTCATGAAAATCACAGGAGCGGCGATGACGATGGATACGGAGAGGAGAATCCAGTTGCTCAAGAATTCATCGTGGTAGGAAAGCTTCTTGGCATCCAATGCCCACATGACGGCGCCACCAGCCGATTGAATACCCTTGTAAAATCCGACATAATTGGCAGAACGACGACCAGAGTTGGAAAGGGCACCCATGAACCAGTAAACACATCCTTGCCACGCGGAGTCGAAGAAACCATAGAAGATATAGAGGAACATAGGACCAATATATTGTTTGCCACCATCAGTCCAATCAACGGGAGAATAGTCTCCAGCATCCGAGTTGGTGCTCTCCCGAGAATATGTCTTCACGTAAGCATATCCACCACCCCAAGTAATCATGGTGATGACGAAGAGGAAAGCGAGGGCAGACTTGGCACGAACCGAACGACGGAAGTTACCCGCGTCAAGACCGAAACCGAAAATGAGAGCGCCGATAATCTGAGCACCCCAATACAAGACGTTATTGAGAGCACGAGTACGGGTATTGAAAACAGCAGCGTTCATGCCGTTTTGTTGGTAAGTGTAGAACCAGTTGGATGCCCAAAACATGGGGAAAAGTAGAATGATGAGTGGCTCGTGAGCGATGGTGTCGTAGAGACCGATGAATTCGGATTTCCAGGATGGGTGCTTCATGAGGATAACTTTGGTACCATCTGGTCGAACAATGTCGTCGGCGTTACATAAAAAGAGAGCTAGACAAGCACCCAGAAACATTAGAATGATGAATGCGATGTAAGTGCCATCAGTGACAGTGCTGTTAGTCTTCACATGGATATTTTGACCGAGGGGAATCTGAAGTACTGTTAGTCTTTGGATTTCAAGATGTATTTGAAATGGGGAAGTGATATGCTCCATCTACCATGAAAGAATGCTCTAAGGAAGAAATTGGGAAGTTGAAAGAGTAAAACAAGATATGTACAATCGTACTTGCATGGTGAATGAGGATGAAAGTAAATCAGAACATACCAAAGCACCAAGAACAGCACCAAAGTTGAAGACAGCCCAGAAAGTACCAAAGTATTTGCCCTTATCACCTTCATATGGGTATGAAACCATGATAGTTCCTTGAGCAGTCCATAGAAGACCAGCACAGACACCGAGGAGTGCACCAGCGAATATATTGAAACCGCCAACATTTGCGTGAACAGAGGCGAGAAGAGAGATTGCATAAATGCAGTATCCAATACCACCGAAAGCCAAACAAGCCTTGATACCCAATTTATTGACGAAAGTTCCACCGAAGAAAGCGAAGACTGCAAAGGTGGAATAAAGAGCGGTGTTCTAGGAAATATCAAGTTAGCAAGAGGTTTCGTGACCCGAAAACATCACATTTTAGATCGGCAAAACCTTTGTCGCAAAAGTCAAGAGAGATGATTGAATACAAGATAGGAATGATATGAAAGGATAAACGACTTACCATATTATCTGCAAGAGTTGGATCTGACTTTCCACCACCACCAAGTCCACCAAGCGCATTGAACATACCAGGGCAGAGAAAACAGACGAATGCGACCATGGTAAGTTGAATTCGAGGAGATGCATACCAAAGGGTAAAACCAAGGACTCGATGATGTTTGTACTTCCAGCCATGCTGATCGATAGCAACAGGAGGAGTATCTGTGCGATAATCGACGTGGTCTTCTCCATGAACTGGGTCAACTTCTGGAGCACGCACATGCGCGGTATTCTTCTCCATGTTGAGGTTTATGGATGCAAATTTTTGTTTAGAGATTGTGTGTGTAATACTCGAGTAGTAATTGAACGAATGAGTGTAATGTAGTTTGGTTTGACGATCGTTGATGGAAAAGACGGTGGGAAAGGAGAGGAATTTATTTGTTGTAGGTGGGAAAGTTAAAGAGGAGGGAGATGGAAGTGGAAGAGGCTGTGGGGGAGAAGGTGTCTAAGCCAAATTTTGCTGCGGCAGAAAATGTGATGTTGATGTCGTCGAGAGGGAAAGAATTCACCCTTAATGCTTCTTCAAATACTCGGTACGGTCCAATCACCTTGTTGACCTGTACTTGTACACCGACCAAAAGTGATACAAAAGTACAAACGTATCAACCCGCTTCTCCAAACCGTAAACCCGTTATTCCGATAATAAGATTGGTCACAAATCTACGGATATTTTTAAGATTTGCTTCGCTATTCACAGCCTTGAACGTGAATGGAAGAAAATATATCGAAAATAAATAAAAAGTGAAGTAAAAAATTGAAGTGAGGTGAGGTGAGGTGAGGTGAGGTTGTCGTGGTATTATAGTTATGGAGCGACTAGCAACAAGCAGCATCAGCATCAGCATCAACAACGACGCATCTTAGCATTTTACTAGAGTACTTCTTAACCCCTACCTGCGCATCCACAACTGTCCCCCCATCTTTCCAAATACCATCACGCTGTTCTCAAAATAGTAATAGATTTGGTGCAAGTGTGTAGTCAGTGATGATCGTTGATACGTTATCTAGAAGTAGTAATCCTATGCACGACTTAGCAAAAAGCCCCGAGTATTTGATTGGAACATTGAAAAGTAAGAAGTGATTCAAATTGGTAACTTCTCCGCACGATAATTGACATGGGGAGGTAAATCAACTGGTGAGACGTGTAAGTGAAGGGGGATTTGATGAATTGAAGGGAAGTGATAGGATTGACTAAGCGGACAATCTATTCCAAATCTGGAGAAAGTTCTTCTGTTCGGGATTCTAAATGGATGTAAGGATATCAAGTATGGGAATGCGGGGCAAGGATTTGTAGGGGTTCGTAGGAATTTTGACCTTCGACTTACCTCTTGGCTGCATTGACGCTTCTTGACTTAAACCCTCATCGGATGGTTGCATACAATTTGGTAGGGGTTATGGTAGTTCATACCACCACCAATTCGAATATGCTGATTATTTCATGTAACGTATGATATTCGAGGGAAGAGAGAGAAGAGAGAAGAAGAAGAAGAAGATCATAGGATATGGTATCTGTTCCTTACTTGATAACTTTTGGAAACTTCAGAGAATTAGAGATAGGCCATCCTATCTCAATGTATTATCAGCCATATTCAGTATCTCTTGAGCAACAGAATAGGGAAAGGGGAAAAGGAATAGTGGGGGGCCATCGTACAGTATCTCATAAATCACGATACCGAAAACCCAACTGATTGGGATGGACGGTGCTACTATTTGGAATATCAGAAAAGATACGTCTCGTCATCACCGCCATCACCGCCATATCCAATCCCCTTCCGATATCACACGGTTCGATTCTCGCCGCCTTTCTTGTACCACATCAGATATCAGAAACCCGGCCCTATTCCCAACTTCCTCCTTGTGCTGTTGTTGCAGCCGATGAATATTTCTCCCTACCTCATGATTGCCATCTGGCATTTCTGCATCTATCCGAAGAATGACCAGAGTATTTTGCGGTTTGCTTCGTATAAGAACTGGTTGATTATCATATCCATGAGCTAAGAACAAGACCCTTGGTAAGGTTCGTCAGGTCAGGTTCGTCAGAGAGAGATGCATTATTGGAAGGCATTGGCGAATCCGAAACTCAATCTAAGTAAGCATTTCGTTTGGTTTATTCGGTGTTGGGCATCATCCAATAGTTGCAGTACATCCAGCTGGGATCTAGCTTTTGCTTCTAGATTTATCGAACACAAGAAGTTCTTTGAAAGGAAGTGAACCGGTTGATTCGTATCTTGAGTTCTTATTGCAGAAAGAGTGTTGACATTCTCTCCAATCTAATCCTCTCTATTCCTTCAAAACAAATCATCGAAACAAAGCACGAGACATTGACAAGGTTATTCATCCAACGTCACTTAATTAGTCCTATTTAGATTTAGTCTCATCTGGCTCAAGGGCTTTCATTTTCCAAAACCCCACCACGGCATCTTCTCATCTCTCCATAAATGATAAGAGCTTTTGGGATGATCTGCACGATAGACGACAACGATACGATAACTTCATCTCACACGTTTGTAAAAGCTGTACCAACCTTCTTCCAACCAAAACCCCCATTCATCGTTACAACCTGGATGCACATCATAAATCCAATACCGGTACTTAAAGCTCACGTTTTAATCACTATCGAGTAGAGTGCATGTCACACCAATCGTGTTTCTATTCTCCATCACCGCAACAAAACATATAAACGGACAAGTTCACCGCCGCTCGTCACACCTCTTCCGTGTATGCGCGAATGTGGCTAATAAGACACAAGAGGCATAAGACACAAGAGGCACATCACATGAGAATCAGATGAACGGTTTTGGGATCCAAGCATACCAAGCAAGGCCAAGTAATTCATCATTCAAATATATTCTATTCAATTATCATCCATCCTTTTAGTCATTCATTCATTTTACCGCACCAATTCTAATCTCAAAATGATCCTCGGAAAACCAACGGATACCCACTTCACGGCACCCTACATTTTTCTACTGTACTGCTTCTACCGAGATCCTTATTGTTGGTACAGCGACCAAGAACCAATTTTCGGTCTTCCGATCGATCAGCCTCATCTACCGAATGTACCCTTGTATAGTTACACCGGTGCAATGGTTGGATATGTATGTCGCTGTGTTCGGGTCTGTTTCGACTGATTTGTTATTATCTATCTATCTTCTAACCTTTCATATTATAAAACACTCTTATGATGCATTGGTCAATGCACGAAAATGAACATTTCTTTGAAAAAGTCACGTGTTTTCTACGATAACTCTATAGGTTAATCTTCAATATTAGTACACTTCTCAAAACAATCGATAAAACAAAATCTGAAGAGATATTATTTAAGAGTATTATTCAATCTATATGAACATCAGCTTAATATACCTCCGGAGGACGAGCTGCGACGTAGGAATGAAGATGCCCTAGAAAAACGATTCGAAGAGCGCAGCGAGGCGAATCGTTTTTCCGGCACCGAGGGGCCGAAGTCAAAGCTCGTGTTTTGATATTTATATTTGTAGTTGCGATATCTTGATGGGGAAATGCAGGAAAACTGTATCTATTTTCTGATGATGAAGACTTTATTTGCATTGCAAGGCCATCATCGGAAATGAGTCAACTTAAGTATCTGACTTTCTTTATCATATACTATCTGTCAATCAGAAAGGCGCAGGTACCTACCTACCTTTATATGCTTCCGTATCACCAAACAATAATGGAATACGTCGAGACAATAACGGCTAAGAAACGTCATTGCCTAGCTCCAACTTCCTGTTTCCACGGCGCTTACCAGGTTATATGGTACCGGTATACGAGTATAATGCTTCCATTTCTCTTCCTTCTACTCCACCCCACCATATTCGACCAAGAAACGTGGAAGTATATCTCTCTCACCTCTTCACCTCTTCTCAACACTCATCGCTCGAATTCTCTGTTCACCCTATCTCGCAAGGATAAACTCTATATTGTGCTGTCCTCCTCTCAAACTACTCAAGTTTTCCAACCCCACAACACCTGATTTTCATCAATTATCTACCTACATCATACATCATACATCATACACACTCATTCTACGAGTATACCATATCACAGGAACATCCCCCAATCTCCCAATCCCATACTCCAACCCCGTACTTTCGCTGCTTTCGCTTTCGCTTCCTCTTCATACAAATACAATATCAACCTCCTTCGATCCATATCCTCTTTCACGGTCTCTATCAAGCAATCGCCACCACAATCAATACCTACATTACATACATATAGCCACCAGCTGCTGATCATGAAGAAGATGATATATCAGTTCCTCACATTTACTTTCTATTTATATCAAGGACACATACTCGAGTATACAGAAGTATTTCATAATCCTCCCTACCCTACCATTATCTACAATCCTCGACTCAAGTATCAGCTGTATTATTAGCATTTCAGCCTCCCTTATATTTACATCTTTAGATTGAAGTTAGCGGAGGTCTAGGTAAGTTCAGGCGATATGCGAGTATAATATTTGGAGAGGAGATTGAGTTTCTTTGATGATCTTTCTTTGATGATGATGATGATAATGATGATGATGATGATCTTGGGATTGGGAGTAAGTATTGCTGTTAGGTAGTTATAGTTTTAGATAAGTATGGTATCTTCCTGGTATGATTACCTATATACTCGAGTATATCTAATGGAACTCAACAATAGATAGAGTATTCACATTCCTCCCATTACATTATATTAAATTACTCGATATCTATGAAAGTTTTAATGAGATCTGTGACTTAAATTCGTGGGAATCAGATTGATATCTTATACTAAGAACAAATGTAATAAGTAACTATTCAACTACTTATCTTTCCACCCACCAACCACTCCACCCCTCTACTCAGTACTTCAAATGAATGACTATAGTGGAATTGACAAATCATATAACGAAAACCCATTCATACACCTAATATCCCCATCTCATCCTCATCCTCATATCCGCACCTTATTTAAAGATTATCGTAAAATTTACATTCGTTCGGCTATCAAAATACTAAACCAACTACTCTACTCTACAATACTGTTTTCAATATTCAATACTCTGAAACAGTGAGGTCTAAGTCACAATACTGTGTAAGCCTAATTTTAGAAAAAGTAAAGAAAGCAGATTCACGGTAGCCCAGCCCAGCCGAGCCCAGTCCAGTCCAGTTCAGTCCAGTTAAGCCATGCCATGCTATGCCATGCCATGCCACGATCAAGATCAAGCCCCCCCAAGCCCTGTACTTATTCACCTGCAATACTTACAACCACTGTGTATGCGTTGGATATACTCATACTCTTAGGGGTATTGTATACCCAACACGAATTTCGGCCGGCTGTATATAAAAACGGCGAGGCTGGTCCCGCAATCACGTTTATACATCTTACTTCTTACTTGATAATTTCTTGTTTTTACGCTTTGAAACATCATTATGACATACCTATATTCGTGAGATGGTTATGCATGAATGAAATTATGGTGAACATTGTATTTGCATACATACTGTGTACTTCCAAAACACTTTACACCAACGTGTTGAGCGTGTCGACTCTCGAGCGTGTCAAAAGAAAAGACAGAGGTTGGGGGGGACGCGCTATGCTTCGGGCCCATCCATCCCCTAAAGGCTAAGGCGTCGTTCCTGAAATTAAGAAATTAGGCATTTCTGTATTAGGTTTTAGAGTTATTTGTAGGTACTGATAGGCTATTCAATCAACCAATCAAGGTAATTAGTGGGGGCCATGATACACTAATCAAGCCTGAATTTAGAAGCCCGGTTATTCTTTTCTTATTCCTTCCAAGTTCCCAGCCACATGTTAAACATTTACTCGTATTTGATCTTGGAGCTTTACGCTTTTTATACTTTGCATAGTAAAGAGCTTTTCGTTGAGTTGTTCTCTATCATATTCACTTCATCCAACGTTTTGTTTTTCAATTCGAGATACGAAGCTCTGTGTGTATCTATCACTTTTCTCGACGACAATAATCAATTCGTTCCACAAAGGCATAGGAGATTAAATCTGATTGAAAAAAAAGTGAAACTCCTTTCTTGTACATCCATTACTTTGTTTACTTGTCGATAATTGTCCGATAACAATGGCATCCCCTCCATCCCCACCATAGTAAGTTCCATTCATTCATTTATTCATCTATCACAATCACATTCAACTTCCAATCCCAAACCACACATATACATACACATACACATCACGAATTATCTTGTATGCATTGGCACATTCTAAGAATGCCACGCAACAAATATACGCCCACCGGCTCCATACCATCAATATCCCACCCTTCTCCTCGAGAACCAATTCTACCTTCTAAACCCCAAACTCTAACAAATTCCTCTTCTTCCAGCGATACGATCGAAGATCCTCTGTCCAGTCAGAAAATCATGCAGGCCAATTCTATCCCAGAACCGAGCGAATCTCCAAAATCTCAATTGCATGATGCGATTGAGAGAATTCAGTCGTTGCATAGAAGGAAGGCGCAAATTAAGACGATTTACGAGAATGAGAGACAGTATTTAGATCAGAGGAGTCAGAAGACTAAGAGTAGTTTTGAGGGGTTGATTGTTAGTACGGAGGAACAGATACAAAGTATTAATGAGGTGAGTTACCTACTTCTTTTAGATATTTGCATAGAGCAGATGTGGATAGCCTGGAACTGGAAGCAGCTTGGCATGAAAGTGAAGGGACTCCTTTTAGATTTGCAGATGCTAATCATCAAAAATAATAGTTCCCAGCATTCGACAGTCATCCAGATTACACAGAGGTTAATGGAAAGCTACATTCAGTAGCACTGGACACAAAAGCTCTATTTCAAAATGTCAATGCATTGAGCGAGTCAATTATCATGGCATTGGATTCTTGGTATCAGAAAGAGTTTGACAAGTGCGCATACGAGATTAAGCTTGCGGAGAAAGATTACAAGGTTCGTTCACTACCTTCACCAACCTTCTTCTATATCTTATCTCCCTCCGACGTCCATGCTATGAATTATATAACGAGAACCTTGACTAACCAAAACTCCAGCGTTCTTTCGACACTTGGCAAGATCTCATCAAATCCGGCGACCTCTTCGGCGCATCCGAACCCTTCAAATCCTCCGGCCCCACCACCAATCCCGGTCCCACATCCTCCCGCTCATCCCACCAACTTCAAGACGGCCCCGATCCCCATATGTACGCACCAGGTCCTGCGCAAAATCCCAACACCGGTCTGCATAAATCCGATACCATTACTTCGCACAATAATGCCAGACCACAGAGTAGTAGGACTGCTAGTATGGATATGAGTGGAGCCATGAATGGAGGAAGTATAAATGGTGGGAATGGAGGCGTAAGAGGAAGTGGGATCGGAAATGGGAATACAAATGGAGATATGAATTATCCGCCTAATTCTAGCGAGAAGAGATCAGGGGGGAAGAAGAAACCGTTTAGTTGGTTGAGTGGGGGAAGTGGAAATGGGAAATATATTGAGTAATGAATACAGGGTATGAATCATGACGGATATGGGAGGGAGGATAAAATGGTTTGGATGGATCGACCTGCTTTTGCAAATGGCGTTATGGGGAATACCGGTATTTGAGATGCTGACGCTGCGGCTTTGCATATGATTGTCGAGGAGCGATGATGTACTGGCTGGCGGTGTGGTACATATGAAGAGAGTTGGATTGATACTGGATTGAGAGGCTGATGACCTCTTCTTGGTTTTCAAATGTTTTTTGTGGGGATGGAATGGAACGTATACATATGTAGAGATTAGGTACTTAATTAATGATATATGACTTGATATGATATGATATGTATCATATGATTTGATATGAAACGAGAAATGGATTTCACGGTCGATGATTCTAGAAACTCTATGCTTAAGTAGAGCTTAAGGGGAAGTGAGGTGATGGATGGGGATAGGGATGGGGATATGGATATGAATTTGACACTTCCCTAGCTGGAAAATTTGGCGGTGGTAGGTTTGTTATACTCGTACTTGAGTACATTCGATGAGATGATGAAGCAGCCGATATGATATGATATGATGTGATGGGGGAATAGGATGGATTTCTTGGAAAGATATAGCGTAGCGTAGTAGTGGGGAATGGGAAGGGAGGGGAGTCTAAAATGAATTCATATTTTACTTTACAACTAGAATGGAGAAAGGAAATGGAAAAGGAAAAAGATATCGGAGGGAAGGGGAGGGAAGAGGACGGAATAGGAGGGAATATATGGGGGATGAGCTGTTTGTGGTGTTGTGGAGTTTATGTATCTTTTGAGGTTGAAGAGGTTGAAAAGGTTTATGATTTGTGTACTTGTGCTAGTGCTAATGCTAATGATAATGCTAATGCTTGAATTTTAGGGATATTAGGGGAGAAGAGAGGGGAAGAGAGGGGAAAGGGGGTTTTGTGATAGGGGGGTATGTATGATGGGTGAGAGAGGGGGAAAGGGACTCGGGAGAGATAGAGGGCGAGATTAAAATGATGTGGGAGATGATGTGAAATTCGAAGGAAATAAATCATTTGCAAGACAGTTGTTAGAAAGAAGAAGAACAGGGGACATAGGGGGAAAATATGAAAGATTGTTTGAGTGAGTTGATAGTAGAAGGAAGGATAGGAAAAGGGGATGGGAAAGAGAGGGTTGATGGTTGTGGTGGGAAATGATTTCAAGTGAAGTGAAGTGAAGTGAAGTGGAGAGAAGGGGGATGGGGATGGGGATTGGGAAGAGGATGAGAAATGGGTGGTATAGAGGGGGGTATGGAAATGTGGGAGTGTTGGCTTCAAAAAGGGGAAAGCACTAGCTGGAAGGGGAAGAACGTCGGAAAAGGAGAGGGAGGAGGAGGGATGAGCTGTACCGTAGTGGTGGAATAGATGTGGAATAGATACTCGAGTATATAGCTGGGTGTACCGTGTATCTAATGTAATCAATTCTTTTCTTTAACATATACCAGGTGGCATACACCTTTCTCACCAAGCAAAAGGGTCAGATGAGAATATCATAAGTGTTTGTATCGAAAATCAATATCATATATGAAATATGAAAAGACATGAGCAATATCGCACTACTTTCCCACAAAGATGTAAGATTATAAAAAGTATCGCACGTTAAACTCAATTTTCAATACCTAAACTGAGATTCGACAGTTAAATAGTCACTTGGGCTTATAAGTCCCTATTACACTCTTCATTGCTTCAATATCCCACTGCAAATTTGATAACAAAAGGAACAATCTCTCAAACTGCTTATATGCCTCGAAGTTGAAAAGAAATATGCTTTCATACACGATCTATTTCATATCTCCAACATCGCGTATTCCCACTCTCCCAATAAGTATCGTATACCGGTATGTGTGTGATTCTCAAATATATTAACTTAGGGGTTAAGTGAAGGAAACTCGTACTCGTGCACTATTGATTGATATACCGGTATGTAGATAATGACTAAGAAAAAAGTAACAATTGTGAAATTGGCTAGAGAGAGGGAGAGGATATCAACTGTAAAAGCTAAGGCTATAAGCGGTTACGACTAGAGTACCTTTTGTTTTGATCATCAGGATATGATGATGTATGACTTCCTGGGCGGAATGAGAGATGACTCGAGAGTAATAGGGGAAGATTGTGGAATGGATTTTATTTTATCAGGTGTTGTAATCGCAAAGAGTTTTTCTATTGGAAATTCAACGTTTACTTGTGTCAATTATATCACCTGAGTTTGAAATTTCCAAACTCCTTTCTCGCGCGGAAGAGCAGCTACATATGTGGGAGTTTGCAAGATCATTTCCTGTATATATATGAAAATTATCATCCCCTCCATCAAATACCTGATCGTGTCCGACAGTCTTTGCGTAGTGGTTAATCTCATGCGCTGTGACCGATCTCTTGGGTGGATGGGTGGGGTGTTTGATTCGCGATAGTCTATGATCTCATGTCGAAGAATTCAGCTGGAAATACATATCGGTTCAGAGGAATCTTTCTAGGTGGTACTCAGGGGCCGTTGGTGTTGCTATTTTCATTACTTGGGTTTTGGGAAGGGACGCGTCATTGTGAGTGGAGTAATATATGGCCGTCGGAAGCTGAGGAGGTAACCAATAGTAGCCTGTTTGAGTCCAAAGCAATCTAATTATCTCAGCAGGAAGACTTGTATACTTACCTCTCCTTCCTAAGTGTATACTCAGGACCCGTTTGAAATTATAAGAAGTGGTGTTGGTGGAAAAAGGTTGAGATTCAGGCGGATTGAGGTCGAATTCGTGGTTTCGGCGTACTTTCCTAATCAAAACAGACAATCATACGACAATCGAAATTCCCAAATATTGACGGTCTAACACTCATTTCAAGACACTTAATTTAGATGTAAATGAATAAATCATCATGTCAATGGTGCTATTGAGTGATGATGGTTGATGGTAGTTGATGTATCCGCTCTGGAGAGAACTTTCCTTCCCTTTTAATGTCGACGATCCATTCAATATGGAAGCAAATTATGAGCTCGAACGGCTCGCAGAGTCTAATTTGTCCGCCACAACTGATATGGACAGGACTGACGTTGGCGATTGTAAGCACCACCTTTCATTAGACGAAGCTGCTAGGCTAGAAGGCCCCTCGTCTTGCAATCAAGCTTTCCACTTGTATCTTCAAGTTGTGCCTCTTTATTGCAGTATTGCATTCAGATCTTCACTGGAAGCATATCCAAGAGCACTTAATGGGTTTTGCAATATGAGTTTTGAATGAAGTTAGAAAAAAAGTAAATATCCTGTGATAGGACTTGCAAAATGGATTTCGAAAAACGTAGACAAAAGTATATATCCTATGTCACAATCATCTCAAATCGGGGAATATCAAGTCAGTATTTTTCAGGAAGGATATCTATAAAAGGTGTACATCATTCTTCGACTATCTTACCAGCCCCAGAAGTTCACAGTAGAGCAAATTAAACCCGATGTATCATCGGATCTTTGAGGCCTATGTGTTGTTCTGATATCTCCAAAAAAAAGTTATGGTGTTCGAATGGGTGGGTGTTAATCATCCTTTTCAACTAAAAGGACCCCAAGGCTAGTGAAAGTTTTCATTCACTCTTCAAATGGCCAGCAACCGAAATATCCACTCGAAGTTCAGATGATTTTCGTCGCGTATCTAGGTATTGAAACAAATGAATGATATATGAAGGATCGACGATGAGATGAAAATCGTTAGTAAGAGCAGACTCGGTTATCTCAAAAGAAATCCCCGGTGAGGTGTCTCCTTATTTTGCTGACATAAATTCACTCCACTTTTATGGCCGCTTTTACCATTTCCATTTCCATTTCCATTTCCATTTCTGGATTCTGCCATTCTCTAACCTTATAAGTTAATTTTAAGTCGATAACGGTCAGCCAGCTTAGGACGATGAACTGAAGAGGACAACAACGATTCCTCCATATACATACATAAGACCAATTACGACTAATACCACCACATTGGCTCATATAGTCATGATAACTACAATTCTTAAAATCTGTTAATGCCGAGTTTATTAGAGGCTTTGCGCCTCAAAACCTCTTGATCCTCATACCTTTTTCTATCTAAGCAAGAATTGGGTAGACTGAGGAGCTGGTCCCGAGTCACCAAATGTCTTGGGATTTGTTAAAACGCTTTATTGAGTCTGATGTTTTCAATCAGAATCCATTCCTCTCCGTAGCCTACCTATCGTAAGCTATTTACCCCTTTTCAATCAATCGCAGATTCCATATACTGATTGCTCGAGATGGCAGACGATATGCGGATCATGTTGGGATACATTATGTTCTCTGCTCGAAGTTGCGACAATTCAGTTATGAAGAGATTGAATTCTTCCTTCCTCAACTGTGCCACCTAATTATAAGTGTCAATAATGAGTCGGTGGCTCTGGAAGAATTTATTCTGGATTTGTGCGAGGACTCGGTCAATGCCGCATTATTGGTGTGTTTGGAGAGAACGACATGCGAAACGGAACACTCCACTAACTAGAATCGCAGACATTCTGGCTATTTCAAACATACCTTCACGATCTTTCCGCGAATCCCCAATCGGACGCCTTCAAGACATGCAGAAGAATATATAACAAGGTCCAGCATATCGTATTCGGGGTGAACGAAACTCCAACGAAGAAAATCAGTGAGAATGTCTTACCTGTTACGGTTCTGGCAAGTTTCGTTCTAGCAAGTATTGCAGTGCCATTTCTACCAAAATGGGCTGGACCACTGGCCATTTCGCAGGCACGAAAACCTCAAAGTACTGAGAATGTGGTCGCAGACACCAGTCAGATGCAGACACAGAAGATTGTTCGAAGCCACACGATGACACCAGGATCTACGCGGACGAAACAGAGGAGAGAAGCTGCGAGAAATGCGAGTGCCCCAGGTAGCGGTCCGAATAGTGCTGGACCCTCGGATGCCCCACCCGATTTGGCTCGATCAAACTCCTTAATACGACCCACCTCGTCAAAATCTAGCCGAAAAGTACCCTTAGAACATATAAGGCCCTCGTATCTAGACCTTAGAGCATTGGATCTTCGAAACCAGAGCACATCATCTCTACCAGAATTACGAGACTCAAACATACCTAGCAGACCGGCAACACCTGTCACAGCTGGTCTCCCAACAAGGTTGACTGAACCCATCAATAAAAGATACTCGCAACATTCCCACGCTGGGAAAATCCAGACCCCAGCATCATTAAACCACAAACAGAAAGTTAAACTTTTAAGGCAAAACTATTTCCGTTCCCAAACCCAATTTCTGACAGCTCTCGAGGACATATCAAATCGTCTAGTTATTGTTCCAAAGCCAGCGCGTCTTAGTGCATTGCGTGCGGAACTTGCTATTATTGCGCAGGATTTACCGGCGGAAGTTGATATTCCAGTTATTTGTCCCGCTACTCTTGTGGATGGAATTCCCAGTAAAAGTAAACATCACCGTATTGTTCGTTTGAACCCCGCCGAAGCGACTGTATTGAATAGTGCAGAGAAAGTACCGTATCTTTTGATGGTAGAGGTACTTCGGGATGACTTCACCTTCAACCCGGAAACTCTAGACAACGAACGTTTATTGAGCCGATTAGTCTCAGAGGAGGGAACCCATAAGAGACGTAGATTTGACCTCTCGGAATCTGGACGATCATACGGTAGTAACAGCATCAAAAGTACGGAAAATACCCCCGATAGTGTTTTTGAGCCAAGCAATGGCGATTTGGGCAGCTCACCATTAATCAACGAAACAGATCAAGATGATGAGGATGCTCAAACGCCAAGTTACAACAAGGAGAACTCAACAGCTCCTCAGCCGACACGAATATCGAGTGGTACGACAACTAAGTCGAGTTTTTCCAGCCTTGCAACATCGAGGACATCCGGAACCTCAACATCAAGATCTACCAGTCCGACGCCGAAAAGAAAAATGACGATTCCCGGAGCGGGTCGATCAGGAGAGAAAGACCAACCGGACTTTTCCACTCTTACAACACATATCAGGACCGCTACACAAATGCTTACCCAACTCAATTCAGCGAGTGGAAAGCGACCCAAACATGAAGTTGATGCAATTCGTCATAAGATCATCGCCAGTATACAAAGTCTGGAAGAACAAAGCTACGATTCAGATGATGGTGGACAGTCACAGACGTTCGATATGATCATGGAAAAGGCAAACGCAGCAGCAGCAAACGTTGTACCGGAAGATATCGAGGAAGAATCACCATCTGATCCGGACGCTGTTATCAACGTTGGAGCTGGTGCAGCTCGAATGGAGAATGATCAAAAGACCGGTGGGGTTCAGAGAAAAGGGGATAGAGATGATCCGAGCGCTGCGACATTTGGAGAAGCCTGGAACGTCAAGAAAGAACGAATCAGGAAGTCTTCGCCATATGGGTGGATGAAGAACTGGGATGTCTTGAGTGTTATAGTGAAAACGGGTGCTGATTTACGGCAAGAAGCCTTTGCATGTCAGCTCATCCAGTGCTGTGATAAGATTTGGCAGGATGCAGCAACTCCAGTTTGGGTCAAGCGAATGCGAATTTTGGTCACTGGAGAATCGTCTGGTTTGATTGAGACAATTACGAATGGTGTATCTCTACACTCACTGAAGCGTAGTCTCACACTTGCCACGATTGAAGCAGGACAGAATCCTAGAAGGAGAATTGCAACATTAAAAGACCATTTTGTCAAGACTTTTGGACCTCCGGAAAGTGATGCATACAAAGCTGCAGAAGACGCATTTAAAAGATCACTTGCGGCGTATAGCATCATATCCTACGTTTTGCAGCTCAAAGATCGACACAATGGTAACGTTCTGATTGACAACGAAGGGCACATAATTCACATTGACTTCGGATTTATGCTTTCTAATTCTCCCGGGTCGGTTGGCTTCGAGGCTGCCCCTTTTAAATTAACGCAGGATTATGTCGATGTTTTAGGAGGTGTCGGATCCCCGGCATTTGATGATTATAAAAAGTTATGCAAGCAAGCTTTCCAAGGTATGGGTTCTCACGATATCTACAGTATATGACGAAATTTAACACAATGCAGCATTACGGAGATCAGCGGATCGTCTCATCGATCTCGTTAGTATGATGGGACGAGAATCAAAGATGCCTTGTTACTCATATGGTGTTGTACAAGCAACAAATAGTCTCAGGCAGAGGTTTCAGCTGCAGATGAGTGCGGATGAGGCAGAAGCATTTGTGGAGACGGACTTAATTGGGAAGTCGTTGGGGAGTTATTACACACGACTGTATGTTTTCTTGCTCATTTTTTTGGTTGATGAGATGAATGCTAATTGAATGAATAGATATGACACCTTCCAATATCGTACGCAGGGTATATATTAGATGGCGGAGTAGGTAGGCATGCTGGACAGTCTCTTGGAGAAGCTGGTAGCGTTCGGATTTGAATGCATTGTGAATGGCGTGGCGTTGGATAATATCATTGAGCTGATTGATTTATGTATGGCATTTGCAGAGCAGCTATTGTGAAAGGGGGACGAAGCATCTTCCTGGTAGGGTTGAGAGGAAGACGGAGAGGAAGAGCTCTGATCTTTTTCGCTATAGAAACGACTTGACTTGACCGTTCAGACGAGGTGGACATTTCAATATGATGAAATATAAATGAGGATCTACTGTATTCTCAGCACTTAACCAAAAAGTCTTTACTGTTTTGGCTAGCTGACGTAAGTGGGAAAGTGATTAGTGATCCTTTCTCACGCTTTCATTCCGTTATCAATACGCAGAACCATTGGAGTCGAGAATATTGCTGGACAAAGTATTTGGGGAAAGGGATATTGAGGTACTGTATTTGATTTCCTACATGGATTTGTGGAATTGTACGGGTGATGTTCGAGTTATGGGGTTATGCTTTGAGATCACCGCAATTATCGATTTGATTGGTCTGTTCAAGGATCTACACAAGTAGCATGTTAGTCTCCAGATTTTGCCTCGAGGTGATTGTGATTCTGGACTCGTCTGTTCCAGATGATTGCAGTAATCCTTGACTTATATATCCTGCAACGGTATACGAGTTTTAGAGACTCTATTTCTTTCCTCCACATCATCACGGACCTCGACTCATTCTGGGTCCTTGACCCAGAAAATCGGTTAGGTTATCTAGTTACAAGTAATGTCCTCCGCCTCGTGTACATCAGTACCTACCTAGTGGTGGCAAGACTTTGGAAGGATCGGATAAATAACAAATGCATTAAGCTCTTTACATTCAAGGAAGAAGATGATCCGATTTTCTCTAATACAGTCATTTACATGGAGCAGAGCCAATTGGCCAAGTTCAATGTGAAGTCTTACAATGAGCAAACCCCGCATTGAGGCTTACTCCATGGGGTCGAACCTTTTAGCAGGCGTCTAGGCGTTGGCAGGGTAAGTGAGGTTTAAACCCTGTCCTGTCAAAAATGTGGAGTAATAAATAGGCTAAATACATCACCAGCCTTTTCTCTTCCATACAAATATCACAAAATTTCCACCAATGGATGAACATCAGCATGCGGTTTGGAAGACATCCTCGGATGTTCGAATGTAGATTTGACGTGGTTGTCTTCCTCTATTTAGGGAATTGGTGGTGATCTATAGTGATCTGTGGTGTCGAGAGGATGCGTGAATGGGGAACAGGGAAATCTTCCAATTATCCATGTTCCAGCACAGAGGTTCGGTTTATCCGGTGCAGCGCATGCTACCTAGCTGCACCAATTGAGTGAATGGCATGAAAAGGTCGTGCTACTCCTCATATATACCTAGATATAGTAGTACCATGTCACTTCGCGTTCTGCCCGCCAAGAATTTTGTTCTTGAAATCTTTTTTTGTTGGAGGACTGCCTGATCTTTGAGCTTGACAGTAGATCAAGCAGAACAAGCACGACAGGATGGGAAAGCTTTTTAATATATCATTGGCGGTATTTGCAGCCACTGGGTGAGTTTACCTTTTCTTCGGAGCATCTTCTGAAGTAAGGCCTGAATTTTTGACATGAAGTTTTCAGATCGTTCCTTTTTGGTTACGATGCAGGTGTTATGACAGATGTAATAGCCTCCCAGAACTTCCTCACCTTCTTCAACACCACGCAAGATTCTGCCATTATCGGTGCCATCAACTCGACTTTCAATGGCGGTGCTGTGTTCGGTGCCCTTCAGGGTGGTCTTACTATGGATCGATATGGTCGAAAGATCACCATTCTCATCGGCGCATTGATCTGTCTCGTTGGAGCGATATTACAAACTGCTGCGCAGAACCTGGGAATGATTCTCGTGGGTCGTATCTTCACAGGATGGGCGGTCGGTTTACTGAGTATGGCTGTACCGGTCTACAATGCCGAGTGTGCGGATCCAAAAATTAGAGGATTGATTGTAGGGTTGAGTCAACAGATGATTGGAGTGGGCTTTATCGTGTATGTTGTCTCTGTCTGCGGGATTCTAGGATGAAATACTGACACGATGGAAGATCAACTTGGGTAGGGTATGGCTGCGGTGTTGCATCCGATGCTAGCGCAATTCAATGGCGAGTTCCACTCGCTGTACAAATGATTCCTTGCGTTATCCTCGCATCCGGTATTATGTTCTTTCCCGAATCACCTCGTCATCTCATGGAAACCGATCGTGAAGACGAAGCATTGAGAATTTTGAGAAAGCTACATTTCACGGGCTCAAACGATGAATTCATCGTGAAGGAGTTTAATGAAATCAAGCAAACAATTGCGGCCGAAAAGGCAATTACGGTACCGGGATGGAGGATCATGTTTACAGTACCACAATGGCGAACCAGATTAGGTCATGGAGTCGCGGTTCAGATGTTTACTCAGTTCACTGGAATCAGTAAGTTTCAAGAGGCGACATAAGCAGAGGAATCACTAATATGATATAGATGTTATCGGGTACTACCAAAATATCATGTACAAGTCATTGGGAATTACCGGGAGAAAAGCTTTACTCGTCTCAGGAATCTATAACTGCATGGGACCTTTGGCCAGTAAGTCAAACATGCCACCAATGACATGATCCTCCGAAAACAAGAAACTAAGATAAATCTCCAGATCTCGTCTTCATCACCTTCCTAATCGACCGAGTCGGGCGCCGCAAGCCTCTCCTCTGGGGAACCGTCGGCATCACTCTCGCCCTTGTCTGCCAATCCATAATCAACAGCCGCATTGATCCAGAAAATGCACAACATGGACTTTCTATCGCCGGTGTCTTTTTTATCTTCTGCGTGACGGTTATTTTTTCGCTATCATGGGGCCCTATCTCCTGGGTCTACATGTCCGAAGTAATGCCCATGCAAATCCGTGCTCGTGGAAATGCTTTTGCGACTGGAATTGGAAATTGGCTTGTCGCTACTTTCTGGGCGCAGATCTCTCCCCAAGCATTGAGTGCCTTGACGTGGAAATTTTATTTCTTGTTTGCCGGTTCGTCGATTTGTTTTTCTTCTACTTAACCCCTAAATTTCTTCAAAACAGAATACTAATGAACTACCGCACAGCATGGAATGTAGTAATAACCATCCCCATCGTCTTCCTCTTCTTCAAAGAAACCAAACAACTCTCCCTCGAAGAAATCGATCTTCTCTTCGGCGAACGTGCACTGGGTACCCTACCCGACGATATCTCAAAGAGAATCGAGCATCCAGGTGCTGTTGAGACTGAGCATTACGAAATGCATGCTAAAGCTCAAGACCAGGTTTAGAGGTTGTGAAATGAGATTATATGTTAATAAATCGTCTTTGGGAAAAGGTAGAGAAATATGTTTGAGCTAGTGGAGACGCATTAGGTCTCAACTTTGGGTGAAGAATTCGACGGCCATGCGTTATTTTGGTTGAAAGTATCTACCTCAATTACGGATTATCTAAGAATCAAAGTGATGTGTGTATGGATATGATTGCTAAATAATGAAAGATTGCGTATTCGTTTCTCGTGAAGTACTTGAACTATTCCTTTTTTTCAAAATTCGACAGTACATTACAATGAGGAGTTATACAACTCTCCATCAGAGTTTCGAATCCAAAAATAAACGTTTACTTCTGTTTATGTAGTTTACAATAGCCAAACGGGTTTCGGTGGTGATTAAATGTCCAAAGAAAAGGAGGTCGCTTGCTAGACAAGTTCTGAGTGGTCATTAAGACAAGCATAAGCAATTCGTTCCACCTCATTGATTTTCTTTCATTCATTTTTTATTTCAACGAGTATCCCTTGTGGTCGGCACACTTTAAATAATCTAATCTATAAAGAAGCATTATTATCCAAGAACAGCCACTGTAGACTGCAGACAAAGGATATTGATTTTTCTACAAAGCGAACATTGATGATGGTTAATTTCACGAAAATTCAATGGATGGGATGATTTTTTAGTATGAGAGCATCTTGTACTCAATTACGATCAAAGCTTTTGTGCATTGGCTATACACGGCGGTATATAGATGCATTGAAGCTAGGCATACGCAAGTTCGTATCAACATGTCGTTACTATTGATCGGAGAGACCAACTCGGAGGCGACACGTCGTCTTGGGTTTGATCCCACCAAGGAGCCTCCAGACTGGTATCGAATGTCCAGGTCCGAAAGAACCAGTCGCGGCAGAGCATGGCTGAATTCCGAACCTCTTTGGAAAACGGAGAGTAGGATGGGACCTGTACTCGAATGGAGGGGAATCAAAGTGTTGGGAGTAGGCGGCAACGGAACCGCAGGACAATGGCAATTGCGTCACGGGAGACCTCCTGTAGGCGAACCGGGCAGAGTGCCATTCAAGACTTGCGTCGTGAAACAACAAGCGGGAGGACATGGCGATATGAGAAATGAAGCAAAGACATACGAGTTGCTGCGGCATATTCCATCTCAACATCTGGTGAAAATGTATCGGAAAATGTATCGCGATGAAGGACTTAATACCCTACACGCGGATAGGAAAGGTCCTGTGAGCAGAATCTACCTAGAACATTGTGAGCGGGGGGATCTGATGGACGCGATAAGAGGTCACTTTTTGCAAAGGTAGGTTGTCATACACCAAACGATGGGTCGCATACTGACTTGCCAGACTGTATTTTGAGGAATTCGAAGTATGGGATGTGTTCCATTGCTTAATCCGCGGCATATACGCTATGCATTATGGACATGAAGATCTTAACAGGGCACGATGGGAACGAGATGAGATAGTCCATTTTGATCTCAAAGCGACAAATGGTAAGCCGAGAGCCCCGGGCCCGTTGTCCATATCACACCATATCTACCATGCCCAGTTTTCTTGGCTGCGGCCCAGACGGACGAAGAACACAAGGGAGCTCCTGTACTCAAGGTATGATCATCGAGTTGCGATCCGAAGGCGAACTTCACAACACCCGATCAAATCCCTAACACCAAATATTAGATTGCCGATTTCGGAAGTGCCGCCGAGGTACGCGTGGAGCAAGATCTCGCTTACAATTTCCACTACAGGTTTGATGGCACGCAGAGGTACAAACTACCCGTAAGTCAGCCCTCAAATGCATGTTCATATAGCCATTAACTTAGTGCACAAGGAACAACTTAGAACTCGACGAGTTCCACTTCAGCGACCTTGGATGGAAAAAGGTGTATGTGAACCGTTAATTCCCCACCGTCTTCGACCCAGCCCTTTCGTGAAAACACTAACCCTTCATTTTAGTTGAAATCTATGCGCGAGGCAGGCGATGGAAATGTCCTCAACAATCTTCGCTATGGCACTGCCTCCAACGTGTGGCATCTTGGACTCATCATGTGGCAGATGATCAATTGTACTGAATGGTCCGAGGATGGCAGCCAACAAAAGATTTATCACTACATGGGCGACATCGCTTGGGAAGACGATAGTGAATATCGACCTGGCGGCCGTGAAAGATTTGATCTTAAACTATTTCGAGTGCCGCAAACGTGGCTAGGCATAAATGAAGAGGCAGGGGGGGTGGATACTCTTGCTACGCAAGACGATATTAACTATTGGAACGGGGAATGGGACGAGATACCATTCGACCCCGACGCCGAGCCAGACGAGTCAGAAGAACGACGCGAGGCGAGGAGAATATTCAATGGAGTAGAGAACAATGCGAGGGCAGCCTTTCGCGCAAAACGAAAATACAGCGACGAACTACACAAACTGGTGATGGATTGTTTGATCGTGCAGCAGGAGGGCCGCATACACATCGAAGACCTTTACGAAACAACCCTCAAGTTCAAAAAAATGTGGGTTGAAAAAGTCGGACCCGACCAACCACCCCCCTATTTCCCCGAACCTGCACTCGGGCCACTGCCACCGCCTTGGGATGATACCACGACCCAGCCTGGCTTGGGTCTCGGGGCTCCTGTCCCGGAGCATCTTCAATCATATATCCTCCCTGAATTTGAGCTCTTTTTCGCGAACTTGGAACATGACAAGGCGCAATTGGCTCGCGAGTGGGCGAGGGATAATCCGATTGAGAATGTGTCTGATGCGGATGATAACTTGGTAGCAGGACTCATATTGAGGAATCGAAGGCATTGGAATGATTATGCAAAGGCTATGAGCGCTTATCAGGGACAGAGAGCGAGACCCGTGTACGAAGATCCGCCGCCGTTTCCAGAGGGGCTTAAACTTGGTACTGAAACTGGAGATCAAGGTGGTGGTGAAGGGGGAGAAGGTGAAGGGGGAGGAGGTGGAGGTGAACGGGGAGATGGAGGTGGAGGAGGTGGAGATGGAGGAGGTGGAGATGGAGGTGAAGAAGGAGGAGGAGGAGGTGGTGGAGACAGACCAACCTCCCGACGCCCTTTACACAAAGGCGAACGACAAGTACCCGTACCCTCTCCCAAAAAATCCAAAGAACCATCTGACTTTGACGCCGACGATGACGACGCCACGCCCAGCTATTTAAAAAACTTCAGATCTACGCCCTCGTACATGAGAGGGAAAAACCCCCTGTCTGGAGATACAGAAGGCGGCGAGCCGTCACCGGCTGGAGATGCTGGCGGAGGTCTGGGAGGGCTCCGAAAGATCTTGAGTCAGAGGCGTGAGGAGAGTGAGAGAGATTTGCGCTCTAGGAGTCGTAGGGCTATGGAATCGGAGGGGATTTCGGGAAGTGGGTTGAATCGGAGGAGAAGGGGTACTGGCAAGGATAAAGATAAAGATGATAAAAAGGAGAAGGAGGAGAAGGAGAGAGAGAGAAAGAGAGATAAAGAAATAAGAGACGAAGAGAGGAGAGAGAAAGAGAGGAGAGAGCAGGAGAGGAGAGAGCAAGAGCGGGAGAAAGAGAGAAAGAGAGATAAAGAGATACGAGACGAAGAGAGGAGAGAAAAAGAGAGAAGAGAGAAAGCGAAAGGTAAACACCCAGACCCAGACCCAGATCCAGACCCCGACCCACCACCCCAATGGCTCACCTTCCCCACCGGCCTCCAACCCAGCGTCAAAAAACCAATCCTCCTCCGCGCTCTCAGCATCCCGGAACTTAAAAACACCATAATGTTCTGCACCGTAGTCGAGAAAAGCGGCGAAAAAGATATCGTACGAGGTATTATCTATCTCACCGGACTAATGCCCACCACGACCGTGCTACAGATAAAAGAGATGTTGACCGAGGAAGCGACGGGGATCCCTGTGGATGATATGAAGTTGATGGGGGAAGATCGGTTGGGGGGTTTTCGGGAGTTTGAGGATGATGAGATGAGGGGGGCGATTTTTGCTATTGAGCTTTTTGTTCATGATATTACGAAGATGGGTTATTGAGATGAAATGAGATGATATGATATGAGATGTGAGGACGTTTTGGGGATGGGATGGGATGAGATAGAATCGTTTCGTTTCGTTTAATTCCCTGTATTAATACTTTCTTTCTCTCTTCCCGAAACTTAGTGCGTAATTGTCCCAACTAGATCAAGTAGATCAAATAATTTGTAAACCCCAGATTAGGGAACCCTGGGGTATCTCAATATATTTCCACTACCAGTTTTGAGTGATATTTTTAAATAGTACTGCCTATTCTATCCGTAGACTTTTACTACTATTTATCGCAAATACATACTATTGGCCAACTACTCGAGTAGTGACTAAGCCCTAGATACCAAACACTTGTTTGTGGCTATTTCCCTCGTGATAAAACGTGCGTATCACTTTACTTTCAGCGAGGAAGAAGTGGTATAAAATCTAGATGCCTCATTTATATTGTAATCAGAGCCATGATAACGCCTTCGGGTCTACCCGCTAATCTGCGACTCGCTTTCTAAATAGTATGATAACAGAAATAAAGGCACACGATGGCCATCCATCTAGCCAGACCGATGGCAAAATACCTGCCGTCCCATTTTCCTTAGATAGTAACGCCATTGGGTTCACTCGTCAAATCCCCGTTGACGCTATTAGCCAACTCAGCCTTCAAACAATCTTCCGTGACCCGATCTAAGCATCCTGATGCCGCTGCCACGAATCCCAAGTACGATTTACTTGGAGCCAAGACTCGGGAGAGGTATTCCGGGTGGAATTGTACACCCACGTACCAAGGATGATCCTTTATTTCAACGATCTCCATTCTCTCACCCTTGTCGTCCTTTCCTACAAATTCAAGGCCACCAGTGTGAAGTCGGTCAACATACTCGGGATTGACTTCATAGCGGTGACGATGACGTTCGTGGACTGTTGTTTTCTCGCCATAAAGTTTACGGAGACGAGACCATTCCGATCCTGGTTGAAATTCTGTTGGACGTAATCCAAGGCGCATGGTTCCACCAAGGTTCACCTTGTCAATCTCTGGCATGTAAACAATGACTTTGTCAGATGACTTTTCATCCAGCTCCTCTGAAGTAGCAGAGGTGATGCCACAGACATTGCGGGCGAACTCAATGACGGCAATTTGCATACCAAGACAAATTCCCAAATAAGGTGTCTTGTTGGTACGTGCCCACTTTGCAGCTGCAATCATACCCTCAGTTCCGCGATGGCCGAATCCTCCAGGGACGAGAATACCGTCTGCAGTACAGATCTCATGCCATGCCTTGTGGAACTCAGCTGGATTCGCACTCCTGGCCTCATCCTCGAGGTTCGAAGCATCGACCCAGATTAAATTGAGTTTCTTGCCGCATCGCATCGCTGAATGCTCGAGAGATTTGATGACGCTAAGGTATGAGTCGTGAAGGGTGGTATATTTGCCGACAAGAACAATGGAAACATCGTCAAATACACGCTCTTGCTGACTCGTCAGAGACTTCCATTCAGTCCATGTCCTTTGACCTTTATCAATAACAGCTTTGGCCATGGTGATTTCGTCGAGGTTGAGGATTCTGTTGAGTGTGGGGATCAGACCCTGCCTTTCGAGGAGTAAGGGAACGTGGTAAGTCGATTTAACGTTGTGTACCCCAATGACCTGTTCGGATTCAACTTGACAGAACATTGCGATCTTTTCGATGGTGCTTCGTTCGAGTGGGATATCGCATCGGCAAGCAATCTAGCATCATTAGCCTTCAAAATACCACAATTTTCGGGATGAAAAGTTTACCAAGTCTGGAACCAATCCAGCTCTACCAACGTCTCTGATGGCCTGTTGTGTTGGCTTCGTCTTCTGCTCGCCTTGAATGACCGGCACTAAAGAGACATGAATTTGCAAGAAGTTGCCCTTTCCAGCTCTTCTCTTCAATTGTCTCATAGCCTCGATGAAAGGGGCACTCTCAATATCTCCAACGGTACCACCCAACTCAATGATGCAAACATCCGGAGCCTCCTTTGTATCATCAACTGGGATTTGCGCAACTCTCTCAATCCAATCTTGAATTGCATCGGTTAAATGTGGTACGACTTGTACAGTCTTTCCGAGATAATCGCCTTTGCGTTCACGCTCAATGACATGTTGATAGACCTTGCCCGTGGTAATATTATTTTCGCGAGTGAGTGTGATGTTGAGATAGCGCTCGTAATTTCCGAGGTCGAGGTCCACTTCTCCGCCATCGTCGAGAACAAAGACTTCTCCATGCCTATATACTCGCTCATTAGCCCAATCCCGAGTTTCGCAAATAGGTATAGTAGACGCACTCGGTAGGGGCCATGGTTCCGGCATCGACGTTCATATAAGGATCGATTTTGATGGATGTGACGTTCTTTCGAAGTTAGCCTAAAGCTTCTGTCTAAGGTATTGTATCTGGGGAACATATCTTCAATCCAATCGTCTTAAGTAACAAGCCAGTGGAAGAGGCTGTTGTGCAACCACTTCATCAGCATAGCACTCAATTTATGACTTATGTTATTCCCCAATGATTCGTATTGAAACGTACCAATGACGCCCTTTCCAATGCCGGAAATCACACCTAGATGCTATGTTAGATCTTATTTTCTTCAATTCAACCACAAGATACATAGAGAAATCATGTACATACCTCCAGACACAAGAACGTACTTCATCTTGACAAATTTGACGAATTTATGGTACCCTTCCTGGCTTTTGCCAGAGGGAAGGAGGGAAGAAGCAAGAAAATCTCAGATGCGCGGACAGAAAGTTTTTGGTGGTGGGGGGCAGCCGTGTGATAAACTAATCCTATCTTGGATTAAAGTAACTAGCATGAGTCACTGTTCATTGGCGGGGGTCAATAATTGTTTGTGGCTGGTGACACTCAGCTTTTCAGCCTCGCAACCTCGTGTGGCACAGCTTCGCTTCATATATTGTCGGTAAATTCTCTTATGATTGCTAATTGCTGTGATTGATCATTTACTCCTATTTAAATAGTTAGAAAGAAGGTAGATAGATAGACAGAACTAATTGGATTTGGAATAGGCTTCTCATATGTATTATCAATGTACTCGAGTAGTTGACGAAGGATTCAAAGTTGCCTAAAATTATCTAGATAATCTAGGTAGCTAGTAGCCAAGACAAGGTAGCTAGAGCTAACTCAAGAGAAGGAAGAATAGGATTCATATAATAAAGAAATGTATCATTGTAAATTGCTATTTGGTATATATTCGTATTCATTGCTATATCAATCATTGCTATAATAACAATCTGTTAAAATGCAAAACTTGCCGTGGAGTTTGATCATGATATCAAAGTTTCCCCAAAAAGCCAGTACAATATCAGTACAGCCCAATGCCGATGCTCTCGTTCCTCATAATTTCATAACGTCATACTGTTGTTCAAACATCGTTACCAAAAAAAAAGCAAACATTTTGAGACGCTAACGCCGGCCTTCAATGGACCAACATTTAATCCAATGCAAAAATCAAACCTCGCAAGTCTTCGTCTTCATCATCCAAGCCAGCTTTCACTGGTTTTTTCGCTGGCGTCCCATCAGTGTGGGTAGGTAGATCAGAACTGCGTTACATGCCGCCCATTTCATCGTCATCATCGTCGTCATCATCATCCTGTCCCCCTTGGCCAACCATTGCGATCGTCCTCGCATTTCCTTTCTTGATCTTGAGAATATTGGGATACCCTTGGCTAACAAGAGATTTTGCCAGGTCAGAGCTAGGTCTCATACCTTCGAAGTCTTTGGCATTGTGGACCTTGAAAATGTTGCTCAGCAACGGACTCATAATTCCATTTTTTTGACCCTTTCCCATTGCCGCTGGATCAATTAACGTCAATCTAAACTTCAACTGATAGTCACCCGGAAATCGAACGGACAAGTCGGCAAAAGTGAAGAAGAATCGTTCATCTCCATGAGGGTCTACAGCCTTGAAACCATTACAGACCATCGTTCCTACCATCCTCCTTTGGTTTCGACGGTCACTGCTTCCCTCAATCTTGTCGTCCTCGCAATTCGTGTATGGATTCCACAACGTGCAATGCACTATCGGCATAAATCTGCTAAGTACCTTCTTTCTGTCCTTCGGATTGATCGCCTGACCTGTATCCTTGTCAAACACTTCCAGTGTCAGAATCGGCGGTGGATCTATCATTCTACGATCCTTATCCCCGTACCCACAAGCTCGTGCGGATATGGGTTGTTGCATGACAACCAGTTTGCATTCTGGCTGTGGGCGGGGTGGAGGGGGCCTTGAAGTATAATGAGTCTTCATCCATTCACAATGGATACCAAAAGAACATACCTAGGAGGGGCAAATGGACCATGGTGATGAGTCGCGACAGATCCTTCCCTGATCGCGAACACTCCTGACATGGGTGTTGGGGGACCGCTCGAGTATGCAGTAGGTGGGCTTTGCGAATGCATAAAGGAACGTTCAAGCTCCCGAGGACTTCGTTGTTGCTGGTGCAGGTACATCGGTCGATCTAAAGCCACTGGAGATCGTGGTCCTTGTGACGGTGGGCGATACGGTTCCTCAAATGCCTGACCATCCTCAACTTGTCCCAGCGGTAGAGACGATAGTAATGAAGATATAGGGGGAAGTCTTGGGGGGTTGAAGTTTGGCATTTGTGCCCTGTCATCGCCATTGTCTTGATATGGGAGAGGCTCTCGTCTAAAGCTCGTGGGTCTGCCATCAGATGGCCGGTAAATGGGAAGCGCATCGTGGTTAGAATGGTACATTTTATAGGAGAATGACAAGTATATCGCGATATTATAGACGGTTGATTGGGCGGAATCGGGTAGAGGTATCTGCATAGGCTACTAGTAAGTATTCCACACATTAGAGCTTAATAATTGACGATAGAGATGTGGAAGAGGCGTTACCTTTGGGCGTCATTAACGTCTCGAGATACGAAAGGAAACGACGGTAGTATTTGCTGGAGCACAGAGGAAGTGCTGTATAGAGGTGGCCGAGGAGGGCGAAGTATAAGGTATTTAATTGATTGTTCAAAGTCCGATTGCGAGTGCATGAATGAGGGTTGGAACCAATTTTGATATGTGTGTAACTCCAAAGTACAATAATGATGGAAAGGGAAAGAGAGCAACTCTTCATTGATAAGCCGTGGGGAGAACTGTGGGGAGATATAGGAAAGCCTATGGAGGACGACACCAGATCGAAAGAAGACATAGCAAGGGTTGTAGAACTCCTAGCAAGCTGTGAAAGACCCAGGAACCGGGTGAGTGATATTGCGAGTGCGACCTCTTGCATATGGAAGGATATCTGGTTGGATAGAATCCCTATTGTGCGGAAGGGGGGTGTAGTGGGAGTTGAGTGTTTGGTGGATTGTGTCTTGAATTACGATGAATGACTGGCGGACGAATCTGTTGCAGCATGATTTTAGCATGTCCGGCCTTCCGTGTTATTGAACATGTGGATAAAGTGATAGACAAGGATTTGCTTTCTTTCGATTTCTTTTCTGGTTAAACCTATGGCTTTAGCTTTTGTGGTGCCTGCTTTTATATTTTATGACAGGGCTTGAGGAGTATTAGCTATGGATGATTTGTGGTCAAGAAATCTCATCCCCGGAATGGAGGGGGGGTGGATGTGGGTTGGATGTTGGTGGATGTGGTGGATAATGGGTGATGTGGGTGGATTGTTTGGAGGGGCCACTAAAGTTCTAGTTCCCGCTCCCTCGATCCGTGCACAGATGCACTCTATTTAAGCACTTACGGAGTTGGCTTTACTGCTCTACTCATAAAATACTACTCTACTCTGTACAATACACAGCCGCACCATTCATTACGTTTCTTAGAATTCTTTGGAAACTATATTTATTGTTATAGATGTGTTTATATATATATGTACGAGTACTTGAGAGAGAGAGAGATTTCCGTCGTCTATCTATATTCTACTCCTATTCCATACTATCATGCCTATATCCATCCATAATTAAGATTGTACATGCATATATTTTCATGGGTTTTTAGACTTTCTTTCACATTACGGTAGCAGAATAGAGGTTTCGGGGGCTTAGTAAATGCAAGGGAATTTGACCGACTAGCTAGCCCGATCAAATTCTTCCGACATACAGCAAAGCTGCAAAGTACCTGGGTACGTATACAGTACCAATATAATGCTGGCGATGGATGCACTTATAAATTGTGGTGGTGGTGATGGGCGCTGGTAGTATAAAGCTAGGAACTACGACTATAATCTATGGCTACAACCCCCGAACTATTCATTCGCGATGCATCTAATCACTATCATTCGCTATCATTCGCTCTTATTCGCTACCATCCACTACTCTTGTTTATCTTCCCTCATCTCCTTTTACCACCACACCGCTATTATTACCCATTACTCTATTTGTTGCGCAAGGTGGTGCAAGGAAGTGCCCCTCCTTAAATTCATTATGTCCATTGGAAGGAGGGCAAGCGCAGAATGTTGGTAACCTCAAGGCTTAATAGAAAAAGGCATCATCTTCTTCTTGTCATACCAACCTCTGCATATTCTTCTTTTCCCGTTTCGGAACTTGGGTGTATCACGTTTCACGGAGAATGGTGGAAGACACAATTCCCTCTCATTGGCTCCAGTAACAGACAGCCTCCGAACAGACATGAAGAGATCTTTCAGGGCATATCCTGTCATTGTTGCTCTTTGCTAATTCTTCTCTGAAGTTATCGTGGATTTCGATCATTCGTTAAAGAAACTTTGCAGCCAAGGTCATGAACCTACCAGAATGATTCAATACGATGTCGATCTGCTGCACTTACAGACTCAGTCATTGCAACTTTAGTTACCTATTACGATGGACACATGCAGTTATACGTTTTCGATTAGTTTATATTCAATTAGTTGATGTTACCAAGTGTAAAAGCCTTGCCCAAGGAAAGATATGCCGAGGCAGCCTATCTACCAGCAACCCTGGCAACGGAACTTTTTTCCCAAACTATAGGTTTTCGAAGCAGGGAATAATCAGACCATCATCGATTCATCAGTATCACTATTTCTTTGCTCGAAAAGAGAAATGGGATGCAAACGAAATACCCCCCCTCCTCCCCGACCTACCTACCTACCTACCTACTACGATGCCAACAACCAAGGTCTACAATGTTTGAGATTCGCAACATATACCCAAAAGGAACACTATATTGTCACTCATGATGCAGTGCTAGGTTTCTCTGAAGCCTGAATTATGCGCGAAATTGAAGTGGACAGGACCTTTTCGGAAGCAGAGCCTGGTAAATTTTGTACCTCCCATCGTACCTGCTCAACAAAATTCTCCTGGCACCACCTTGATCGTAATTTCTTTCATGAACTTTTTTTTTCATTTTCGAAAATTGCAAAAATCACAATGACTTTTGGACTAGTTAAAGAATTTACAGCATTGAGGAGATTCGGAGCATTAGCATTAGCATTAGCATTAGCTTTAGCTTTAGCACATATGTTACTGTACTTCGCTCGCAAGGAACCGAGATGGTCTTAGTTCCGGTAAGAGAATCTCAGTACAAGGCCAGTATAACTCCAGGAACATGGTTATTGGCCATGCATGCGATATTGAGGTCAAATATCCTTCCTTGCTGACCATCAAGATACACTGTTTTGGATGGGATCAAGCGGCATTCTCCGATTTGCTCTCTTACCTGGTGTGGAAGCTAAAATGAACAGGGCTTCTATCATTGAAGGAGAGAGATACAGACATATGTCAAGCGGATTTAAACGAAACACTGACAGCCGTTGAAAATACTCTCCGCTTCTTCAGAACAATACCCCGGCACCGGCTTTCTCCTAGGATTAGGACGAAAGAAGTTGATTTCATTTTCCACAAATCTCGGTATTACCCAAGCTACCGTAGCCTCCGACGGCTCAAATGTGTTCGTGCGGTAAGAAATTGGTGTACCGTGGTTGACGAGTTCATTGGTCCCTCTCGCCGGGTTGGTGGATCTTATGGGCTTCTACAGAATATTCCCAGAAAGCTTGATCTGTACGCTGCCGAAGATGGAAATGGATGGCTTTGTCATCTGTAACATCGGAGTTACCCCGCACCATCCAGTTTTTGATTCCTAGAATTGTTGATCTTTTCATCAAATGCATTAAACTACCAGAAATACGGTTATTGTACCCATGTACGTGGCATTTGATCATGTTTTTGATTCTTGTACATGTTCTCAGGGGTTTTCAGGAAACCTGGCGGGTACTCGAGACACATCAAACGGACACGGACACGGGCACGAATGTAGGGCGAGATTCCTGTATGTTTGTCACTTCTGGTAAGCTTCCAAAGTCTACGGAATATGTTATCCTATCATTTTTAGCTGAACTGTCATTCTCATTTGAGCCGTTATCAATTGGCCAAGATGCGTCAATGGTCATACCCACAAGGCTTATGGGTCTAGATTCTCAGATGCGACAAACAAGTGTGCCGGTTAAGATACATACCTATCTTGAGTTACGTTTGTTCTCAGGGGCACATCATCTGATCATTACATCTCTTGATCCTTGAAATACTGGGAAGTGTATTCGTTTTGAGGTCACCTCCTTTTACCGTCTATACCTGTTTACATTATGCCAGCTGTTAAAAAGGAAGGGCGATTGCTCAAATTGTCAAGGTAGACCTTGAGATTGGGATACCCATAGTCTTCATCTCCAAGACACCGGAACTCAAGAATACCCACTTATTACCTCTCGCTGACCTAGTGGTCCATCTGATCTACAGACACAGCGTGGGATGAAAGATGGTAAAGTTGACAACGATGAGTTTGCTTCACACAGCAGACACGTATGGATCTCGTATTACTAGCCAGAGGTAACAAGTTTAGAAACCTACGATGAAGGCTTGATGCAAAATGCTATGCTGTGCCTCCAACTCTCAGACGAAGCAATTCTGTAAAAACGGTAAACACGTTAGACGGATGATACCTTTGCATTTGACTCGGGGACTTTTTATTGACCTTCCTATCGCCAACAAAGCATGTTTTTGAAATCTTGCGCTCAAAGATCCTTACTTACTTCTCGTGCATGATTATCTATGAGTTCAATTCAATCTAATTATCCTCTCCACCTCCATATTTACCACACGCCGAATACTCACCTGGTACAGAATACATCTTACAGCACAAACAAACATCTCACCAACTCAACCCTCTACCCTCCGCTTCATTTCCAATCCCTATCCCTATCCCCTTGAAAGAAAATTCCCTCACCACGCCATTCATTCAAACTTCACCACAAACCAACAATAGAATAGGTATGTATTGTCACTCCCGCCAAACCCTTCGTCGATACCTCCAATGACGAAAATCATCACGAACACTAGGTAGACAGAAGATCCCTCCCTTCGCACATGCAAAGTCTTACAATAGACAAAAGCGAAAGCGCCATTTATATGGTACTGTTCTGTACTCATCTATGTACTGTGCGCGTGCGGTACCATACAGTATGTATATCCTCCGATGGAGTCATGGAGTTCTGTCATGGAGTCACAGAGCACATGTGCTCGAAGAGTAATTTACTCGAGTATATCCGAGGCTATATATAATATTATAAATGGCACGGTACATGGAGATATGGCTGTGTTTGTACAAATATATAATATGTACCGGTAGGTGAAATGATATAATACCTAGGTAGGTAGCAATTGATGACTTGTCTTGTATGCACTGATTTTTCAGAAACCTGAAGTTCATATATATAAATCTACTTGTAAAATAAAAGGCTTGGGTATACTGTACGAGTACGATATAATATGATACGGTACGATACGGTAATAAACCAAGAAAACCAAGAAAGAACCCAAGGAAGGAGAGGAGAGGAATGAGAGTGCAATTTTACGGTTTTGAATTGTATTGGATTAGTTAGAAGGAAGGAAGGAAGAATGTGATTTTGATGTCTGCTATATATTCGAGTATGTTTACAGTATTGGATTAGGGAAACCCCCCTTTCCCGAAAAATATGAGTAGAAATTAATAATTAAGTCATAATATAAAGAAGAAATAAAACATATTCTTCAATGTCTAGATACAATCAACGATGTTCTCCTAAGGATCCTAGAAAGTTGAAGGTGTAGAATTTGGATACTTGGTATGTCTAATCCGAAGTAGAATATTGAAATGGTGATGTTGGTCACCCTTTTTTTTTGGCAGAGAGGGGAGAGGAGAGGGATTGCTGGAATAGGTGGTTCACCGCTCTCGAGGCAGAATAATTTTTAGTTGGTGGCACAATAATGGCGGTGAAACATACTCGAGTAATTTCGAAGCCCATCAATTGTTCAACCTTTCGAGTCGAATCTTTCACGTTCCACTTTGCTGTTCTTTCTATCCTAAGCTTCTTCTATACCAATAGTTTGGATTTTTGCTTTTCAAGGAAAAGCCCAACAATATGGAAGTCGAAGTCCTCTCAGATTATTCCCATACCCCCCTCAACACCTCCAAACCCTCAATCCGCCTTCTCAATCTCCAACGTGATAAACAAGGATCTATCACTGGCACACTCGAGGCCTTTTCCCTCGACGACCCCATATGTCCTCCATTCAGAACTCTGTCTTATGTCTGGGGTCCCAAAGTATATTCTGATAGTATTCTCATAAACACGCGTTGGTTTCCTGTATTGAGAAGTGTCCATCCAATCTTAGAAACTATTTCTAGCGACGAAAACCTAAGGCAAGGCTGGTGGTGGATTGATTCAATTTGTATCAATCAGAATGCGGGGCCAATTGCTGAAATGGAGCGCAATGTACAGGTCGCTATGATGAGAAGAATCTATGAAACAGCTGACAAGACTATTGGTTGGCTTGGTCCCGGGGACGATGAGGGTGAGCGAGCGATGCGCTTTTTAAAAGTATTAACAAATCATAAGAAAAGACTTGATTTGCTTTATCGGAGGCGATTGGCTGGAGAGAAAGGGCTGAAAGTTGAAGATTTAGGAAAAGATTTGAGCGATAGGAGCAAGTGGGCTGCGTTGGAAAGTTTGTTGCTTCGGCCTTGGTGGACCAGAGTTTGGTCACTTCAGGAGTATATTGTCCCGCGTAAATTCGTGTTTCACTGCGGAAAGGAGAAAATAAGTAGAAAAAAACTGACCCAAGCAATGAGCGCGATAAGTCAATGTAGAAGAATCGATGAGACATTGCTGGCCCATACAGCATTCCAGGCTCCATGGATACGAGGCCGCGTATTGCGGTGGTATCGGAAGGGCCTCCCAATAAAACTCATAGGATTGATGGGATACATCTCGGACTATCAGGCTTCGGATCCTAGAGATAGAATTTATTCTGTTCTCGGGTTGGCAGCGGATAGGTTCTTGGCTGACCCTCCAAGATATCAAGATAGTGTTGTGGAAGTATACTCGAGCTTGGTCAAAAGTTTCATCGAGCGCCATCAAAGTCTGGATATCATATGCTTTGTAGATCGATTTCATGGATTGGGGCATTCGAATATTCTGCCTGCGCTTCCATCTTGGGTACCAGACTGGAGAGTCGACGTGCAACCATGGATGGTACCCGCAATGGCTGCTCAGAGCGGGGCAGGATACGTCGGAAACTTTCGTCCTACTCATCTCCAAGGCAAAAATCATGATACTTTTACTGCTGGGAAGAGCAAAACCCCCTTAAAATACAGTTTCTCTGCCGATCTCCAGCAATTGAATTGTCAGGGGGTTTTCATGGATCTAGTCGATGGTATTGGCGGTCTCAGGTTAGTTCATGGGGACGAAAACAACGAGAAAGAGGGAGTGATTAAGGTGTACCAGTGTGTCAATACAACAGCTATTCGCAAAATATTCGAGACTTCTACGGTCGATTCTGACTCCTCACCTCAAGATGAATTAACTTCCGAAAAAGCCTCGAAGTACATGGACCATATCTTTCGCTGTTTGATGCTGAACCGCCGAGAGAGATATTTAAGCTGGGATCTACCAGCCATGGAACATTCATATAAAGACTTCCAAACATTTTGTCTTGCGGCGATGAAAACGCCGTTTGACGTACATCCACTATTTCTCGACTGGTTCGAACGTAACCGGCACCTTCGCATCGGATCCCATACACTCGAGCAGCTATGCAAAGCAGCACAATCTCCAGAGCCCAAGCTCTCTACCAATATAGATCTCATGGACATCTCCACGCACGAAAGAGGATTTCTTTCTCGTTTCCGAGACACGACCAAATGGATGGCGAGAAGGCTCATGACGACAAATACAGAATATATTGGTATGGGGCCGTGTCGAGTGCAGAAAGGCGATCAGGTTTGGATTCTGCTGGGATGCAGTATCCCGTTGATTTTAAGAAAGTGGGAGGATAGGGAGGGGTTTCAAGTTATTGGTGAATGTTATCTTCATGGATATATGGGTGGTGAGGTTCATGGGGAGGTTATGAATGGAGAGAGAAAGGTGGTGGAGATATGTCTTTTGTGATGGATTTGGAGGATATCGATGGCTTTATTAGAAAGCCAAAGGGCTACTTTGGTTGTCATTTTCCGTCTTTTCCGCTCTTTTATTCGGCTCTTTTTATAAAGCCGGATTGTGTAAAAGTCATATTCAATGTCGAAAACACGGATCTATTGAAAAATCAATAATAAACATTTTTATTAAAATGTCTATTATCCTTGATAAATGATTCTTTGTATATATTAGCTCAGAAATAATTGGGGTTTTTTATATACATGATCATAGCTCTTATATGCGCTTCAAATCTCTATACTTTCGATAGAAAGATATATGATTACCTGCACCAATGTTAGTTACTCAGTTTTATAATTCTTTCTAATGTACAATCGATAAAAGTCATCACTTGCACGGAAGAAATAAATATTATAAACCTCTTGTTTCTCCAAACTTTGTACTCTGTAATGCTGTAATTTGCTCCAACAACAGAATCTGCGATGGTTTTTCTTGGACGCTCTGACTTTGTCTCCACACTCGTACCTAATATATACCAGTAGATATGACACCTTAGTAAGAATGCAATCTATCGAGTTGATGGCGTGCGTCGTTCAAAAATCAGGTACTGATTTTCGTGGATTGTAAAGCCTTTATCTTCACGATGTGACCAAGGATTATCAGGAGATGCAGAGAGCACATGGAAGTCCCTGAAAAGCTACACGCGCACAGTAAGTTACGGGGCTGTCACCCATCCATTGGAGGGCTCATGGACATACCTGCGCGGTGAACTTCATTGTTTGCATCAATGACATATTTTTAGCGACACACTTTCGTGATCCCCAGCCCCAGCTAAAGAGACACCGTTTCATAGCTACAATCTTGTCAGAGTTACCGAGCCACCTCTCCGGCTGGAATTCATTCGTCTGAGGTCCAAATATCGTTTCGTTGTTGTTGATGACTGGTGCACTGGTCCCAATCTCTGCACCCTCGGGGATAAAATATCCACTTAGTATTGTGCCGCCTTTGGAAACGCGCCGAGGAAGAACAACGGGGACTGATGGTGCTATACGAGATGTCTCATCTATGCAAGCCAAGAGATATGTCATAGATTTCACGTCTTCGTAGGAGACGATTGGAGACGAAAGGAAACCCCCTCTTTCTAGTTCCTGAATTTCACACATCAGACTGTCATAGACATGTTTATTCTGAATAATGTTGTTCACTAGTGAGCAGATGAGAGCAGAAGTTGTGTCTGGTGCCGCAATCATCATCATCAAGATCTCGGCCTCGACTTCGTCGAGATTGAGGTGCTCGGGTTGCATGTAATGGCTTTCAAGAAACCTCCTAGAATCAGCTTCTGTAATTTAATATTGCGTTGGAGCTGAGAACTCACTTGCTGAGAATATCGTCTCGTGTTTTTTCATTGGACTCCAAAAGACGCTTGTTCATCCATCTGTCACGAAGCTATGGAAAGCAACGGGGTCAGTACATCTGTTTAGACAAAGGGTCCATTAGGCGGCTTTACATACACTCATGATCTTTCCAACCCCTTGCTTGTCGCTATGGTGAGGCAACAAATAATTGCCTAGCAATGGAGCGTTGAAAAGCGGTCCCATAATCCATGGAAACATGGTTGTGAGTCCGACCATCCAAGCCGAGCTTCGAAAAGCTCCGAGCATGCCATCAACATCTCGCTCATTCTCGGTAAGATCCAGAGATTCGCTGAATACTATATCTGTAAAGGTATCATACAGAAACCATCTAGATATCATATCAGTACACTCCCAAGATTATAAAGGTTCTCTGGTAATAAGTACCTGACCCATTCTGGAAAATTACATGGCTGCTGGGTATTGGAAAATTTGAGGTGCAGAGCTTTGAATGTCCGCTGGATTCTATCATCAAGCTTATATTCTAGTTGCATCAAACTTTTGACAGAGAGCTGTGGGAATCTGGGTGAGCATTGGATGTAACGAAAAGAACAGGATAGGTGAGACACACTGCGGGTGCAAGAATTCGTCTTTTGACAGCGTGCTCCTGGTGATCCTGGACTTGTATCATTCCAGGAATTTTGCCCAAAGCTCCCGGTATCCAGAAGTCATTCTTGTCTGCATTTTTGTGGTAAACTTTCGGAAGAATAGCTGGGTCACTGAACGACAGCATGTTCGGTGCAATTCGAACGACGGGGCCTGGGAATCGTGAGCCAAAACATGCGATAAATACACGAGTGATGTGATGATGCAGCTCACCATATTTCTTGTGGAGTTCTATCCCCATGGTAGAGAGGTTCTGTGATAGAAGAACATGGAGTTTGAATAAATCGGTCACGGAACTCCAGATAGGTCCGGGGATGTGACTTAATGGATGTAGATATCTATTGTAGAGTCCATTGCCAATCACTGCTAGAAGTATAGCAACTATTAGACCTTTAACGATGATGACAGGAGAGAAATCGTGTGTGATTGCCTCCATGGCGAAAGTACTGGGAAGAAACATCTCGTCGACTAGCAGATTGTTTTCCTGAAGGAAAAGTGAGGCTTATAATATCTGAAATCACAAGGAACTCAATTGGATCCAAGGACGCGGGGGGTATAGCAAGGAAATCTCTTCTCGACTAGCAGCTCTTTTCAACGCACAACAAGGCTATGATACTGTATTAACTGGTTATACAGACATTACTTATCTATTTGTTCTACTAGTTGTAAGTATATAGTCCTATCCTACCAAAAAAACCTTTGAATTCTTTGAAACATTAATAATAGAATAGTCACGGTTATAATTTCATTTAAATTTCAAGCTTTTAAAAAAGTATTATATTAAAAATCCCAAATATATATCTATAATATAAAATAGATCTAAGATTGAAATAATTAAATTTGATATAAAAAAATATAATTATTTTCATAATTAGTCACGGCCTAGATGTGCTTATGATTACATATTATTTCTTTATTAGTATATGGGTTTTCTTTACGAAATAATCATCTTGTCTACTACGAGTATAAGATATTATCTTCCTACCCATTTAATACGATATCTAAAATCACAGGAAGCTCAACTAGACCTAAGACTGTAAGCATCATTTGCACCCCGCATTGGAGGCTGTGGTCCCGTCCTTAATATGGTACGTGTGCTTGTAAGCATAGGTGTAATGCATTTATTGATACCCAGGGTCCCATGTCACGACGATTAGACGTTATCCTACCGAGCGCGCCAATCGCTGTTGATCTGTGAAAGTGCGGTCCAAATCTGATTAGGGGCGGACGGAGACAAATTCCGGTGTTGGTATCCACTGTGATCCGGTGTCAAACGATAAACCGGTGCATGCAGTCTATTACAGTAACGAGTAGGATTTTCCACGTTATAGCCACAATCTTCTTCTAAACTCGATTTTGTCTTGAACTGCTTCAAACTTCCTGGAATATCTTGAGAACTTCCGGCATTTTAGCTGTTACCATCAAAGTTGAGAAATATGCCTATGAACAGCCAGTTTCCTCAATCGGAAAAGTGGGACGATACCACGAAGAAGGTCGTTGAGACAATTAGGTCTCATTTACATCGAGAGCCACAACCGAATCTTTCGACGATCCAAAAAGAAAGTCGAAAATCACGTCGCTCAAAGGGTCCTTTTCTCCATTGTAAAGCGACAATACCTGTACCCGCAGAAGATGATATACGCCAATTGTTCCTACAAGTCGTGGATGAAATCGAGAAAATCGACTACCAACCACCAAACTACGCACCCGTTGACGTTGAATGGACGAGCTTCACTGGAACCGGCAAGGGAACGAGCGAGTCCAATTTCAATACAGCAGAGGCAGAGGTAGAGAAATATGAAAAACTTGCTAAAGCGTCTGTGACGGACTTGGTCATCTTACATGTCCATGGAGGAGCATACTGGTGCGGCCCATGCCTGCTAATTGACTAATTGATTGCTAACCTTTGAGTAGTCAAGGAAGTCCCGAGACTTCCCGTTCAACGACAACACGACTAGCAAAATTAACTCGAGGCCGAGTTTGTTCTGTGGATGTGCGTCTAGCGCCTCAGAACATGTTCCCTTCCGCTGAAATCGATGCCATTTTAGCATATCTGTCGCTACTATATCCCCCAAACTCATCATTCCACACCCCCATTCCACCAGATAAGATTGTCTTTACTGGTGACAGCTCTGGAGCGTCCGAACTTTACGCCGTACTTTGTTTTATCCTTCATATTCATCGCAAAAACGGTCCCTTAAGAACGTATAAATTCAATGGCAAAGACGTTACTATTCCTCTTCCTGCAGGAATTGCTACAATCGGCATGAGTGGCGATCAGATCAGTTCCCTGCCATCATACAAAAATAACAGCAAGCACGATATTTTTGTTGGAATACCATGGGAATGGCCAGATTACCCATCGTGCGATCTGTGGCCAGCCAAGCCACCACGGATTAGCGTTTACTACGAAAACCTCTCGACCTGTCATCCATTGATAAGCGCAACTCTCATAAGCGATTGGACTGGTGCGCCTCCAATGTGGTTTGGCATGGGAGAAGAGCTGGCAATAGACAGTGCCAGGGTGATGGCTCAGCGAGCTTCAGCCCAGGGAGTCACGGTAGTTTGGAAAGAGTTCGAAGCCATGCCCCATGGATTTCTAAGTCTCCCAGTCCTTAGCTCCATGAAACAATCTGAAATCTGCTTTCAATCTTGGGCAGATTTCTGCATCGAGTGCGTACAGCGTCCAAAGTTAATCGAGTCGTCGGCCTCTATTGTGCGCTTCAAGGGGGCCAAGGAAGAAGAGAAAAATCTGTACCAACATGGGGATTTGAGCTTTGATCAAGCTGAGCAGTTGATGAGAACATCCATGATCAAGAAAGATAAATGGTTTCAAACCATGCTCACGAGGAAATCTAAAATGTGAATAAGGAAAACAACGTTCTTTGTAACTCATCAGTACTCATAGTTTTGAATTGTAAAGCTTCTTAAAAAGTTGCTGCTTCCATTCGCTGTAATGACTGCATTCATTGACCATATTTTTTTACTTGTTATTATCAAATACACCACCGGAACTTGCTACAACCCCACCACCTTCCCTGAGCTGATCGAAACGCATTTGAACCCAATCTTTCACGTTGTAAATAACCTCGTTTTTCTCCTTTTCCTCATAATTCATCACGTCCGATCCCTCCAGCTCTACCATTTTCACCTCATCCTCTGGTCTTAGAAAGTATACGAGGGAATGACGTTCATGTTTTGCTTGTTCGCCTGGAGCGTAGTTGACACGGTGGAGGTTACTGCGCGCAAGACCATTTGTAAACTTTACCATGGCATCTCCCACGTTCACGACAATACAGCCTTCCTTTGGCTTGACAAACTCCCAATATTCATCCGCATTTGATGGGGCCCCGGCGGGAAGAATCTGAAGTCCACCCAGCACATTCCATACCAGTGTCAAGGTACCAATATCAGTATGAGGAACGAGCGATGGTCGCCGGTCAATACCGGGCTGTGCAGCGAACTTGGTCATTCGAATCTGGTCGGCAGAAGGCTTGAAACTTCGATGGAGAGATGTAAGCTGGCCCTCACTTATGTGCAAGTTCTGCTCGAAATGACCGAGAATGTGAAGGCAAAGATCATGACACTGCGTGGCAAATGATTTTAAAAGTGGTCGATTCTCGACTATCGTTGGAGGCCATGGTGTAGGACTGTGATTTCCAATAGCGTCGTCTTTACTGATCCCCCAGAACTCGCATCGATCGGGCGTCCCATTCGCATCAACCTTTGAAATACCCATTGGTTTGTATCTATAAAAAGTGGCTTGTTTAGCTCTATATTTATGGGAAACTTTACGACCACTAAGTCTTGCGCATTGGTGCCAACTTACCCATAATGATTCTTTAAACTAGCCGAATACTTTAATTTTTCACTGAGCTCCAAATTGAATAGAGTGTGGCTGAGTTCAATGATATCCTTGCCATTCTGTAGAAGCTCTTCACCACTTGGAGTTCCACGGAGATCTAGTAAAAAGAAACCTGATGTCGTACATGCTTTGAATAGGTGCGAGGATTCATCCACATCACCCGCAAGCAGCTTTGATAATGTGAGCGTTTTAAGCTCAGCCGTGGGGACATCGCCCGGAAAGGGGACGGTAGAGATTTGTTGTAAGTATGACATGAGTTACAGGATTCATGTATGTGTATGATGCATTTGAGGGGAGCTAGCTAGGTATTTATATAGGACAAGCGGGCCTCGGAGCATGTAAATGTTTGCTCGATTAGGAATATTGAATGGCGAATCAAAACTCACTCCACTTGTTTGTTTAGTCAATGGGAGGAAATAGACTGCGTATTTGTGCGCAGAAAACTCCCGTCGTTTTCCTCACCTCACCCTGCAAATTCGCGCCTGTACATTCACATTCTTGAATTTTGAGCCCAGGTACATTATTTACATTTTATCTCAGTTCAAGCAAGATAATGTAAAAAGGTGGCTAAAACTAGTCACTACTACCCATATAGAACATTCGCTGGACGAAAAGTTCTCTAAACGCATTTCCCAGCCACAAATTGGGCAGAGGCGACTTTTTAAGGTTCAATCCGAAAAGATATTGATGAGTTGTTACTAGAGGAGCTATCAAGAGCGCCTAGAGTTTGAACAATTCCCTTGGACATCCTTTGCACGAGTCTCATGGAAGCTGCTCTGAGTATTTAGGTCCGTTCTGACTAGTAATGCTCTTCTGTGATCGTGTTGACCCTTTTGCAACAAGAGCAATGTCGTCTCCAGTGAGACGATTTGAAGTTGGCCACGGTTTGTTAAAGATGGCATCGATCAGGGGACGAAGTGTTGGAACACATGCACAAATGATAATCACATTGATTTCAACCCTGCACATGAGTTAGTTGAAAGCTGGTAAACCTTTGAGGAGAGAGAATATCTTACCCTGCCCAAACGAACAGGTTTAAAGGTGACCCTTCCGGGCTGTCAGCAAGCTTCGGTGTGTGGAAAATTTATAGGTAACATACAGGTAGGATCTTCTTTTGCAATGAGCTTTAACTTCGATACTTTGATGAACGCACAAATGCTGGCACTATTGGCAAATGTCAGTCATGTCTCTAGGCGCATCGAACCTCACGGCAAATACTCACATTACGCCTAGACCCATCACAACGCATAGAACAATTTTTCTTTTAAGTTTCATTTGCAGATTCCAAAAAAGCGTGACTGGGAATATAGCAAAGGCAAGATCGAGAAATCCTGAATATGCTTTTGAATTGTCAGTCAATGACATTCACAAACAGAGTTCGCACTTACAGCCAACAAAAATGCTATAATTCACAAGGACTGATGACTTCCAACATGTATGCGTGAGGTCAAACTCCCAAATTGCCCTTGGCGGCGAACACTGAGCGAATAAAAAGATACAGTTGAGTGCACCAAACATGATCAAGAATATTGATGCAAAGTAGAATATCCATCGCCCGCGATTAGAAGTCCCGACGATATTGATTATGAGGATTGCGACGCCCAGTTTCGGTACTACAGATGCCATGATTCCGAAGGCTTGTAGAATCAGAAGATATTTGAGAGATTGCGACAGCTCCGACAAGGTCAAATAGTACGCATGCCTTCCTACACCATAGTGACATGCTATCTGCGTGACGATACAGTCAACAATGTTCAGAACCTAAGATATTTAGTTTCAGACTTCGTAGAGGTAGTTAGCCTAGTTCAATTGAATAATGCTTACCACTGAAAGACCTATAACTCCATCATCCAATCCCAGACGGCGAAGATATACAGATCTTGAATAAAGTCGAGCTGCGAAAAAGACTGTGGAGATGCCAGTCAAAACCCACATAGCAGTAAGCTGCCCAGTCGCTCCGAATTGATCTCCCCCAACAGGAGGTGGTCCTAGTTGAGCTGACATATTGATATCTCGGCGCGCGGAAAGGTATTTGTCCAAGAAGAGTGCCAAAAAGAATCTAGATTTGGGTTTCTCCTCTGCTCTTCACAAGTTTATTGAGAAGAGCGAGGAGCGACAAAATGGAGTTTGATAAATGCTCCAGTCAGGGCCACCCACCTGCATCTTCGCCATATTCGTCTGACATCTATTAAAAACTGCATTCGATCCTTGCGGGGAGGCGGCGGTTCGTGGTTAGCACCCTTGCCATTTTCTGTAAGCGTTGCAGTGAGACGTTGCAGCAACGGCTTAGTATACACGCAAGCTTTATTTTAGTTTCTATTTACAGAAAGGATTGTAGGAAAGCTTGCAGTAAAATTCTTCGCCGCAGAAAAGCTTACACAAAAGTTCCTCGCTGTAGGAAAACTTGCAGGAAATTTCTTCGCCGAATGCAAGCAATGTGTACCAATTAGCACAAGTTGTCCAATGTGTTCAAATTGTACTCGGCGGGATGTTTGAAGAGGGGTACACAAAATACTGTACGAGTATAAGCGAATTTACCCCAACGAAACTCGATGATTTTCTAATATTATTCAATAAAAGAGTTACTACTAAAGTAGTCTTTCTAATATTAGTAATTTGCGTGCTTTAAGGATTTTCTGGGATCAAGATCTGATATGTCACTGTACGAGTGTTGGTACTCGGTGAACCGAGCGCGAGTATAGATTCTAGAACAGAACAGCCGAAGACCAGTTAGTCCACTTGCAGAGCTTAGCCCTCCATCGAAGAACTAACAGGTAAATATCCCACCAATCATTCAGATTCCGGATCATCGAACCCCTATCTGCCGTCGAAAGGCGTATGAAATAGAGAATCCACATATGTAGAGGGGCTGCTGCGTCAACGCCACCAACCTCAATTCAACGGTTTGAACAATTTTGTCATTGACAATTCCACTTCTTGCCTCATTCATTATCTGCCGCAAATGTGCCGCAAATGAGCTACTACTTCCTAAAATGGACTTAAGCGATGAGTTCCCAAAAAGTCATCCTTTTTAACAAATTCTACAAAACCAAATATATAGAATATATTAGATTAGATTAGATTCTATCAATCAATAATAAAACAGACTATAATATAATAAAAATATTCAATTCAATATTTAATAATTCATTGTATACTAA